CACTCTGAATGAATCATTTAAATCAGTGAGTTGTTTACCAGAGACTCACTCTGAATTAATCATTTGAATCGGTCAGTTGTTTACTGCAGGGGTTCCCAAACTTTTCAGCCTGCGACCCCCAAAAATGACAATGTGACTCACGACCCCCAATATCCTCTGAGGTGGTTATAAATTCAGAAATCTTGCATGCAATAGCACACACACACAAATAGACCCAAGTCTATTCTCCGTTAAATTTTTTAAATGTATGTAAGTGCTGTAAATGGGCCAGAAAGTTTAAGCTGGTGTCATAAAATCAATCTGCTGCATCTGACGCTATTGCTGTCTTTAATATAATGTAATTACCCCTGGGGGCGCAATCCAATACAACTAGTAACTACAGGAGGATAAGCTACTATGGTTACTATATAGCAGGGGTTCCCAAACTTTTCAGGCCGCGACCCCCAAAATGACAATGCCAGTGAGTCGTGACCCCCAATATATTCTGAGGTGGTTATAAATACAGAAACCTTGCATGCAATGCAGCACACACACCAATGGACCCAAGTCTATTCTTCTTTTAATTTTTTTAATGTATGAGAGCTGTAAATGGGCAACAAATTTTTACCAGGTGTTATGAAATCTGCTGCATCTGACACTATTGCTGTGTCTTTAATATAATGTAATTACCCCAGGGGTTGCAATCCAATAGAAGTAGTAACTATAAGCTACTATAGTAACTATATGGTATAAACGACTATTTTTTCTCTTCAGTAGGTTATGGATAAAATATGGTAATTCTTATGGTTTAATAAAAATAAATTGATTTTTGGAAATCACCAGGCGACCCCCCTTCATTGTCCCGCGACCCCTCGGGGGGTCCCGACCCCCACTTTGAGAACCATTGCTATATAGTATATAATAACTATAAATGACAATTTTTTTCTCTTCAGTAGGTTACGGATAACATATTGTAATTCTTATGATTTTATAAAAATAAATAGATTTTTGGAAAACACCAGGCGAGTGGAGACTCACTCTGAACAGAACATTTGAATCAGTCAGTTGTTTTTTGGAGACTCGCTCTGAATGGATAATTTAAAGTTTTTTTTTTTCATAGCTATTGTCGTTTACAGCAATAATATATTTCTATCTTTAATTAGGTAGTGTTAATAATAATAAATAAAATAATAATTAGCATATCACATGACTATTAACCTACAGAAGAGAGCAATGAATGTGTATACATAACTTAGCTAACAAAAGCCATTGTGAACCCCAGTGTTAACAGTAATATTTGAACTTAAGGTTTGCGGCTAAATCTCTTAAAGAAATGTTCAAATTTTGAAATATTGAGACATTAAGCAGCAATCCATTTAATCATTTTGCAGGCATAATAGGAATGTTAATGTTGGCTTTTCTCTGAATTCTTAACCAATAATAAAGTAGCATTTAAAAAACCAGTAGACAAATGTGCAACTATATTCCCAGAAGAATGTTTCCCAGAACTTTCTGAGAATGTTTCTTGTTATCAGTTATCTCTTTCTAGTAATTCCCCTCAGCGTTAGCCATGTAGATTTTATTCTTTTAATCATCATTTCTCATATTTTCATCATCATTTCTTGGCATTTGGATACACCGGACTATTACACCATTTGTTCATAATAAGATAAAAACGTTGGAAACTAGAAATGAAATAAAGCTGAAAATGGGATGCATCTGCGCCTCTCGTCCCTCTCAAACTTTTCACTTGTCCTGTCAGAACGACTGCGCTGTGGTGTCAGTTGTGAGCCCTGTATGACATCATCATAATGAGCCCATAATGGTGTAATGCGGCTCCAAATCACCATGTCTCATCTGAAAACCCACCTGGTCCTTAATAACAAATGACACAGCAAATCAGTGCACTATTCTGTGAATATGTTTTCAGGGGTGAGTCATCGGCAGAGGCGAGCCATGTTCAATCTTTACAACAATCAAGCTCATTTTAACAAAAGATTTGCCCTGTTATGTGCTTTTTTTACACAGGCAACGACAGAGCAAATGATCTGTTCATGTTTGAGATCTCTTGGTACTGTATGTTCTCTTTATGTCTGTGCCTCATGCATGTTGTGTATGAAATCCCAACTCTGATAACATTTGAAATAAATTAAAGAAAAACTATACACATGATGCATAAATAAAAAAATAAAATGTCAAATTTTTGTTTTATTTGTGTTTTCATTTTCTTTTAACATTTATTTATACAAATATTTTTTTAGAATAAATAAATACATTTATGGAGATAAATGTCCAAAGAAAAGAGAAACACATAAGTAAAAAATTAAATGACATTTTATTTTGAACAACCTTTGTAATGAACAGCAATATATATTTCATAATTACATGCCTAATAATTATTTTTTTTATTTTAAACTCCAAGTTACAATAAAATATTTATACCTAAATTTGAACTTTGATTGCTTTGAAATGCTCAGCTTTTTTTTTTTTTTTTGATGGTGTACTCGTGAAATGCTGTGAAGTTCTGCAAACAATCATATTGTACATTAATTTACAGATCCCATTTTTTGGGATTTACAATTTTTATTTAGGGTTAGAAATTGCATTATGTGAAGCTGATCTCTGCTCTGCCATTGTTTGAAGTTCAACCCTGCAGTTTAACAAATTGACTTTTATTGACAATTTAGCTTGAATTGATGAATTGTATAAGAAAAATATATATAGGGAATTGGGTCCATACAATAATATAAAAAGGCTCTAGAAGTTTTATTACCAGGCTTTTTCAACACCAACCCGGACAATATACAACTTCACTATTAAAAATGTCAATAAAAGTCTTTTACAGAGTTTTCAACAACAACTAATGCAATTCAAAAGAATAAATACATGGGGAAAAAAAGAAAGCTTAATTTGTGGATATTTAATATTTTTGTTTGCTTGTTTTTTGTACATTTAATTATTTCTATATTTAAATTTTTGTCTGGGGCGACACAGTGGCGCAGTAGGTAGTGCTGTCGCCTCACAGCAAGAAGGTAGCTGGTTCGAGCTTCAGCTGGGTCAGTTGATGTTTTTGTGTGGAGTTTGTATGTTCTCCCCTCGTTCGCGTGGGTTTCCTCCAGGTGCTCCGGTTTCCCCCACAGTCCAAAGACATGCGGTACAGGTGAATTGGGCAGGATAAATTGTTCGTAGTGTATAAGTGTGTGTGTGTGTGTGTGTGTGTGGATGTTTCCCAGTGATGGGTTGCGGCTGGAAGGGCATCCGCTGCGTAAAAACGTGCTGGATAAGTTGGTGGTCCATTCCGCTGTGGCAACCCTAGATTAATAAAGGGACTAAGTCGACAAGAAAATGAATGAATGAATGAATGAATGAATGAATAAAATTGTCCTCCATAGTGTATGAGTGTGAATGGGTGTGTATGGATATTTCCCAGAGATGGGTTGCAGCTGGAAGGGCATCCGCTGTGTAAAACATATGCTGGATAAGTTGGCGGTTCATTCCGCTGTGGCGACCCCGGATTAATAAAGGGAATAAGCCGAAAAGAAAATAAATTAATAAATGCTTTTCAGGCTGCAATTCACCCAGGGTTATCTATCTTCATGTTAATAATATTACTATTAACTTGAGGCAAAGCAAAATTTCATACCTGTAATTTAGAAGTGATGTTAGCACAGCTTTTTACTCATTGTTAATAGCTAATTTAGGCTACATTGTTAACTCTGCATTATGGTGCCAAATTAACAATATGTCATTAACATGCAACAATTGATGCATTTTTATAAGCACTAACCTAAACACCGCCACTTTTTTAAACTTTCTTTTCTATCTATTTAGTTAAAAACTTTGGTCCTGTTTGGGTCAAATGTGGACAAACTTAACTGTTGGCCCAACTCATGAAAAATTTTATATATTTATATGATATATTTATAGTAAATAACAATGTTTTTTAACTAGCTATACCAACTGTATTATACTGTATATAATATAGTATTTACAAAAATATAATATAGTATTTACAAAAATCATGAATGCCGAACCATACTTTAACATTAACTATAGTGACCTGATCAACTGTAATAATATGCATTAGTTTTTACTACAGTAAACTGTGGTGCGTTGTAATGTAATGTATAGAGCGAACTGGCTAACTTGATTGCTACTGTGATTGTAATACTACAGCACATACATTACTACCACAACAGATTATTACAACAACACTCAAAGATCTTAGACAATGTTTGACAGCCATAATTTATTTCATTTTGAAATAAGCTGTATATTGAGATGTGGTGGAATTGACATTTGTTCAGTTCACGATGGAAAAAATGGTTCTCTTCTTACATTTACATCTACATTTAATCATTTAGCAGACGCTTTTATCCAAAGCTACTTACAAATGAGGACAAGGAAGCAATTTACACAACTATAAGAGCAACAATGAATAAGTGCTGTAGGCAAGTTTCAGGTGTGTAAAGACAGTGTAAGAAGTAAAACATTAGTACAGGTTTTTTTTTTTTTTTTTTTTTTTTTTGTAGTTAGTGGAGGAGTCAGAGGGAATTGCATATTAGTAAGGAAAGTGGAGACAAAGTTTGTCCTCTTTGTCCTGAAAGTGGAGACTAAGTTTGTCCTCTTACAGATCTTAAAACTAGATAAATTGTTAAAATTTATGAGGCTATGTTACATTAATTTTCAACAAGATTTTTTACTCAACTTTACAAGGGTAAAAGTGCCTGTAGTTGAAGAATGGCCCATGTATTCTTTTAGTTTATCTTACAGCGGTACCTTCTAACACAAACCGGCTCTCTACTGATTATTAATTACATGGTTTTCATTCGTAAGTCGTTGTGGATGTAAGAGTCTACCACCAAATGATGTCATATGAAAGGTAAAATGTCAAACCAATATAAGAATGTTGGGTTTAATTGGTTAATGCCTGCTGCCATCGTGTGGATTTCGACGAAAGGTTTCTACTCTCTGTAGCGCTGCCTCTTCCAGCCGGTAGTTGGCGCTGGAGATTTAGATTTAAATAAGCGGTTTCACAGACGCGGAAGCAGCAGCACGCAGTGACGCAGCTCTGCAGATATGGGTGTACAAATAAAAGTTGAATATTGGTGAGTGATTTCACAACAAATGCATTAGTAAATGATGTGAATGTAATGTGATTTACAGACGCCTTTCTGCAACTGAGCACGATGTTCTGAGAAATTGGGTGACGTAGATTATCTAGATCATGCTGTGTGCTAGCTCTGCTCTTTGTTATTAACGCAAATTTACGGATAAATGGGATAACAGTTTGTCATGCGTCCGTTTAACACAGGGCTGTTATTTAAAATGACCAATGAGGCTCGAATAAGTTATTATAATGTTAGTTTGGTAGAGAATTGTTGTAAATTTGGACCTGGTGTTGGAGATTTAATGCTCTATGCTTAATACCTTCTCTCTTTAAATATATATATATATATATATATATATATATATATATATATATATATATATATATATATATATATATATATATATATATATATATATATACACACACACACACACACACACACACACACACACACACACAGTGGTGTAAAGTAACTAAGTACAAATACTCAAATTACAGTAATTGAGTAATTCTTCTCAGGAATTGTAATTTACTGAGCAGTTTTAAAAATGTGTACTTTTTCTTTCCCTTGAGTAAATTTTTAGTGCAGTATCAGTAGTTTACCTACTTTCCTTCAACCTTCAGTCACTACTTTATTTTTTCCTGTCTATGGCGATTAGAAAAATCAGTCCTGTAATTTCTGTCCAATTAAATCACACATAGAAATCTCATCAACTACCTCAAGACATGGTTGATTTATAATTGAAGCAATCTGTTTGGAAGCATTAAAAGTGTCCAAGAAGATGTCAAAATTCTTTACACGCATTGACCCAGAGAATGTCTAGATGCATGTCACTGATTAGAAGATGATGGGTGTTTACGGTATGATGACCGAAATGGCCTTAAACACCCGTCAGGCACAAGACATCAACATTATGTCGGATTGAAGTTGTACCCCAACGTCATGAACGTTGCATTTTCTTTGGAAATAAAAATCTGGTTGACGTCAGAACTCAAAGTCAGGCCAACGTCAATGTCCAACGTCCAATCTAAAATCTATCAAATATCAACATCTGATGATGTTACAGCTTGACGTTGTGTGGAAGTTACCAATGTGACCTCTATCAGACATTGGATTTTTTTTTGCCATAAATAAATGTCAGTATTTGATGTCAATAGGATATTGGTTTAAGATGTTGGCTCGACGTTGAATTTTGGTCACTTTCTAACAACATAAAATCAACCAAATATCAACGTCATTATTGGACGTTATTATCATAAAAACATTGTCATTAGATGCTGGCTAGGCCTTGAATTTTGGTCACCTGACATCACAACCTAAACCTAACCTAATAACCTAATATTAACGTCTTATGATGCTCTGTCGGCTGGGCAATAATTAAATACACTACAGAATGTTACGTTTACACACATTCATAAGTTACATGTAAACGCATCAGCTTTTCACAGTGTAATACTCGCTACTCTTCAGTACTTTTAAAAGGTCTAGTGTTTACTCATACTTTGAGTAATTTTTACAACAGATACTTTTACTCTACTTCCACTACTTTTTTAGGCAAGTAATGCTACTTTTACTTGAGTATGATTTTTCAGTACTCTTTACACCACTGTAAACATTTATTATTAATATATAAGCATTTTTTAACCCTACTGAATAAATGTACTTTTTTGTTTACTTTTGTTTGCTCAGAAAAAAACAATGAAGGTATGCATTTTTAAAATAAAATTCAACTTAAAACTAAATGTTATTATTTTATAAATGCAAATCAATCAACCAAATTTAATTCTGTAGGTTTACAAACAGCTGAAAAGACAATCGTTTTAAAAGGTTTGTATATTAGTGCAAAATTATGTGTTTAAATGTTACTTTTTCTGTAATTTTGAGAGTGTCTGCAGGGTTTTAAAATGTATTTAATTTCTAAAACAAAATTTTAAGCCCTAAAAAGACTTAAATCCACTGAAATATTGGGTTGTAGGTCTTAAATCATTTTAAACGGGTCTTAATTTTTCTATGTTGATGTAAAGCTACACCTATCCAATTACTAACATTCTGTCTTAATAAAAGTTTTAACAAAAGTTTATTTATTAACTTTATTTACTAATATGGTTTAATTATCTTGCCTAAAATTACAAATGTTTTTAATGTTTTTTTATGTTTTAACTGGGACATTAGAAAAAATTTTGCGTTTAGCCTTGTGTAAGTCTGAAATTTCATTCATTATGGTCTTAAAAAGATCTTAAATTTGACTTGATGAAACCTGTAGAAACCCTGATTTTAAATGATCTGAACATTTGCTGTAAAGTGCTAATATTTATAATTCATGTACTGTAATAAATTATTAACAGCAAAAGTAAATTTAAAAATGTTTTTATTGTAAAAATCTTTAATTTATTGTTTAAGCTTTTAAAAATAAATAAATAAATAAATAATAAAAAGATACACTGGAAATTTGAATGTCTTTGTTGCATCAGGTATATATAACTTTACTAACAGATGGTTGCACAATTTTTGGGTTTGCCATTTCTAACCAAGGAAAAAAACTTTATATAAAAAAAACCTTATGATGGCAATAAAATCTGCCCAAAACCAACCCACTTTTTTGAGCCCAAAAATTTAGAATTTATTCAAACTAAACGCTAACTTACCAGAGTAAAAAAAAAAAATATATATATATAATATTAATAATCAGCTTTGTGCAGCAGGCTTCTAGTCTGGAGACCAACATATGTTTGCATAGCAGTGGTTCCCAAATGGTGATCAGGGGACAATAGAGCAGTGTTAATTTTGACAGCAGCTTTAGTCTTAGTCTTTTGACTAAAATTCCATTTCAGATTTTATTCAGCTTTTAGTCTTATGAATCCTTTTAGTTTTAGTCGACTAAATTTTGTAAGATTTGGTTGATTAGTTGACTTAAATATATTTGGTTTAATTTAAGTGTAATTTAAATAAATATTGTATACGTTTATTTATACAAAATATTCTAACCTAAAATTAAATGAAACAGTCTAATTAAAATGTGGAATATAGCTTTTCCATTGAAGACCAAAAATTAGCTATGCGTTGTTTATTTATATCATAAGTAATATGTAGAATGATGCATCTGCAATTTCATATTCCAATCACGTTCTCATCTTGTTTTTATTAGTCAACGAAAATGTCAGTATATATTTATTATAGTTGTCGTCATCATTACTTTTTATTTAGTTTTCGTCTGTAGAAACTTGTTCATCATAAAAATTATGACGAAAGTCTTTTGTCAACGAAATTAACTGATTGACAGAGGGTTGTTTGATTCTAATAGTCTAATTGTATTAAACTATTAAATTTACCATTTTTATCTGTAACCGACAGAAGATAAAAACTGTAGTTAACAGTTAGATAAAAGAAACATGCTAAACTTTCAATAATTTTTCTCATAAGATTGGTGTGTTTACGTTATATTAACAACACAGCAATAGCGATAGCTGCAGCAGATTGATTTTAAAGCACCAGGTTAAACTTTCTGGAACCTTTATGGTAATCAAATACATTTAAAATAAATACTGGACACAATTAAACATTGTGGATGATCTTTGAGTGGCGCTCTCCAAAATTAAACCCAGAATAGACTTGTGCAGAAAACGTTGTGCCCACAAATCTCTGTAGGTGAGGTTAATTGTAAATTAAACTAATTAATAAATAACTATAACAATTGTTAGAGTATTGCGCTTTTTTGTGTTGTCAATATGCCTGTGTTTATATATGCCTATTGAAGTGTGCACAACGCTTGTATATTTATAACCACCTCCAATGAATGAGGGGGTCGCAAGTCACTGGCATTGTTATTTTGGAGGTCGCTGGCTTAAAAGTTTGGGAACCCCTGGCATATAGCATAAATACATGGTCTATTGCTTTGCAGTGGTGGATGAGGGTACGAGCCCCGCTATCAGGAGCTCAAGCGGGTCGTCACTGCTGAGTTCACTGATGCGGATGTGAGTGGCTTCGTCGGCCGCCAAGGTACGTGGTAGATTTATTTCCATCTATGCAAAAAAATTCTTTGAATAAGTGCATCATCCACCCTTTCCTGTTCCAGGGAGCTTTGAGATCGAGATCAATGGACAGCTGATTTTCTCAAAGCTGGAAACCAGTGGCTTCCCCTATGAAGATGATGTGAGTAAATGCCTGCGTTTACATGGAAATCAGTGGTCTAATTATTTGCCTTAATCTGACCTAGACAATAATATAATTGAGGTGTTGCTGTTTGAATGTTACTTTCCTGTTCCCGTTTTATATGTTATAGTACATGTATCGATTAACACCGCATGGGTTGGTATAAGATTGTGGCAGTATGATAACGTAGGACAAAAGATCACAGTATTGTGACTGCTGCTCCAAAATAAAAAAAATGTAATGTATGGGTAAAAAAAAATTAAAATTTGACCAGTTGAACACAATATTTTTTTTATTTTAGAAACATTTAAAATGTTTTGGACCAGTAGCTTTTGATGTAGAGGTTTCTTTTCTACTGAAGATACTGTTGCCCTAAAAAACTAAATAAAATAGCAGAGAAAAAACAAGTATAAAAAAAAAAACTTGCATATACCATAGGAACAGTATAACAGAAAACGTTGGCAGTTTTAAAACCTTGACTTTTTAAACCGCGATGAACCTTGAAACTGGTTATCATTCCATGATTATTAACGTCCTTACGCCACCATTCGACACTAATTTCTGCTGGCGTTTCATGCAACAATAGTTTGTGTTCGTCATCGAACCATAGGGGTTTTTAGGTGTTTCATTGTTTAAAGTTTAACTGCAGCTAATTTCTCACACTATGTGAGCAAGCAGGCGATGGCGGATGCACATTCTCAAATAGCAGGCCACCTCTAAAGTCATATACTATTGGGTTTCATTCACAAGTTGTTTTATTAATGTGTCAAACTCTAATTTACTGTATGAAAGCATAGGTATCGTTTCCCACTCGCACCATAGATGTGCTCTCTTTCTGTAAACAAGTTGAACTCAAATTAGGGCGATAGTGTAGCTTATTATACAAACAAAAGAAATAATAATTATAAAGGAACAGAAGACTCAGCAAACTAACATGGCTGAAACAACTGAAATTTTGCTTTGCTGTTGCTTGCTTCTAGATTGAGTGTCACTGGCAATACTTTCAGTTGACTTTTTAGCAAGACACTCATCACTTAATTGTGCTCACTCAGTTGCCTTGTAAGACTATCACACACAGACGGAAGTCACGCATTTGCTTTCGGTGGGGGATATTAAATAATACAAATCTATTTCTTATCGCAGCCTCTTGCGATTTAGCTAATTGCAACATTTTCGAGTAATCGCACAGCCCTGGTGTCCATGTAAATGTACTGACTGTGTTAAAGTGGTTAGTTTACCCAAGAATTCATATTCGGTTATTAGTTCACCCTGATGTTGTTACAATTCCTTGATTCCTTTGCTCATCTTCAGAACACAAATGAAGATATTTTAGATGGAATCCGAGAGCTCCCTCCTTCTCCATTGACAGCAACAGTCCAGAGAAGTTCAAAGTCAAGAAAATGACAAAACTAAATTAAAGACCTATCTTTTTAGTAAAGCATACACACAGTGCATCACATAACAATATAATTAATGCACTAGACATTCCTTTAGAAACACTCCTATGCTTTACATGTTTGATTATATAAGTCAAGTAAAACTTTTTATTTATGGAGCACTTCACAAACACAGAAATATGCCTGTATATGAAGTGCTGTACAGAAAATACACAACAAAATGAGCATAATAATTTATGAAATACAAGATAAAATCTAGCAAATTTACCTGAAAAGGCACATAAATTAAAATAACCAGGTATTAAGATCAGGTGTCAAATGTTAATGAAAAAAAAAAGTTTTAAGAGCTGATTTAAATGAGATCATGGAAGAGGCCCGTTTTATGGGCAGTGGCAAATCATTCCAAAGCCTAGGACCTACCACAGCAAAAGCACGATCCCCTCAAAGCTTACGCTTTGTTTTTGGCACAATCAAGAGAAGTTGATCAGCTGACCTGAGAGAACAAGTGGGCTTAAGGCTGATTTATCCTTCTGCATTGAGTGATCGTCATTACCCACAGCACATGCTTTGCGTGTAGTCGTGCATTTATACTTCTGTGTGCAGTTTGTGTTTCTCTGCAATGGCACTTTTGAAACGCTAGTTGCCAGTAGGCTTTTATGTTCCTCTGTGTTGTGTTTCTTCTCTGGTGTTTTGTTTTTTCTAAACTCTACCCTAATGTACAAGAAGCTAAAACTTGCTCATTCTGAGGAGGAAATTAGTGGATGTGCGAAAACATTAATCATAAGGTAAACACACAACAAAGGTTTCCCTTTGAATTTACTTTACGGGACTCGACTCTTGTAAACACTCGCTCCAACAGGTTCACACAGCTCTCAGTCCCACCCACACTCGTCAGCGTTATCATGCCGACCAATCTCAGAGCTTGTGCTACACGTCGTTGTGACGTGTAGTTAAGTTTTTTGAGAGATGCACGTGGGCATCAGCCATTGTGAGGGCTATGCAACCGTGCAAAGGCTGTGCCGGCACATACGCGTATGCTTGTTGCAAGAGTATAAATCGGCTTTATAGGGGTGTATCAGCTTAGAGACATAAGGTAGGGCAAGAACATTTAGAGATTTAAAAACAAAGAAAAGAATCCTTAACTGTATTCTAAAATGAACTGGCAACCAATGAAGCGAAGCTAACACGGGAGAAATGGGGTATAACTGCTATTTTCGTTTTATAGCACTTTTTTGCACTGATATTTAATATATTTTGTTTAAATACACTGAGAATTACCCTCAAGACAGACCATATACCTTCAGTGGTTCAATTGAAATATTATGAAGCTACATGAATACATTTGTGCGCACATGAACACAAGGGCCCTATCATACACCTGGCGCAATAAGGCGCAAGATGTGTTTGCCCCGACGTGTTGCTATTTTTAAAACCCATGCAACCTTAATTTTCCTGTTTTCCGCCATGTTGTTTAAATGGCAAATCCATTTGTGCCGCTTTGTGGACTCATGAGTGTTACGATCTAGAAAAAAAGGTGTTGTGGCGCATTGTTGGCACGTTGCTATTTTGGTAAACTACAATAGACTGCGCAATAGACCAAATTAAATATGTAGGCTAATGGATGTCCTCAGTGGAGAATGTCCAACAACGTTTCTTTATCCATGAAAAAGACAAAGTGAAAGTAAAGATCAATTGGAGCTGATTGCCACATTCACAAGAGTGCTGTGCTCTTTAATCTGTTGAATAAAGTAGGATGTTTTTCTTTTTTTGTGCATGCGACTATTCCTGTAGCTTGTTAATGTTCCGATGGTGGGGGGGTATTTTTCTGTACTTGAACGAGTATGGATCATTGCTAGTCATTGCTGTTTTCGGAGGATAAGGGAGCTCTCAGAATTACTCTAAAATATCTTAATTTGTGTTCTGAAAACTATCTAAGGTTTAGAGGGTGATAAATTAATAACAGAATTTTCATTTCTCAATAAAACCCTTTAACATTTTCACATGTAAAGTGTTTTATCTTTGTTTATGCTTGCTTCTCCCCTCTATCTCAGATCATGGGTGTAATCCAAAGAGCCTATGATGGCCAGCCAGTGGAGAAGATCACCAAGAGCCAACCACCCTGTGTCATCCTCTAATGCTACACATTTTAACCCTTCACTATTGGCTCTCAATTGAACATCTTCATGTTAAAGAGATAGTTCACCCAAAAATGAAACAATGCTGTTATTATCTCATCCTCAGGCCACCCAAGATGTAAGGGACTGTTTTTTTCTTCTTCTTAAGTATAACATTAAAGAAGATTATTAGCTAAAACAGTTGTCAATAGCCCCTTTCATGCATACAGACTTCTCTGATTTTATTTTGTGGCATTTAGAGGTTGTGTAACATTACAAAATAATGTTCCGGTAATGTTACAGGAGTTTGTTCTGTCTGAAAGAGGCTTTGATGATAATAAGTGCAATTTCAATAAGTGCAAGACAGTGCTGTAGTCACTTAAAGAGTAAAAAAAAACACATACAGCCAAAACAAAAGTATTACCCATGGGCTGCTGATGGCACATTTATTGATCAGATCATCAAGGACCAAGGTTTCTGTTTAAAATCTTTACTGACAAATCTCTTTGATGACCTGGGATGACTAAGTTAACAGCAAGTTTTATATTTTTGGTTGCACTATTCATTTAAGATTTCAAACAATTCAGTCTGCATAACTTTATAAGGGAAGAAGTATAAACATCTAGAGATCCTTGAATGTCACCTGCTTCACTCTGCCTGTCTGGATGCTGGACGTAAATGATTACCGTAACTCTAAAATAAGCAGTTATGGTATGAGAACTAAAGTCCACGTATCCATTAAACAGAAAGAGTAAGACTGGTGATGGTGAGGAGGAGGCCAGTGGAAGGGTTAATGAATTAACTAAAAGGTTTCTTTTTAAAGTTAAAGCCACATTGCCTACTGAGGTCACTGTTCATCTGTGGCTGGTTGTTTTTTGTGTGTGTTTGTGGGTTTATATACAAAAATATATGCTATGATGCACTAAAGTACTGGTCACACTTTACAAGTAAGCTTCTTTTAGTAACTGTACAGAATTTATTAATCCTACTTCAACATCAACGAATGTGTTATTAAATTCCAATGTTTTGCTTGTTAACACGAATTAATGCAACTTGAGATAAACAAAGATTAATAAATGCTGTCATAAATCTATTCATGTAAGTAAATGCACTAAATAGAAACTTATTGTATAGTGTAACCAATGTACTGAATCTTTTGCTGCAAGAAAGGAATGTCTAAAACAGGGGTGCCCGAACTCAGTTTTGGAGGGCCGGTGTCCTGCAAAGTTTAGTTCCAACCCCAATCGGTTACACCTGGGCTAGCTAATCAAGCTCTTATTAGGCTTTCTAGAAACAACCAAGGTGTTTTAAGACAAGTTGGAGATAAAATCTGCAGGACACCAGCCCTCTAAGAACGAGACAGCCCTGGTCTAAAGCTTGAATGCCTGAAATCGCAATAGTTTAGTGTGTCTGAGTGGAAAAAATGGTCATTTTTCTAGTGTCCTTTTTTTTTCCATTATCTCATATCAGCATGAAAACATCTTAGATAAATTACTTTCATATTGGTGATTAATTGAAATGTAAGTGTCAAGTACTGTAGGGCATGTTTTGGGCCAATTTTGCTTGGATGTCAAAGCTCAGGGTATTGCCTCTCATAAGCATTTAAGTATTAAAGCATGGGTCGCAAACTCAATTCCTGGAGAGCCGCAGCTCTGCACAGTTTTGCTCCAATTCTAATCAAACACAGCTGATCCAACTTATCAAGGTGTTTTAAAGAGTCTTGAACAGCTTGGTTAGTTGCATCAGCTGTGTTTGATTAGAATTGGAGCAAAACTGTGCAGAGCTGCGGCTCTCCAGGAATTGAGTTTGAGATCCATATTACCCATAGTACCTCCAGATCAAACCAAACAGCAAGACTTGTATGATCTACTGCCCACATGTTTGTTTTGTGTTTTTAGAAACTACTGAAGTTCCCAATTATGTAATGTGAGGTTAGTAAAATAATTCGGCTCCTTAAATAACATGTTTGATGCATGATTTCATTAATTTGAAACAATTTAAAATCTCCTATGACCTGAATGTGCCTGTACCATTGCATTTTACATAATCTTTATTGTTACACATGTTCTGCATACATCATCATATTCTGTTATTCCAAATGAACGGTTAGTTTAATTATAGGGGTGCTGGCATTATGTTCACATGGTCTCATGCACAAAGATCTGTAATTACATGGGTTTTAATTGAAGTAGACTGCAATAGGAAATTACTGTCAGGAATTAATAGTCTCTTTAATTATTAAACCTAATTCAGTGTAGTGGAATGGAAGTTTCTTGTAGTGTTTGAGAGCATAGTGATGTTTAGATGCATATTTAACTTTGTTTTGTCTTTAAATATGTTGTTGATTTCAAATAAAAAGAACTGAACAATTTTCTGTGATTTCTGGTTTGTAGTTGAAGATTTTAAATTGGGGCATTTCTCTGTGGAGTTTACATGTTCTCTTTGTGTTTGCATGTGTATCCTCTGAGTGCTTCAGTTCCCCCCACAAATCCAAAGATATGCGCTATAGGTGAATTGGGTGAGCTAAATTGGCCGTAGTTTATGTATGTGAATGAGAGTCAATGGGTGTTTCCCAGTGATGGGTTGCAGCTGGAAGGACATCCATTGTGTAAAACATATGCTGGATAAGTTAGCAGTTCATTCCGCTGTGGCAACCCCTAATTAAAGAAAGAGACTAAGCCCGAAAAAAGAATTTGAATGAATGAGATGTTAAATTTTGCCGGCCACTTTATTGGGTACACCTTTTTGTTCTTTTACTGGGTTGGAGCCATGTTTTCCTTCTCTAATCAATCCACGCAATCCTTTTGTGGTGTAGATTTAATAACTAATAATCACCCATTCCAGCAATATTACAATAGTACTCGACTGTATCTTGTGACTGGAGGCCAATTGAGTGTAGAGCATTATAGCATGCTGCTCTTCTGCTGCTGTAGCTCATTTGGTTCAAGGTGAGTGGGACATGTTGTGTGTTCAGAGATGCTCAGTTGTAATAAATGATTACTGTGGATTTCTCCAAGATAAAACCATTATGCACACAAAACTGATGTTTACTCTATATTCTTTTTATGCTTTTCAAGCTGTGGTCACACTGGACTTTTCTCCCCATAAACTTTCATTCATACACACGCAAATGCATCAGAGCTGAAGCACAAGCTTGTGCGACAAGTTTCACAGTTCGCTGCATTTCAAAGTTCAAGCTTGGTGAACTCTGACTTGTGAAATTATATCACTTGACTGCATGAGACCAATCAAGGATCAAAACATGACCTCTCTGAACAGAAATTGTAAATATGAACCAATCGCTTGCTTTTTTAAAATGTCAAATCATCCTGTTTAATCGCACCCCTTTTCACAGGCCGTATGACAGAATTTCTTAAGATCGAACTCTAGTATGACTGCGGCATTAATCAAACACAGCTGATCCAACTAATCTAGGTGTTCAAGATTACTAGATCTCAGCTGTGTTTGATTAGGGTTGGAGCAAAACTGTGCAGAGCTGCGGCTCTCCAGGAATTGAGTTTGAGACCTATGCTGTAAATCCTATATATGGTTGTGCTTGAAAACCCCCGCAGATCATCCATTGTGAAATAGTCAGACCGGTCACGTGGCAACATTCCATGTTCAAAATCACCTTCCTTCCTCATTCTGAAGCTTAGTTTGAGCTTCAGTGGATCGTCTTTATCACATGTGTTCAAGTGGAATTTCTGAAATGTGATCAATTGTAGAGATATTTGCATTAAAGGGATGTAGTTCACCCAAAAATGAAAATTAAAATTACCTCACCATTGACTCATGAGGTTTTTAACATTTATGAGTTTCTTTCTTCTGCCATATACAAGATATGTTACGACGAATGCTGTCATGGGTGCTATCAACCAGTATTCTTTAAAATATCTTCTTTTGTGTTTAGCCATGAATCTCTAACAGAATTAATTTTAGGGTTAACTTTTCTTTTCTTGACAAGTTCCCTGATCACCCATATCACAAAAATTTCTATTCAATGTTTGTTCACATCTGAATGTTATATGAATGTTTCTGCAAAACGTCTATCAGATGTTTTTCAGACCAATAGTTTTTTATTATTATTATTATTCAAATGTACTTGTGCTAGCACACACACAAATTGACTAATAGTGGCAATTGTATGCAAACTATTGCACTTCATTTTTACATTCAGTGTCATGAACATTTCTGAAAAGGGCTTAAACAAGCCGGATGGTCTCGTCCTTGTAGGCAGAGTGCTTTAAATGATCTTAGTGTGATTTATTTGTGTTAGTATCATTGTTTTGGTTAACTTAAAAGAATTGCATAGCTAACATTAATTTGGCTGTGCTGAAAGGTTGCTCAAGAGTTGCAGTGTCATTGTGATGTGATCTAGGTGTGTAGGGCAGGTGCAGGGTGTTTCCTCTCACACAGGTGTCTCCAGTGGCGAAGAGTGCGTGTGTTGTTTTCAGTCTCCTCCAACAAGGTAACCAGCAACCTAAAGACAAGAATCATGGTCGTGAAGGTCAAAATCGAATACTGGTAAGCTGTATTTGCATTTAGACTACCTGTTTGTAGCCTACTGTTCAGTATTTTATGTGGTTTTAAATCATCTGTTAGCACTGTGAATACATTGTGTTCTAGCTGAGGTTTAATAAAAAAAATAAAATAAAGAAAACGATGTATTTGGTCATCAAGCACGTATTTTGAAGTGGCAGTCGTAACCATAGGACGTCTGTAGAATACGCTTGTTTACTCCGAATCGATTCTTTTGAAGAGTTTGCTTAAAGAGTCGATTCGATGACCGATTCTGTGCATGTTTACTTTTTTGTGTCGTGACACGTTTAGTCAAATATTTTAAACAGTTTAATCGTTCCTATTTTGGTGAATCTTTATGAAAAGTATGTCAAGTTTGTTTGCGTTGGCTATCTATTATCAGCTGTTTAAGTTTTAACGTTACTACAAATAAGCCTACTATGGTTATGGTCAAAACCATAGTTAATCTTCGTAGGTGCAACGTTAGTCTAAACGGTTAGTTGGTCGTATAAATTTTGTTCATATTAGTTATAATTATGAATACGGCCAGAGCATAACAATTGTTTTATTTATATTAAACAGTAGCCTACTCGGAGTTTATTTGGTCTAACGTTCATTAGCTACCAAGTAGCCTAAATGAGTTGACTTCAACCGCCTGTTGTGAACCGGTTCCGTCGAATTCTTTGGAAAAGGAGCAACTGTAAATGAATAGTGTTATCGTGCGATGTGGAAAAACCGGTTTAAGTGATCATGCACAGAAGCTTTTACACATGAAGAACGTATTGTTCATTTTATAAAAGATATCTGCTTTTCTATCACACAAGTGGTGCATGAGGTTACGAGCCTCGCTTCCAGGAGCTGAAGCGAGAAATCTGTGGAAACTGTCCTGATGCTGAGGTGTCCGGCTTCGTGGGCAGGAGAGGTGAAGCACTTTCTATATATATATATATATATATATAATTAGGTACAGTTTTATGTCATCATGTTTACTTAAGACCATACGTAAATAACAGGTAGGCTACTGTATGTGTATGTGGCCTGTAGGCTAATTTACTCTCTCTTTCCTATAGGATGCTTTGAGATACAGATCAATGACTTTTTGGTTTTCTCAAAGCTGGAGTCAGGTGGTTTCCCTTACAGTGAGGATGTAAGTATTGTGAAATATCATATTTTGGGTTAATTTGTTTATTTGAGTGGGTGAAATGTGCATAAGTGCAGACAGAGACATGTTTGAGTATTTTTAAAGTACTGTAAAATACTTGCTTGCACAAAAAGCTTAGAAACAGTTTCTCAATTGTGGTAAACTTTTTTTTTTCCTGGCAAGATTGACATTCGCATGGAATTGCTCATATTTTTTTAATTCTCTTCAAAATCCGGGACTGTCATTCGCTCCTATTCAATTGATTTTTGGTTCAGCACTGTGTAGTTTGTGTTGGTCTTCCTGATTACAAGCTAAGCCTTTAACTAAATAATGCTTTTAATAGCTGTACTGAGTGTTGTTGAATTCTTTTAATTTTTCTTATTTTTCTCTGTATAAATCCTGTAGATTATAGAGGCCGTTGTTAAGGCAAAGGATGGGAAGCCTGAAAAGATCACCAGGAACCGTAAAGAGTGCATCATCCTCTAAGGCTTTGACCTGCGATCCCCCTTACCATCTCAGCGGAGATCCTTATCAGCGTCTTATTGGTCCACTGCACAACATACAGTTTTAAAGCTCTTCACTTATCTGCTTTAATGCTCTAGTTTTTTTAGACATAAATGACTGCCTTGGCTCAAAGTTCAAAAGTTAAGGTATGAAGCTTCAGTCTCTAAAAACTAAACCTAAGAGTAATAAAGAAGAAAGTGAAGAGTACACATTATATTATTATTTGATTAATTTAAAACCAATGACCATTTTTGTTAATAGAATAATGATTTTATTCATATCCTACACACCTATAGCCTCATTCTTATACTTACAACTTTCCAAGCATGACTTAAATATATATTTAAAAGAATTTCAAAGATAACCCTTTTTAGCGCACTTGTTGTAATACTCATTGGGAAAAATCTGTAGCATGACTGGGTGTTATGACAAGAGTTTTATGACTATATGCACACATATATAGGCATATGATTGTAGTGTGGTCAGTAAAGTCATGCTATTAGAATACTGCTTAATTATTAAAAGACTAAATTAAAGTTCTAAATGTTTTTCATTCTTTGTAATAGACCAATAATTTTAACCATAGCCTGAAATATATATACAAAATAGAAATATAAACGTATATATGAATCTGTGAAATGATTTCTGTGCCCATGTAATCAATAAAATCCATAAAATAAAATCCTCTGAATAGATTTGCATGTTTTCTAATAGGTTAAGAGTCGTCACAGGCAAAAAAATAAATACACTTGTTGAACTTCTGCATTAAACTAATAAATGTACAGTATATATTTTTGTAAGATTTAATACTTATGTTTTTTAGAATTATGATTAATTAGACTTTTAGTTCAACTTAAAATAATTATGCATGTAAACATTTTCCACCAACAGCAGAGGGCATTTCTCTTTGCTGCTGTGTTTCAGTTCAGTGCCATTGTATTCATATACTGTACATGCATTAACAAAATGGAGAATGGAGCTCTTTTTAAATTAACTCATTACAGGCAATAGATCGTTTAATAGATAACTGGCAGTTAATTGAAGTGAAATTATTTAAAATAATGCTGTAGTTGCAAGCATTATAGTTTTTAATAATAATAGTGATTACAGTTGTATATTCTCAGACTCAATATAATATATATGTGCCTGTGTATTAAGGACATAATTTCATTATAAAATAAGCATTAAAGTACATGTGTTAATCATGATTTTATGCTTGTGAATAATGTAAGTAAAATTCAGTGAGGAGTTTCCAACACTGCACTGTAATTTTGTAAATGAAAACGCCCTTAAAACAGCCAGTGATGGTTTGTGTGTATGGTTATCACAGAACAGTCGAGTTGGTGTTTTATCATGAAACTCCAGAGACTGCAGGAGGGACACACCTACACACTGTTTCTGTAAAATATAATTTGCGCAATATAGCATCACCGCTGGGGAGTAATATCATACAAGGCCTTCAGTGTAAGGTGTTATTGTGAAGAGCAGAGATGATCAATTACTCTATTATTAAACAGTTGATCAGTTGCTCTTTTATTATTGTAATACTACACTCATTTCAGTGTAAAACAGTAGAATTTTGAGCAGGTTTTTAATTTTTTTTAGTCCTGTGTTTGTAGGCTCAGTGATTTTACTTTTATAGTGATAAGTTCCTTTTATTGCCTTTAAAGTGAAATAAATGAACATAAACATAGGGGGCTGAAAAAAATACATTTAGATGAAACATTTAGAGGTTTTTGTGTCTATACTCTTCATTTGCTCTTTAAAAAATAAGGTTCCAAAAATGTACTTTGTAAAGGGATTCAATGGAAAAACATCTCTGGTTTCCTGAAGAACCTTAAAGTGAAGTTCCTAAAAACAATTTTTTTTTTTCTTAGAGTTAAGAACATATTTAGTCAAAATCAAAATGCCTTTTTTACTATGAAGAACATTTTGTGCGATTTTTATATAGTAAGGTTTCACCTGTATATAAAAAAAAAGAACTTTTTGTTTTCTATAGAAGTACATCTCTGCTTATAACAAATGATTAATGAAAGATTAAAGAGCAAGTAAGATAAATAAAATATAATTAACAATTGGGTGGATGCAACATAATTACTAGGATTAAACAAAAGAAGAAGGATTGGTAACACATTATTTCAATGGGCCATCTGAGTATTAGTAGACTGTCTGCTTAATATCTGTTGATACTGCTGCCGAACAGACATTTAACTGACTATAAGAAACTTTGTATTGTACGTGTCATCTTAAACTAACCTCAACCTAACACTCTATTTATAATTTGTTGAGAATTAGTTGGCATGTAGATGCAATGTAACTTAAATTCAGTAAACGGACCATCAAAATAAAGTGTGACTGAAGGATTTGTTTGCCATACTTCCGTTTAGCTCTGTTTTCCATGGTGTTTTTTACATAGTTAACTTTGAGTTGACTACATGTAAACCAAGGTGTGGATTTGGAATCTGCATACCTCTAGTAAGCAAGCTTTAGGGTAAATTAATTAAGAGTTCACAGTAAATATGATGACAAATTCATGTGAATTTTGTACAGTTTCATACCTTTTAGTACGATTTGCCCCTCCCCCAGTGGACCTTTTTCACAAGATTGTTATGACACTTAGCAGTCTTTATAATCTTAAATCCTTGAAAGTTTTTAATATTTAGGTTAAAAAAAAAATTCTCAACTTTTTACGCATTTATGTTTGAATTTATGTCCAAAAAAGAATTACCACTAATATTAGGGCCCAATCCCAATTTTATTTTTATACCCCTTCCCATTGGCCCTTGAAACAGAGTGTCAAAATTTACCCCTAAGAAATGAGACACGTGATGACACACGTCATCGTATGTCATCACAATCTTTTGCTTCATATGAGATCGACGATCATGACTGCTGTATTCTTTTTGCGTTATTTTTTTATATTTATCTTCAGGAAACTACTGAATGCCTATATTATGTTATCATAATGATAAATGATTGGTAATAAGATCATAACTGTACTGCGCATTTACACAGTGGCCTTATTCATCTATGTAAACACACGAAAACAACAATGACATTATAGCAGACACTGTAAAAAGGTCATTCGCAGCCACTAGACTTTTCTAACAGGATATTCGAGTGTCAGAATGTTGTGGCACTACTATACAGGAGTTAATATTAGGGATTGTAGGTAGCGAAATTTTGCGTTTTTATATTAGCGGTTTTGTTCAAAAGCATGACTGGAAAACATGAACACTGTTATGAATGTTATGAATTTGTGGATTTCCTGACTTCCATGTGCAACCATGCTGCCGTTGTGGCTGGTGTATACTGTGAAATGTTCTTACCCCTCAGTTTTGAGTGTGGTCCTGAAAAATCTTCTTTTTTTTAGAGGTATAGCCCTTCCCCTTAGCCCTACGTCTTTAGGATGAAGAGAATTGGGACACCCCTATCTCTTCACGTGAACATGCAAAACGAGGGGTAAGGGGAAGGGCTAAGGGGTAGAATTGGGATTGGGCCTAGGTGTTTCTAATGCAGTGTCTATGGGGGAGTACAATACATTTAATGTTGTTTTCTCTTCTGGCTGCCGTTATTATTCTCACACTTTTTTTTTCCTTTTTCTGAAGGTCTTGATAACACCATCGTAGAGTTTTTCTTTCATTATTTCAGCAAATGGGACTGTAAAAAATGATTTGTTGTACTCTTCCATTTACTGCACTCTGAGTTTACCCCACTGTGATGACTTCTGCACACTTGTTCTCTTATTTTTATTTTTTCTACATTTCAATGAAAGAAAAATGTAGTATTTAGTCACTTTTCTGTCAACATGTAAAATAGGTGAGTTTCCTTGTTAGAGCAGGCTGCTTACTCTTGCTCTCTTGTATACCATATATTCATTTACTGTTGCATGTGCTGTCAAAATATTCCACAGCAACCTGGATTCTTCATGACCCCTGAAGATGTTCTGTAGTTTTTCCAACCAGCAGCTGATTCTCCACATTCCTTTAGGTTGTAAGGTGTAGCTTCCGTTAGATCAGCACATCATACAGGTGCTCACATGGCCAAACACAAATACAGGATAATGTTCTCTTGCTCCATGGTTAAGTTTTGATTCTTTCAATGTCAGTAGTAGAAGCTTTTCATTGCAGACTGAGAGGGCATGATTGGTCTGCAGCTTCATACGCAGCAGGTTTGATACTCTGTGTTTTGTGACACATTGATATTTTGTCTGACTTGTACCAAGGACTTTTTGTTGGTGAGACAGGAAGGGCTTTGCACATCAATGATCTTAGGCACCCATCACCATGGTGGCAGTTTGTGGTTTCCCCCCTCTGTTTACAGTTGATTAAATCTCACCACTGCTGACTGACAGCACAGTCATACAAATAAAGGCGCCAGGAAGAACTACAAAAGGGTTTTTTCAAAGGGAAGTAAACATTTTTGTTTCCTTAAGAAGCATTTTTAAAGAAGTGGTTCAACCAAAATTAGAATTTTATTAGTAATTGTTCACACTCGTAATGTTCCAAACCCCTTAGACCTTTATTCATTTTAAGAAATCCACAAATTAAGATACAGTATGTTAAGGAAATCTAAAAGTCAGCTATGGTTCTGAGATGTTAAACGTCCAAAAACATTTTATGTCACTTCCCTGGTTCAACTAATCAAAGTTCTTTCCAAGTTCTGAAGAATTTTAAATTTTAGGTAAACTAACCCAGTAATCAGGGGCGGACTGGGACTAAAAATCAGCCCTGGCACTGTAGCCACACCAGCCCATATTACCACACCGACACAGCCCTATCCACGAACAGGCACATTTACTACTTATATTGGTGCACAGATGGTGAAATAATATAAGCAGTACCTTTTGTAATATATATTTAAACTTTTAATGTATGTGACTGGAACAAAAACCCATTTATAACAAATTTATACATCAATCATTTCATTCATTCAATTTCTTTTCAACTTAGTCCCTTTATAAATCTGAGATCGCCACAGCAGAATGACCCACTAACTTTTTCAGCATATGTGTTACCCATATGTGTAACCCAATTCACCTATAGCTCGTGTTTGGACTTGTGAGGGAAACCTACACGAACATGCAAACTCCACATAAGAACACCAACTGACTCAGCCAAGGCTCGAACCATTGACCTTCTTGCTGTGAGGCGACAGTGCTACCCACTGCGCTGCCCCCTTTCGAGACTATTTCAGTTAATTTTATGCATCTGGCAGCGTCTGATTTTAGAGCAATCTTTTGCTTTCTCTGAGCTTTTCGGCAACACCTTTCCTTTTCTACAGTCCATCTCTGACAATTAGCTTGTGCTGCACTTACTGTTTGTTTGACATTCTTGACAGATTTTGATTACGTCCACGTAACCTCTGATTGGGTCGGCCCCTCTCGAAACCAGCCGGCCATTGCCGATTGGGCCAATGCTTAACATTTATTATTATAATAACTATTATCATTATCATATTCACTTCTTGCAAGAGATAAAAGCTGCCTGCATGTAAAAACAATACATAAAAATTTTTTAAAAATAGCACACCGGCCCACATTTTAAAATAAAAGGTCCGGCCCTTCTGGCATTTGCCAGAATTGCCAGATGGCCAGTCCTCCCCTGCCAGTAATGAAATGTTTTTCCATTTTTCATAGTTTATGATCTAAAGAGCTTTAATTTACTATAAAGAAGCTTTTGCAGGACAAAGTAATTTGATCGATGTTAAACCTTCATCATAGAAACATCGATGCGAAGAACACATGCAACCCACAAGCCATATCGTTTAGGGACAATTTTAGAAAAGTTTACAATTTTACAAAATTACATATAACGTTATTTCTTTTTCCCATTTTTACAGCCCACAACATGTTGACTATGAAAACAGGCTGTTAATTTACCATTTAAAATAAAGGTGACTTGACTAATCTACCCAGACTTTATCATGTTGCTTTGTTAGAAATGGTCAATATTCACTTCTGTAATTGGTCATTATACACTATCGGAAATTAAAGTAAAAGATAAAGGTGCTGTTGCAGTACAATTTTAGAAAGTGCAGAGTATCTTAAAGGTACACTGTAAAAGCTATAAGTCAACTTTATCAAATGAAATGAGTGTGGTTAACTCAAAATTGACTGAAAGTTAAATCTACTTATTTGAAAAGAGTTTTGAACTCAGTGTTGAAGGTAATGAGTTATGAAAATACCGCATAACTTCAGCTTAAACGGAGTAAGTACATAGTACCCTTAGATTACACTGAAAAAAATTATTCAAAGATGATTCCTTGAATTTACTCAATTTCTTTATGTTAAGAGGTGGTAAACAATTTATTTGGGCTGAATTTAAACAAACAAATTAAGTTGAACTTTACTAAACTTAATTTGTTTGTTTAAATTCAACACAAAGAAATTATTTGCAACAGTTCTGCATGCAACACTTTTTTCAGTGTAGTTTAACTCAAATGGTTTGAGTTGCCTTAACTTATTAGGTTTTACAGTACTCAGTTGGTTTACTCATAGTCAAATCAGGAAGAAAATGTGTGTGTGTGTGTGTGTGTGTGTGTGTGTGTGTGTGTGTGTGTGTGTGTGTGTGTGTGTGTGTGTGTGTGTGTGTGTGTGTGTGTGTGTGTGTGTGTGTGTGTGTGTGTGTGTGTGTGTGTGTGTGTGTGTGTGTGTGTATTATTTTGTATATTTTTATCAGAAATATTTCACTGTTTTATGAAAACAAATCCAGTAAAATGTACAGACTACATTAATATACAAATATATAAAAGAAGGTTGAGTGATATAAGAAAAAAAACAGCAAAATAAATTAATAAAAATACAAAAGGTGCATATTAGGATGGTTGTGCACCATGGCTATAATCTCTTAGGGCCCCCAAATAACTAAACCCGCCCCTGTATATCCTGTAGTATACATTTTCAATTGTGATTATGTTTTCTGAATATTTGTTAAAAAATAATCATTAATTGTTCCAAAACAATCAAATCAAATTTCCAACTCAAATGTGGGTAATATATGCACAAACAACTTTTTGGAGAACATTTTAAACCGACAATGACGTTTGCTTTTTGTTCAAACTGCTTATTACAAATTAGCTGAAACAACATAATTCTTAAGGTTTTTCGGGAGGACAACTTACTTGTTTTATGTTCAATCCCATTTCACTGTAAAAAGTGATGAGTTACCTAACACGAGTAAACCAATTGCTTTAAAAGAAACAAGTTGAAAAGTTTAACAAAAAGTAATGTAAGTAACCCCATTGTAGCTTGGAACTGTTAAGCTGACTTAATTGTTATTATTATGCAAATTGTATTCACTTTATTTTAAATAAAAGTTAACTAATCACTTATTTTCCAATACACCTTTATTTCCCAGTTTTTCTGTATCTAGCAAAATGACAGTAACCAATAAATCTGCTCTCTAGTGTGTCTTCTAAATTCAGAGCAGGCTATAATTGTAGATTTTATAGACTCAATGAAGCACCAATTAAGTAATATTGTAATGAATGTAGTAATTATTGAAAAACAAACGTGCTAAAATACTCTGACACTGTTAAAAGAGATTGGTTGACTTTTAAAAAGTGAGTACAATTAGCATAATTATAAAAATTAAGTCAGCTTAGCAGTTCCAAGTTACAATGGGTTTACTTGCATTATTTTTGTAAAGTTGTTTAAACTTGTTGCTTTTAAGACAATTGGTTTACTCAATTTAAGTAACTGATCCCTTTTTACAGTGTACATTTGTAATAAGTTAACTTAATTTCTTTATATTGTCCCAACAAAAACCGATTAAGTGCAACCCAACATTTTTTTTACGGTGCGGCGAATGGGATTTTCAACACTTTATCCAAATTTTGGACTAAAGTATAGTTTGTTAAACATCTTTACATAATAACCAACAAACTGAAAACAGTGTCTGCAGTCTGCATCAGTAAACAATCAGTACAGGATCTGCTCATGTGATGCTCCTCTCTGGAGAAGTTGTTTTTCCATCCATTAATAGGTCTCATAACTACAGCGCTGAGCATTAATTACTCCCATACTCCTAAAAAAAAAAAAAGTGAACGCGTGTGTTGTCAGTGGACTGCAATCATTGCCTCACGTCCTCAGAGAAATGCTACCCTAAAGCGCCTGCATTTCTCCCCATGGACTTAATCTGTAACAATCCATATTTATTTTAAATGAACACTTTGTGAATTACAAGTTGACAGTGAGTGTGTGCCTCTTTCATGCATTGTCTTTTCTGATTTCAGCTCTCTAATTGCAGACAGACCTGTCCTATCTTGCTCATAAAGACCAATCTTTGTGCAAACTTTTGCTTCAACCTGCCTGGAAGTTTCTGGTAATCTTAAAGACCTTCATTAGATGGTTCAGATGTATTTAAACTCTGCAGGAAGGTGGATTCTCATGAGAAGCATCACTTCACTGTCTTGAGGGCAAACACTGAAGATGTTTAGAGGGAATTTTCTCAATCTATGTCTGTCTTTGAACCTTTAGCCTTTCTAGATAACCCAAGGCCCTTGAACACTGGGCAACCATCCTCTCCATGCTTCAGGTAATTTATATCAGTATCCTAATCAATAATGATTATGATATGTCTTGTTGGTAGAGGTTCTTGGGGTCATTCTCAGTAAATGGTACCTTTTTTGCATATTTGTTTACCTGACATTGATATTTATATTAGATTTCTTCATTATTGACTTGCATGTTGTATGTAAAAACGTTATGAGGTAGAGTACAGTTAATGTAAAGTACAAGTTTATTAATTAACGAATGGTTTAAGGGTGGGTAAGGTCTAAGGCTCGATGTATGTAATAACACATGTAACAACAGAGAAACTTGCAGGTATTTCTTAAATGTATGACATGCAAACATGTATGTATCTAATGATAGGTGACCCTCATAGTATCCAATGAATTAAAATTTTAGTGCTTAGTATTATATATACTTTGTATATTATATATATATACAGTTGAAGTCAGAATTGTTAGCCCCTAATGATTTATTTTATCTTTGTCATGATGACAGTAAAAATATAGTACTAGATATTTTTTCAAGACCCTTCTATACTTAAACTGAACTTAAACGCTAAAACCTGAACCACACTGTTCCAGTTACTATGACCATTTATGTGAAGCTGCTTTGACACAATCTACATTGTAAAAGCGCTATACAAATAAAGCTGAATTGAATTGAAATTGAATTCTATACATCTTAAAGTGACATTTAAAGGCTTTACTAGGTTAATAAGGTTAATTAGGCAGGTTAGGGTAATTAGACAAGTTATTGTATAACGATTGTTTGTTCTTTAGACTATCGAAAAAAATATAGCTTAAAGGGGCTGATAAATTTGTCCATAAAATGATTTTTTTTAAATGCTTTTAATCTAGCTAAAATAAAACAAATAAAACTTTCTCCAGAAGAAGAAATATTATCAGACATGCTGTGAACATTTTGTTGCTCTGTTAAACATAATTTGGGAAATATTTAAAAAAAAAGAACAAAAAGTTCAAAGAGGGGCTAATAATTCTGACTTCAACTTACTATATTTAATATCTTGACTTAGTTGATCATTTGGAAAAGTGGCAGAAGGTAGATTTTTCTGAATTATTTGTTGAACTGCATCCCAATGTGTCTCATGAGGCATGGACCCAAGATTCTCACAGAAATCAGTCAAATTTGGTGAAGGAAAAATCATGGTTTGTGGTTACATTCAGTATGGGGGCGTGCGAGAGATCTGCACATCAAGATTAGTTTTTGAACTTAATTAGTTTGAGTTGCCTTAAATTTTTGGGTTTTACCCAAAAATAAAACTATGTGTAAATAAAACTATGTATCACAAAATACAGGCATCTGTTCATTACCTTATACGTTTAAAAAAAACAAAAAAAAAAAAAAAATTTTTATTTGTTGACAGGTCTTAAAGAGCTCTCATTGGCTGAAGGGGCAGCAGTGTTTCCGTGACTCAGCGGAAAAAAGGGGCATATCAAACCGATGTGAGGGCCGTGCAGGGGGAAACCCCTTCAAACGCCCCCCAGACACCTTCGGAGGGGTGTCCACCATTTCCCCACGTGAAGGAAATCCCAAACCTACACCGTCTGATGTCAGAAGGCAAGATGTTGCTTTACTGATTAATTTAGCCTTTAACTTTAATACTTCATATACCCCTTACCTCTCTCTCTTTCTCTCCCTCTCGCTTCCTCTCAAAGAGTCATTTTTTATCCAAGCTGAATATTTCCTGGCAGTGCTACTTTTACTCATATGGTTTTTGCAGATCCCTCCTTTCCTCAGTTGCTTGCACTTAAGTTCAGAACTGACCTGAGCTCATGATTTTTATAAAGTCGGTCTAATAAAGACTAACTAGTACAGCTAACTGAGTCTAAACACTCTTAGAAAAGTCATTGGGATGATGCCTTTTAAACAGGTAGACCTTTGTATGCAAGTGCCCATCAAGCTAACACTTTAGTTTAAGGACCAATATTAACTACTGGCGTTTTACCTGCTTATTTTTATGATAGTATAGTTTTTAATAAGTGTTTATAAAATATGATGTTATTCTGTATCCTTAATCCTACCCATTACATAAACCCAACTAGTGCCTTAATAACTGTTGACTAATTTATTGAGCTATAAGGTTTGTTAATAGCGGGAACTGTAAATGTGCAGGTTTTTTTCATATAAATGCACATATAAATGACTTGATTACAGTTTTTAAATCGCTACAGCAAATGATAAAAAAAAAGTCCACATCAGCGGTTTATGAGGGAAAACCTGAGAAATGTCAAAATACAACAAATGAGCCATGATATAAGTGTGGTTACTGTAGTAGAAGAAAAATAATTGACTCTGGCCTGTTGAATTGTAAGAAAATAATGCCTAAACGAGGTTCGCTTTGCTTTATAACCGCATCTCTATTTTGCATATGCATTATTTTCTGGTATTTAAATGGCCTGTCATCAATTAGAATAGCATGATGTCTCCAAGTACATGTTTCTAAAACAACATTCCAGTCAGCCAATCAGATTCAAGGGATAGGTTTACAGTTTAAGTTAAGCTTAGGCTTACAGTTATGGTTGTGTGCTTCTACATCATTATCCAGCTATTAAAGCCCTCTGGTTAGGTATGGATTATATTTTTGAACAGAAATGATATCATTGTTCAACATATATTTTAATTTAGGATCACATTCTACTTGGTAAAATCACACCCATGCTTTAATTATTACTTGCATATTAGCAGGGCTTAACGGATTCATCAATCACAATCAAAATCATACTCCATTAATCTGCAACATTTTCTTTCATTCTTTTTCTTTGCAGCTTAGTCCCTTTATTAATCAGGGGTTGCCACAGTGTAATGAACCACCAACTTATCTAGCATATGTTTTATGCAGCTGATGCCCTTCCAGCTGCAACCCATTATTAAATCGATAATTATATATGATGATTTAATAATTCAATAATTTAATACGCTGTGTAAAAATGTGCTGGATAAGTTGGCGGTTCATTCCGCTGTGGCGACCCCGGATTAATAAAGGGACTAAGCTGACAAGAAATTGAATGAATGAATAAATGATTTAATTATACGAAGATTTAGTAATACAATAATTATATATGATGATTTAATAATACAACAATTTAATACGATGGTTTTATAATATGATAATTTAATACGATAATTTAATAATACAATGGTTTAATATGATAATTTAATACAATGATGTAATAATACAATAATTTAATAATACGGTAATTTAATACAATGGTTCAATAATACAATAATTTAATATGATGATTTAATAATACAATAATTTAACATGATTTCTTTTTACGATAATTTAATGCGATGATTTAATAATACAATAATTTAGACATTTAATTTGATGATTTAATAATACGATGATTTAATAATACAATAATTTAATACCATGATTTAATAATATGATAATTTAAGAAACTTAATACGATGTTTTAATAATACGATAGTGTAATACAATAGTTTAAAAATACGATAGTTTAATACGATGGTTTAATAATACAATAATTAAATCAAATCAAATTAACCTTATGATTCCCTTGAACTTATATTATAGAACATGATTAACTTAGTTCAATAAGTAACAATGACCAAAGCAACCAAAGCAACTGTGACTTTGGTTGTACCTTTATTTCTGAGAGTGCTCAGTGCTACAGGCCTCAAACGGTCTCTTTCTATGTCCGGCTGACAGTGTTTGGGAGTGGTCTTAGGGTTGGGGTATTCCTGCTGTCAGGTGGCCCCATCGATAAGACAGTTTCTCTGATGATGGGGCTCTTATCAATCTCTTCCACCCCTGGGTGCTCTACGCAAGCCATCGTGTTTCGGGTTGCCGCGCACTACGTGACTTGTTTTTTACGTCTTTAACTCTTTTTTTCCATTAGCTTTCCATTAACCCACCCATGCCTTCAGAATTGGTCCGAGGTCAGTCTTGAGTTGGCACTCGACGTGAAGACGTGGAAACCCAGCACAGAGACCCGCCAGGACCACCTGGGCTCAGGTAAGAGTGAGAAATTGACAAATTCTGTGTTTATGAGGTCTGAATGAAGAAAGTTGGTTAGAATGGGACAGAGATCACTTGTGTACAGGGGACAAATGCATAAAGGTCCAAATAAAAGCGGGACAGATCTGATTGTTAATTGTGCCAGTCATTTTTACATTGTTTTATTGTTGGAAGTGAATTAAGTTTAAAACATGTTTGTTTTGATTACAAATTTTAGTCCTGTTGTTATTTTTTTAATGCATCGAAGGCAAAAAGATGCTTTGAAGCATCAGAACTTTAAAAGTGTAATTCAGGATTTTCTGTACATTAGATTTTATTAATATTTTAGTTTCTTATTAATATGCTTTCAGCAAAAAATTATGACTTTCATACAGTTTTTTTGCATGATATACAGAAGACACCCCCCTGAATGTTATTTAGTGAAACATTAGTTTATACTTTCCCACTATTCACTACTTTTACTCATTTGAGTTTTTTAATCAATTTAAATGTTGTTATTTTCCAATGTTGACTTTTTATTTTTTTATATAATATTAACAAGTGCAGATAATTTGTATGTTGTTTTGTTTGTACATAAATTCATTTAAACTATGACAATTGAACATTATTTCACAATGTTTTGTTGAAAAAGTTATTTGAGACACTAAAGTAAACACTTAGCTAGTATTTCATGTCTTCTGTCTTTGTAAAGTCACATTTGTGATACAGGCACCAAAATGCTAGTTGAGTTAAGGTAACTCAAACCGTTTGAGGAAACTGATTGCTACAAACCATTAAAGTTCAAAAACTAATCCTAATGAGTACTGTGAATTTAACCCATTTGAGTAAACGAAGCAATTTTGAGCCCAGTAAAATATGATGAATGAAGATAACTCAAACCAACTGAGTACTGTAAAACCCAATAAGTCAAGGCAACTCAAACCATTTGAGGAAACCGATTGGTTCAAACCATTTGAGTTCAAAAACTAATCTATATAAGTACTGTGAACTTACTCCATTTAATTTGAAGTAATGAGGTATTTAATGAACTCATTACCTTCAACACTGAGTTTAAAACTCTTGTCAAATGAGTAAAATTACCTTGATCAGTAAATTTTCAGTTAATTACACTCATTTCAGTTGATTATGTTGACTTGGGTTTTACAGTGTGGGTGTTATGGGGTGAACATCTTCCAGTCATGACGTCATGACAATCTAAATGATGCTGTTTAGAGTTGCATGTAAACCTAAAAAAGTAATAATGTTATTCTTACTGAAGATCGGCATTGAAACATGCATGTCATGGCTTATGTGTGGTGTAATTTTTCATTCTAGTGCACATTTCTGTCTATTGAGGGACTTTCTCCAATGTATGACTGGTTACGAGTGGCACATTAGCATTTTAAAGTAATATGCTGCAGTGTTTCCTTCTCTCTTTACTAAGATAAAGGAGAAATTAATCTGCAATAAAACAGACAATGATCCTTGATGACCATTTCTGGTGCATACTTGTTACACTCACAGATATTACAGCTATAAAAATGGCCTAATTCAAAATATGGGAAAGGATGTAAATCAGTCAATGCAGAAAATGTCTTCATATGCACAGTGCAGTCTGGGTTGAAGTCTTTTTAAACTGAGAATTTAGAATTTCTCACAGGTTTTAGCACAAATCAGCCAACAGCAATTAAATGACTTAAGCACACATGAACAAATTTTACATTTCATTGCAAGTAGTACGTTTACATGAATTCATTTTTCTGTAAGTGAACTTTTTGTGTTTGCCGCCTTTTATCATTGTGTCGTTGTTTCTGAGCTAGGTTTGAAGTGCCAAGGCTGTTTTTCTCTCTATCTGCCTCTGTCCATGAGGGACACAAGAGTCCTTATCGCACCGTATAGAAGTTCAGTCTTCAGATAATTGTCTGTTTGTGGCTCTTCACGCCCTTGAGCTGGCTGGCTCAGGGTGGGCCACAGTCTTCAAGCTCTGAAAAACACCAAAACTGAGTCCTCAGTTTAATTCCTGTGGTCAAACTCTTGACCCTTATAACCTAACTGAACCAATCAAATATAAACAGAGCATGAAACGGTTTTCAGATTTAATAAGTTTAAGACAAAATTATAAGCTTTTCTTTGATTTTTTTAAACAATTATTTTTCATTTATTTCCCAATTTGTAACACAAAATAGCCATAATGACCAAATTCTGATAATTATTTCTTTTGTCTTTGCCATGATGGCAGTAAACAATTATTTTACTACGCTCAAAAAATAACTTAAGCTGCTTGTTCCTATTTAAAATGAGCTGAAACAACACAATTTTTTGTGTTTTTTTGGGACAACTTTATTGTTTCATATTCAATCCACTTAAATTAGTAAAAATTCCTTCATGTTGTCCCAACACAAATTGATTGTGTAGAACCTAACTTTTTTTCGAAGACATTTTAAAGGCTTATCTAGGTTAGACAAGTCTATATTGTTTAGATTGTTTAATGGAGCTTAGCAATTTTTTTCTCTCTCTCTCTATTTACTCTATTTATACATTTTTTTCTCAATTTGTTTTTACTATTCCAGCCAAATTAAGAGAAATAAAGAAAAATCTGAAGAAACAAAAAGTATAATAGGAAATGCAATGAAAAATGTCCTTGGTGCATTAAACATCTCTTGGAAAATATTTGAAAAAGAATTTAAAATTCGCTAATAACTTCTAATTCACTAATATCTTCAACCGTATATGGTAATATCAGGTTAATTTAACACTTTTAAATAAGATAGTCATCATTTTACCTAAATTTAAAAAAGTTCAGGTCAGAATAAATGTGTTACTTTTATTAGTACAAAAAATATTGTTATATTTTAAATTATTATACATTACTTTATTATTTTGATGTTTTATTCACACAAAAGTTGTCTGAAAGATTAAAGTAGACACTTTCTGTGTTTGTAAAGTCACTTTTTACATTTAATTTGATGTTGTCAATTCAATGGAATGTCTCATTTTTGACCAAAACATGTACTGCATTTCTCACAGCAGTTCAGAAGTAAATCAGTTTGTTTTTAAAAAAAAATTGCTTTTCCAAGTCTGTATATTCAAATTCTCTGATTATCCTATTTTCAAAACTATTACCAAAAAGAACTAACCAAAGAGCATAAAACACTGCATATTTTTATAAAATACTACGTATTTCAATATGGTTATATACGGTTAATTTAACACTTTAATGAATGAGTGATAAGCAGTCTGACTGTGTTTTGTTTTCTTTCCGTGTGTGATTTTCAGGTTATGAGCGAGACTTTCTGAAGTTTCAGGGACAGAGAGAAGACAGTCTCGATGATGGAAGCTGTTTCATTTGATGGGGTGAGCAGAGCATCTCATGTCACATAAACTAATTTATGTTTTATAGATCATTACATTAATTCATTACTTTTCTCCATACAGGACAATGACATGTCCTATGAGGACAGTGAGTCGCCTCTACCCTCTCCATTTACCTTGTGAGTATCACACAATAGAACACAGAAAAACTGTGGAGAAACTGATTTCACATTTACACCTTTAGACATTTTTAGTTTACAAAGCACAATTAGTGAGAAGCATTTTGAATTAAACATGAAATGCTTAGTTAACAATAATAACTAAGCATTTCAAAAGCATTTTATAAAAAAGTTTTTTTTTTTTTTTTTTTTTGGAAAAAGGGGCTTTCTTTGTAAAGCATGCTTCATTATTTAAAAAATATATATAAAAAGATATTGTATAGTGTATGGACATGCATATCATACACTGATAAAAAAGCAGCACTAATAAAACAGCAGCTTAAAACTGGACGGATTATTATCTTAAATCAAAAATTTAAAAAATGAAAGAAGAAATTTTTTTTCGCATTTCTTTTTTTCGACAAGCTAAATTAAGCCGGCTTTAATCATCATTTTAGTTTGCAATTTTTTTCACCTTGGAAAAAGAGTGAGATCTTTTACAGTACAGAATTGTTTTTGTTAATTTTTTTAAATGGTGATTTGCCATTGTTGTGCTGTTTGTTATGATAACTACAACTTTTTTTTTTTTAATTCATCAGTTATTTGTGAGCCAAATTAATTAGTCATCTAAAAAAAAGCATCTGAAATCTGTCAAATCCGTATACTGTGTTGTGACATCCCAAAAGTTATTTCATAACAAAATAACTAGTTTAATCTTTTTTAAACAATTTTGTATCTGATCAGCAACATCTTAATTAATGATTGAATATGAATCAGCGTTTTGAATGTTACCCTGCTTTTACTATGGTATTCCTGAATTTACCCCTTTGGTATCACTTTATTTTGATGGCCTTTTACATTGCATCTACATGCCAACTAATTCTCATTAGATTATAAGTAGATTGTGAGGTTGGGGTTAGTGTAAGTTGACATGTACTTGCAAAGTTTCTTACAGTCAGTTTAATGTCTAGGAGCAGTATCAACAGATATTAAGCAGACAGTCTGCCAATACTCAAATGTGAAGTTGGCTTGTAGTTGCAATGCAACTTTTAGTCAACAAAATGTGCAATAGGGACCATCAAAATAAAGTTTTACCACCCTTTTTTATTAAGCGAAAATTAGACATTCTTTGAAATCTCAATTCATTCATTTGAGGATTCAATTCAACATTTAAAAAAAAAAAGCCAACCAAAACAACATTGATACAGCATAAATATTACTAGCTACATTTCTTTTACACAAACGTGCACTTACAGATGTATGGGGAAAAGGCTGAATAAGTTTTTTGGTTGATAGTTTGGTCTGTTTGTTTGTTTTACAGTGATATATCTTTATTTTATTTTTTTCCTAGAAGTATTTTTGGCCCCCAGAGATACTCCATTAACACCCAGGTTTCAAATTACAATACAAAAGATTGTAAAATGTTACACAAAATATAAATAAAATAAGTGTTTAAATGGTTACATCCGAAGAGTCCTGAAGATTGTTTTTTATCAGGCATCCTTTATTTTCTTATGTTTAGATTCAGTAATTTCCCCTAATTGGTAAGAAAACGGTTGTTTGTAAGTTAATAAAAGGCCTTATTTTCATGCCATTAAAGTGAAATGACAGACTCCAAACTTAAACTGATGAAAACGATCATTTAAAATAAAAAGCATCAGACGAACGATGTTTTCACACACTCGAAAAAGAATGTTTGCTGCTGCTTCAAACTACTTATTTAAATTAAAATGAGCTGAATCAACATAATTTTTCAGTTTATGGGGAAAACTTAATTATCTTATGTTCAACCTTTTTAAATTTGCGAAAACTAAGTTAACAATCAATTTATGTTGGGACAACATGAAATTATGTGGAACCAGCATTTTTACAGTGCATCTAATCTCTTCGTCTATTCAAAATCTTGTTAGAAAAAAAATGAAAAAGAATAAATGATGAAATCTTATGATTTGATGCGCTCTCAAACTGAATTTTACTAAGGTGATGAATGCATTTGCCTCCAGAAATGAAAGATTCCGCATTACAGTAGGTCAGGCTCACAGACAGTAAATGTGGCCCCCTCTTGGCCGAGCAGGGCAGTGCGAGGGCTGGACAGAGTGAGGCTTATGTTTCTTGTGTCAGGAATGGCTTGAGTCGCTTTGTAAGAGGACGGAGCTCAGGCTGGCCTTTGGTGCGTAAGATCTGGTGAGTGTGTGGAGCTGAACAGGCGAGTCTTCAACCTGCTGTGTGCTGTAGTTTCTGTTCTCTGTCTCCCTCTGCAGGACGCCCGCGGCACACAAAGGCAGCTACGATCTAGAACAGGTCAGACAGCAAGGCGAGGAGCAGCCACAGACCTTCACCTTCAATAGAGACCTAGAGGGTGGGTTTGCCTGTATAACAAAATATAATTATATATTAACTATATACTAAAATTCGGCTATATGTTAATTTTAAATCAGACAATTAAACTAACTAAAATCATGTCCACACCGAGACATGACAACTAAAATCAAGCCCACACCGAGCACATTTTAAGTGTTTGTCTCAGAATTTCATATATTTAACCTTTTGTTAACCACAAAAAAAAAAAAAATCATAATATTAAATTGGTTTTGTTGTCCTTTGGAGTGACAACCTGTTAAAAAAAAAAAAAGAAGAATTTTTTTTTTCATAATTTCATATAAAACAAGTAGCACTATATGAAGAAAAGTGGTCAACAATGAAGGTGTATAATGTGTATAATATCATGTTGTTGTTTTTTTAAATTTCACAATGTCACACCATAGCATGCATTTAAGGTACGGTTCAGTAAAAATGTAAAATAATAAACAAATAAATTGAAAGCACCCCCATATATAATCAAAATGTTCTGTTTTTCCTTTCAGCCGCTAGAAATACCAACACCAATGCCATAAAGAGAGGAGATGCAGAGGTGATGCACATTCATTTACTTACTCACATGCAGTACATTACCATTCAGAAGTTTGGGATAATTGTATTTTTTTAAACAACCTTTTTTTCTCCTCACCAAGGATGTATTTATTTGATCATATATACAGTAAAAGCTGTAAAATTCTCAAATGTTATTATAATTTAAGAATGTATCATATTTTAATAATTTTATTATATTTCTATTTCATTATTGTATGTAGCTTCAAATTGAATTTATTCCTGTGATATAAAGCTGGATTTTCAGTTCTATTCCTCCACTCCTAAATGCAAAGATGCTTCTGTTCTGAAATCATTGTAAAATGATGAGCTTCAAAAAAAAATAATAATAATATTGGGCTGCTTCATTTCTTTGGGCAACTGTAATACAAATGGTATTCAAAAGTAACATTTTTTACAACCTTATTGAAGTCTAGGAGTTTTTACTTAAAAGGTGTAACAAAGAAGACCAAAATTTGGTAAGTAATAATGAATTAAAACCAATTAAAAAAAGATAAGCATGGAGAACACACTTCAATCCTCATCCCCAAAGTGAAGTCAACACAAAGTTTAGAAAAAGTAATTATGAGAATTTAATACAAACATAGGACTTTTAACAGAAACTAGAGTTCAAAACTGATTGAGTATAGCCTAAAACAAAAAAAAAAGAAAGTAGCTAACTAAAGTTTAGAGGACTAGTTTACCTAAAGCAAAATTAAAGATGAAAATCAACAACACAAACTTCCCTGAGCTTCCTCTCTCTACCATAAACAGGCGAAAAGATATACAAAATAGTCACACTTGGAAGTACACAAAATAATAAATAGAAATGAAGGCACAATATAGTTAATTTGGCATTAAAGAATAATCCAACTACTGCAATAACTTGTGAACTACAACACAAGTGAAAAACATCACAAAAACCAACTGTTGCACTAAAGAGTTGGGGAGAAGTGTTCTTTAGCTCAGTAGCTTCAGAAGCCAGTATTTATAGCCAAACCACTCCGACTCAAGCAGGTTCACAATGATTAGCAGCTGGGAGCTAATTAACCTGAGAGCCGGGGGGAGAGAGAGAAAAGCAGGGTGGAGCACAACACAATATGCAAGGCCTGCACACAAAATTGTGTTTTTGGCTGTAACACATTAAAATGTATTTACACTCATTTTTAAGATGAATGTAAAGTCATTTACTAAGTAATAAATAATATATTTCTGATTAACCTTATATTTATTTGGGATTTAAATGAATTCTAAATGCAATATTTTTAATAAATATTTTTTATCAGGAATTAAAGTTTCAACATTGTTAATTATAAAAATGATTACCATTAAAATCAAATTCCAGTAATATTTGATCAAATTAGAATGATTTTTGCACGATCACAAGACACCAAAGCTGAAAATTCTGCTATGAATGTCAAAAATAAATTAAAACAAACTATGGAAACAAACAGTTTTTGGTCAATTGTAATATTATTTCACAATTTGTCATATAATAAATGCAGCCTTGGTGAGCAAAATATCCTTTTTTTAAAGATTTAAAATTTCCAGTAATCCCAAACTTGGAATCTGTAATGAATCTTCTTGTTGGTCAAACCCTTAACACTTACCTCTGCTCATCTTGTCAGTCATACGTGGAGCTAAACGAGCTGCGTGGTGAAATATGGCAGGAGACGGGCCGCTGGGTGGGTTTTGAGGAGAACTTCAGCCCTGCCACGGGACAGTGGAGCCAGTCCCATGTCTCCTACCTCACCTTCAAAAGCCTCATTCAGCTCCGCAAGGTCATGAGCACAGGTGAGACGCCAAACTAAAAGTCTAATGTAGCTTTACAATTTTCTTTCCTTTTCTTTTTTTCCATTAATAATGATACATTAATAATTATTTTATATTATAAATTGTCATTTATTTTATTCATTTCCCAAAATTAATGACCGTTATCCAGTTTGCCTAGATTCACAGAAGAAACTTGCTCAAACATCCTTCTGTTTAATTTAAATATAAAAATGATATCAAGTTACTCTAAGTATCACAGTGTAGACCTTTTTTTTTTTATAAAGTTACATTTTTATTTATGCTTTATGCTTTATTTATAACACCTGGTTTTGCACTTGTGAGCAACAATCATTTAAATTTCTAATTAAAAGTTTGAATTTCATTAAGTAACATTTACAGCATAGCATTGGTTAACGTGAAGTTACTTTTAAAGGCTTATCTTAATCTCAGCATGTATTAAAGAGAAAGTTCACCCCAAAATGTACATTTTATCATCATTTTATCACCCTTAACATGTTCCAAACCTTTATGAGTTTCTTTCGATGGTTGAACTCAAAATAAGTTATTTTGAAGAATGCTGAAAGCCTGTTACAATTAACTTTCATGGCATTTATTTTTCATACTATGAAAGTCAGTGGTTACATATCTTCAGCATTCTTCAAAAAAGAATCTGTGTTCAGCAGACACTCATAACAGTTTATACAGTGTTTACAGTGAAAAAGTTTTTTTTTTTTTTAGGTGAACTATCCCTTGAATACTGTACATATTTAAGATCAAATCTCATCATCTTCCTCTTCTTCTTTGGCCTTAGTCCCGTATGGTTGCAGGGTCGGCTCTTTGGAACAAGTCCTCCATTTAGACTTGTCCATATGATAACGACTTTTTTACACATTCCGGCCGGCCTGTCGTCTGGGCCTGTCACCCTCATACACTCACACACTCATACACTACGGACAATTTTAGCCTGCCCAATTCACCTGTAGCATGTCTTTGGACTGTGGGGGAAACCGGAAAACCCGGAGGAAACCTACGCGAATGCAGGGAGAACATGCAAACTCCTCACAGAAATACCATCTGAGCCGAGGTTCGAACCAGCGACCTTGCTTTGAAGCGACAGCACTACCTACTGCGCCACTGCTTCGCCCCTGTGTGTGTGTATGTGTGTGTGTATATATATATATATATATATATATATATATATATATATATATATATATATATATATATATATATATATATATATATGTGTGTGTGTGTGTGTATATATATATATGTGTGTATAAATACACACACACATTTTTCTAACACATAAGCTATTTGATACATTGAATTTGACAATTTCAGTGTTCATAAAGTCACTTATATATATATTTATATATATTTATACCATCACCTTGAAATTATAAGGTTCTATCTGCGTTCTGAATGATTTTAAGATATTGAGCAAACAGTATGTGTATAACATTTGTTTTTAAATAAAAAGTCCTAAAATGTTAACAACTTATAAAAAAAAACATCAACATCATTTACAACATAATGTAAATTAAATTTAATTTAATAAGAATATGTCAATAATTAAATTTTGACAAAAATGTCAAATAGAACTTTTTAATTCTGTGGTGACGAGATATGTACAGTATATAAAATGTAAAAGCGGTTTCCCAGTACTGGATTGCTTCTGGAAGGGACTAAGCTGAAGGAAAATGAATGTAAAGTGCATTGCTTCTTGCTAGTGTGTGTTGCTTAATACATTCATGTTTACAAACATAACATTATTGTAAATTAATGCTATTAAATGAGTTCACATTCATGCTGGTTAAATGTGATCTTGATTGTGGCTGTAATCAGGGGCTGTGCTGCTGGATGTTGATGACAGCAGTTTATCCAGCATTGGCCAGAAGATGGTGGAACAACTTCTGCTCAAAAAAGAGATCCGGCCCTCTGACCGTGACGCTCTCGTCACCATACTGCAACGCAAGCGCAGGTATGTGTGTGGAAGGAAGTCATTTAACTTTTTCTTATTTTCAGTGTTAGATTTTTTTTCTAGTGAGCCCCATTAATTGGTATATAAGTATACAGTTGAGGTCAGGATTATTAGCCCTCCTGTTAAGCTTTAATTATTTTATACACATTTCTAAACAGTAGTTTCATTTCTAATTACTGATTTCTTTTATTTTTGCCGTGATGACACTTCATAATATTTTACTAGGTATTATTCAAGACACTAGTATTCAGCTTAAAGTTACGTTTAAAGGCTTAACTGGGTTAACTAGGTAATTAGGCAAGTCATTGTATAACAGTGGTTTGTTGTGTAGACTATTGAAACAAATATTGATTAACGGGGCTACTAACGTTGACCTTAAAGAGGTTTAAAAAAAATTAAAAACTGCTTTTATTCTGGCCGAAATAAAACAAGTAAGACTTTCTCCAGAAGAAATACTGTGAAAAATTCCTCGCTCCGTTAAATGAAATATTTAAAAGAGTATAAACATTTGACAGGAGGGCTAATCATTTTGCCCCGCAACTGCATGAGTCACGGTTGGCCAATATTAATATTAGTATGACTCATTGTTTTTGTGTTACAGCCAGTTAGAGCCTGTTGTATCCCCTGGTTCAGCAGACCTTGAGCTGCAGACGTTCTCTGTCACCAAACAGGTATGTATGTATCGAAGTATCTGTCTGTCTGTCTGTCTGTCTGTCTGTCTGTCTGTCTGTCTGTCTCTGTTTGTATGTCTGTCTGTCTGTCTGTATGCATGTATGTATGTATTTGTCCTACAGAAACATTTCCATCAGTAAATCAGATTTTATTTTACTTAAAAGTGGCAAAGGCTGAATTTAGAGACCTGTACAGCTTATAAACAGTTAATTTTACCTCGGTTTTTAAGGCTAGTTCATGTTTTAGGGTGACATTTGTGATTAGTACTGTTAATGCAGGACCACCAAAATATCTTAAAGGGATATTTCAACCAAATTTGAAAATCCTTAACTTCTTCTAAACATTTGGATTTCCTTCTTTTGATGAACAACAAATAAGATTGAAACTGGCTTTTGTAGTATTTGTTTTTCTATTCTGACAGTCAAAAAAATATTATTTTTTGTTCAATGGGAAAAAAAACTCAAAAATGGCTGGAACCACATGAGAGAGAGAGGGTAAATTGTGAGTAAAGTTTCATTTTGGGTTGAACTGCGCCTTTAAGCCAGGATGTCCTGCTTATTAAAATCCTTAAACACCAAATCCTTGCCAACAAAACATTCAAATCTCAATGTAGACTCCTAATAAAAAAGAAAAAAATAAATTATTGTATTCACTTACCTTTTGTGTAATCTTGTCCAGTTATATCTTGGCTTTATTTCACATCAGTATGTTGTTCTGTTCCTCCTCCTCAGCGAGATCAGGTTGACCGTGTGGAGGGCTCTGTGGTTTTGTCAGGTGAGACTACATTTTTTGATTCTTTAAAAACACAAATGTGGCCCTGGTCTTATGTCTGACTGGTATATTTTGATAATTGTCAAAAGTACAATGTCAAAATAATCAACAATGGCTAAAAACATTACAATATTAATTAAAGCTCATGTGACATGAAGACATTTTGTATATTTCAAATATATAACTATATATACTCAATAAAATGTTTGGGTTTTGTGCATTCCTAAGAACATAATTAGGACAAAATTAAAGATGATTTTCTCAGTATTTTTGATTGTATTAAATCCTCAGATTGCAGGTTTTTAAATTGTTGTATCTCAGCCAAATATTGTTTTATCCTAACAAACCATACATCAATGGAAATCTTAATTATTTGAATTTCATAAAATGTAGAAATTGCAACTTCTAAAAATGTACATACACTTAAAGTCAGAATTATTAGCCCCCATTTGATTTTTTTTTTTATATTTCCCAAATTATGTTTAACAGAGCAAGGAAATTTTCACAGTATGTCTGATGTTTTTTTTTTCGGGAGAAAGTCTTATTTGTTTTATTTCAACTACAATAAAAGAAGTTATTAATTTTTTAAAAACCATTTTAAGGATAAAATTATTAGTCCCTTTAAGCAATATATATTTTTCATAGTCTACAGAACAAAACATCATTTTACAATAACTTGCCTAATTACTCTAACCTCCCTAATTAACTTAGTTAAGCCTAAAAAGTCACTTTAAGCTGTATAGAAGGCACATTTATATATATTTGAGACCCAAAATGTCTGATTTAGCATTAATTGCTTAATTTCTCATGTTTTGTGGTAAAAATTCACAAAAATCTTGTAAATTTTTGGAACAAAAAGAACAATTATACTTGCATAATTCTTCAGACATTGATTTATTATTCAGCACATTTCATGCTCTCGATTTGTTTTAAACCACTTCTTCATCTCAAGGTGTGGTGGAGAACCTACAGAAACCAGTGGTGGCGTTTGCACGTCTGCGGGATTCGGTGGTGATGGAGGGGGTCCTGGAAGCTTCCATTCCAGTTCGTTTCGTCTTCTTCCTCGTGGGCCCCAGTCACAGCGGCATGGACTATCATGAGAGCGGCCGAGCCATGGCAGCACTGATGGCCGACTGGGTGAGGAGCAGCTACACATTGGGCAATAAGATGTTTTGAAAAAATTAATGAAGATGCAGGCTCTTCTAATGTCTCTGTACAGGTGGTGGAAAGAGTACTGAAAATCACACTCCAGTAAAAAGTACAACTACTTGCCCAAAAATGTAGTACAAATAGAGTAAAATTATCTGTTGTAAATACTCATACTCAAAGTATGAGTAAAAAGTAGCCCTTTTAAAAGTAAATAAGAGTAGTGAGCATTACACTGTGAAAAGTTAAAGCAATTGCTTGCATTTAAAGCATGTGTGTGAAAACGTGACATTCTGTAGTGCATTTAGTTATTGTTTAAGGCCGTTTGGCGATTTCAGTCATCGAACAGTAGGCATTCATCATCTTCTTATCAGTGACATGCAGTCTAAACAGTCTCTCGACCATTTCATGTAAAGATTTTGGACATCATCTAAAACACTTAATGATTCCAAGCGGTTTGCTGCATTTAAAAAGCGCTGATGTCTTGAGCCTGTTCAGTATGCGATTTAGTTTGTGCGATTTGATTGGACAGGAATTGCAGGACTGATTTTTCTACTCTGCCAATCACCATAGAGAGCAAAAAATAAAGTAGTGACTGCAGGTTGAAGGAAAGTAGTGGAGTAAAAGTAAAGATATTGCACTAAAAATGTACTCAAGGGAAAGTAAAAACACGCATTTTTAAAACCTCTTAATAATTTACAATTCCTATGAAAACGACCTAATTACAGTCATTTGTTACTTTACACCACTGCTCTGTATCCGCAAACAGGTGTTCTCTCTGGAGGCTTACTTGGCCACTAATGAGAGGGATCTGTACAATGCCATGGCAGACTTCATGGACTGCAGCATCGTGATCCCACCTACAGACATCCAGGATGACAGCATGCTGAAGCCAATTATCAACTTCCAGAAGAAGATGCTACATGACAGAGTCCGCCCATATGACACTCGAATCATGGTTGGGGGCAAAGGTCAGCTTTTTTATAGCATTTACCATGTGCAATTACACTGTTAAAAGTGTTTAGCAGACTTTACTTTTTAAAACCATTGCTTTTAAGGCGATTAGTTGATTAAAATTTAAAAAGTGAGTAAGCCTGTTACTATGAAAATCTTAAATAAATTAACTATGTGCATAATTTAAAAAATAAGGTAAGTCAACTTAACAGTTCCAGGTTGCAAGGGGTTTACGTTTAGATTTAGTCATTTAGCAGACGCTTTTGTCCATGGAAGACAAACTCGTGAGGACCCGTCGGGTAAATCTTCGTGGGAACAGTGTACTTTATAACATCATTCGCATCTTCGTGGCGGTTATTCCCTCTCTCAACACTAAAATGAAAACATGATACAACTGCCTGTGTTCATTTTGATATTAACAACATGTTAATTGTTGAGGTGTCATCCTGACTGTATGCATGTTTATAACATAACAGAGCCTACAACATTACTGCTTCCTTTCATTTTCATAGAAAAAACGTGTAACATACCATCTCTTTTGTTGAATATCAGTTTATATAATCAATAATGGCAATCAATAATACAATGAGTTTATACAATATAGGAAATAAAGGCAAGTGATCAGTCAAATGGTGTTAAGTGGTTACATATATTAGCTCATCTTTACACTCAGCCAAAACACGTTAGGCCAACCTGAGAACAAGTAATTGATTTAAAAGACCAAAGAGTCATTAGATAAAGAACAGATGAATTAAATATCCCGTTTAACAACTCAAGTGAGATAAAATCCAACAGTAGATCCTTGATGAACTGTCCAACGTGCACTGCTCTTACCTGAGAGAGAGATTCTACAGGTGGTTTGTCAAGCCCACTCATCTGTGTGAAGCACACTTCATAAATGCACAGTGTTTGTTTCAGTTATTGTGTCCATGGGATGAATGAGTGCATTTTCTACAGGTGATTTTTTTTAAGTCCACTCATCTGAGTCAGTCAGTCAGTCACTTTTAGTTAGTGCAGAAATCTGGAGACAACCCTATTCTGAAACTATATCAATCTGAATTGTTTGTTTAGCCCCAACTGGACCTGCAAAGCCAAGAGAGGATCCACTGGCCCGTACCGGCCTTCCATTTGGTGGTATGGTCAAAGACATTAAACGCCGCTACAAGCATTACCTTAGTGACTTCACTGATGCATTGGACCCTCAAGTGCTGTCTGCTGTCATCTTCATCTACTTCGCTGCCCTTTCTCCTGCGATCACCTTTGGAGGACTTCTTGGTGAGTGCTTTTACTGCATGCATCAGATGATCATTTCTGGAAATCCCGCCCACATTTGCTCTAACACCATGTCCTAAGCAGAAGTGATAAGAGAAAAGGCATAAAAATGCAGTCACTCAGTGTTCACATAAAAGGAATGCTCTACTCTATTTGGAAATAGTTGAGTTAACCATTTTTTAATCCATTCAGCCAATCTCTGGGTTTGGCGGAAGCACATTTACCTTAGCTTAGCATAAAAAATAGAATCAGATTAGACCATTAGCATCTTGCTCAAAAATTACCAAAGAGTTTTGATAATTTTCCTATTTAAAGCCTGGCTTGGTTACATTGAATGCTAGGACTGACAGGAAATGAAAAGTTGCTATTTTATAGGCTGACATGACTAGGAACTATACTCTCCAGCATAATAATCAAGGAACTTTGCTGCTATACCGTGACTGCAGCATTTAACATTACTGCATGGTATCATTGCTGCAGCCATGGCATGGCTTATGACAGAATGAGAATATAGTTCCTTGTGATATACTGACCCAGAAAATAGCTTTTTCATTTTTTTTTTTATCAGTCCCAGTACATGATGCAATTACAAAAGTGTCAAGCTTTAAATGGGAAATTATCTCTTTATTTAATTATTTAAACCCTTTTTTTTATTTTCGAGCGAGATGCTTATGGTCTAATCCATTTCAATAATCTATGCTAAGCTAAGCTAAAAATGTTCCCACCTATACCAAGAGATTGCCTGAATGGATTGAAAAAGTGGTAAAGCTCAGCCTCTAGTTTGAAACAAGTCTGTAAAGTGGGTGCAAACTCTAAGGGATATGTAAAATCATCCTATTTACCCAAAAATTAGTGTTCCATTAGTGCGTTGTGTTTTTGTTTTTATTTGTCGAGTTCTTTTTTTCCTGATTTCCTACATCCTTTGGGTTTAAAAAATTCTACAATTTAGAGTTTTTACATTTTGTTTTTATTTTTAATTTTACAGCATGTCCACTGTAGCGGACCACAGGACCATTTTAGTCGAAACGACCGCCACTCAGACAACAAAACTGTACAGGAAATGGCTGTAAAGGGATATTATTCCAATATTGATGTAACAAAAACAAAAGAAAAGCCATTTTTTCCTTTTGTATTGAAATTGAAACAGTTTAGTCTGAAAGAGAGCCAAACTAAAAAGAAAAAAAGAAGTGATGGTTATCCTAAAGAAATTTAACATAAAAGTGATTTAAAACAGATTGTCATTCTCTAATTTTCTCTAATTCTCTAATTGTCTGATTGTCAGACTCTAAATCAGAGTCTCAATCAGCTAAAGAATCCTCTCCGCTTCAGTTCTGCCCCCTACAACATGCAGTCCTTAATTACATTAAGATGATCCTGGTGTCTGTCCACTATAGTGGATATTTAAAAAAGGATGATATTTTGAAACACAAGCACGTTAACACTTTAAAAGCTAATTTTATTGTTAATGACACTTTAATAAACAAATATATATTTAATAATAATAATTAAAAAAAAAACATTTAAAAACCTAAACTTTATGCCTCTCTCTTTCTCATAAAATGTGCTTTTTTGTAAGTCGGCCATATTGGATGCAGTGCAAGAAGTGGTTCTTAGCATGCCAGCCAATCAAATGACATCTCACTAGAAAGCCCAGGATGTCCTCTGAACAGTACAACAGGACTTGGCAGAGAGCTTAAAAAATTAAAAGAAATTTCATGAAAATGCAATGTACAGAGGACACAAGTCAAAGGGCGGGGTCTCAGGAGGATATATTACATTGAGTAAATTCTCATTGTTTTATAAAACTTCTATATCTTTAACATTCAATCCATTCCTGTGTTTTAGCGGATAAGACGGAGCACATGATGGGGGTCTCTGAGATGATGGTCTCCACCTGCGTGCAGGGTGTCATCTTTTGTCTCTTTGCGGCTCAACCAGTTCTCGTCATAGGGTTTACTGGACCATTAATGGTGTTTGAGGAGGCGTTCTTTCAGGTGAGGCCTTTATCATTGAGAATTGAGATTTTAACAATGCGTTTTACTTTGCTCATCAATCAAAACACTTGCATCATCTTCCATTCAGTTCTGCAAGGGGTATGGCTTTGAGTACATCGTTGGCCGTGTTTGGGTGGGTATGTGGCTGATCGTCATTGTGGTGATCATTATGGCAGTGGAGGGAAGCTTCCTGGTCCGTTTCATCTCGCGCTTCACCCAGGAGATCTTCTCCATTTTGATCTCTCTCATTTTCATCTACGAGACCTTTTCCAAGCTTATCAAGGTATTTGCAGGAATCCTGATACACACATACTTCGTTAGATTAACACACATTATTTTTTCGTTCTCACATATTTAGTTTTTGTTTGTTTTTGTACTTCTCAGATTTTCAAAGCTCATCCTTTGATCTTGAACTACGAACACTTAAATGATTCCTTGGATGACCCATTCCATCCAATCAAAAAAGTTATCAACGTCACTCTTCATCCAGATGGCAATGTAACTGAACATCATGAAATAATAGAGAGGGCCTATCCTAACACTGCCCTGCTGTCCATGTGTCTTATGTTTGGCTGTTTCTTCATTGCCTTGTATCTCCGTGGGTTTAAAACAAGCACCTACCTTCCTGGTCCTGTAAGTATGCTTCTATTTTTATTTTATTTAATTGTAAATAAAAACTCTTCTACTGCTTAGCCTCCCAAAAATATTAAGTAAATAACAAATACTAGAAGAAGAAAAAATCTTATTTTGGCAACCCAAGAATGAAAATTACTTCAGCATTTTATGAGTTTCTTTTTCTTGATGAACACAAAAGAAGATATTTTAAAGAAAGCTGGTTGCTGGCACCCATTGACTTCTATAGTAAGTAAAAAACAAATCCTATGAAAGTCAATGAGTACATTCTTCAAAATATCTTCTTTTGTGTTCAATAGAAGAAAGGAACTCAAACAGGTTTGAATCAAGTGAAAGGTGAGTAAATTAAGGCACAATTTGAACTATACCTTTAAGATTTCCTTAATTTAAGTTATTTCATGCCATAATCAAGGCAGGGTGTAGAAAAATATAACAAGCAAATATTTAATTTGTGTGATTCTTACAACTCTGTACACCACCAGATCCGTCGGATGGTTGGAGATTTTGGTGTCCCCATCGCCATCTTCTTCATGATTGCTGTGGATATCAGCATCAGTGATGCCTACACACAGGTTCGACAAACACTGTTCTTTGAAATTCTTTGCTGTTACATTCATTCATTTATTTTCCTTTATTAATCAGGGGTCACCACAGCGGAATAAACCGTCAACTTTTCCAGGATATTTTTTACACAGTGCATGCCCTCCCTTTAAAAAGAAATTTCAGGAAAAAATGTATACCCACTAATGGGAAACATTCATACACACTATTCACAAACATACACTACAGACAATTTAGCTTATCCAGTTCACCTATAGCACATGTCTTTGGACTGGAGCACCGGAGGAAGCCCACGTCAGAACATGCAAACTCCACACAGAAAGGCCAACTGATCCACACGAGGCTCGAACCAGCAACCTTCTTGCTGTGAGGCAACAGTGCTACCCACCGCGCCTCCCCTCTTTGCTATTAGTTTTTCTTAATTACTTTGGTTCATTTATTCATTTTAAAAAAGAAATTTCAGGAAAACATGAATAACAAGACATTACAACCCAATGTCTGCAAAATGTTAGATAGTAACTTAGCCATATTCACTTTGTGCTTGTAAACCTTGTTATTATGTCAGGAAATTGGCCAACTGTAATTTTACAATTAAAGCATAACAACAAAAAAGCAAAAACACAATCATTTACATTCTTCTCTATTTATTTTATAGATTTAGAGTTAAATATTCTTTTGCTTTTATCAACATATAGGCTCATTCTAAAAATGTAGCCCTGGAGATCGCAAATTATGTATCCAGAAGTATGTATGGCTGCATTTCATCTTTAAAACGAAAGCTATAGGGCATTATGGCATCGTTCATTTTTGCACTAAGCAGCTGACCTCTTATCTCCATATGGACGGGTTTCCCGGTGTTACCAGTTTGTCCAGTTAGGGGTGATGAAAACAAAAAACTGCAACAAAAAAATACACAGCTTCTGGGATGTATTTGGCACTCTCCAGAAATGTATATAGCAGTAAGTTTTCAGAATGAGTCTGGATTGACTGGATCTTATCTTATTTTACATACTTTTAATCCTACAAAAAATTCAACATTTTCTTATTTACCAATTCGTAAATACAAACTTCCCAGAAGTACCTTAATTGGTGTAAGATTTGTGAGACGATTGTGGGGAAGCTGCTTGTGAAATAAGCTTTCATAAATAATTTTTTGTCCTCCTGCTTTAGAAACTGGTGGTGCCAAAGGGTCTGACCGTGTCCAACACTTCTGCCAGAGGCTGGTTTATCAGCCCGTTTGGTGAGAAGAAGACATTCCCTGTCTGGATGATGTTTGCCTGTGTTGTTCCTGCCATGTTGGTCTTCATCCTTATTTTCCTTGAGTCCCAGATCACCACGTGAGTGCCTTTCTTAAAAAAAATACCATCATATAAACAGTAGTTTGTACATTAGCAGTATTGGATGAAGACAAATATATTTCTGGTGGCGATCCACAATTTTTATTTTTATTTTTTTTCAAGTGTACAGAGGTGGCATTAGGGTAATGAGGGATGGCAACTCCAACACTGCATCTATACATAGTTCTTGTGCATCTATCACTAGAAATACTGACTTTTGTTCATGAATATACAAAAATAATCAGCGGTTTGCAAAACTTTGCAAGAACAAATCTTTAAATGCAAGGACTTTAAACCTTAGCAAAGTGCATTTAAAATCCTTTAACACACAGCAAGCTGCTCATTACACAGCTTGTTCCTTTGTCATTTGTCAAGTTGAAGATAAGTTAAAACTACTTTTGCTCTATTTGACCATGTTTTCATCAGTTATGACATGTTAGATTGCCTAGTCCCCTCTTTGAATCAGTCACAAGCAGATGGGGAGGGAGCGTGCGCTAGAGAGAGATCATGTGTGTGCATGTATATGACACAGGCATATCTAATAGCTCATAGTAACATATGTTAGCTACTTCTTCGTATATACTTCTGAGCATATTTGTTGGTTGATAAACATCGGCTGAGCTATGTTCCACCCTCTCTTCATGTTTCGGTTGGGACTGTGTCAAACATCGAATAAAAACCTTTATTGCTCCAGCAACTGTCACTGAGATACTATGGTACTATTGATGTTTATGCTTTTAATCCGAACTGTGATCAAAACTGACTGGAACTACCTGTGCATTGAACGATTTTATTGTACACCCTCCAGCCAATCAGATTCAAACAGACCATGGAATAATTATAAATATCATGTAGGCCACATGCATTATATATAGAACCCATTTTAGTACAGGAATACCTGCATGTATTTACATTTTAGATTGGAATATTTCCGGGATTGCAGATAATATTACAACCCTTTTACTGAGATCTACTCCTGAATTCATTCAAGAATCTTGGTCATCTCCCAACTTTTCCTTTTCCATACTATCCAGGCTGATCGTGAGTAAACCTGAGCGGAAAATGGTGAAGGGCTCTGGTTTCCATGTGGACCTCCTCCTGCTGGTGTTCCTGGGAGGAGTTGGATCTCTGTTTGGTGTCCCGTGGCTCAGTGCTGCTACTGTGAGGTCTGTGACCCACGCCAATGCCCTAACCGTCATGACCAAAGGCCCCAGACCTCAGATTGAACGCGTGTTAGAGCAAAGAGTCAGTGGGATTTTGGTGGCGGTGATGGTTGGTGAGTTCCAAACCCTTTATCTCATCATATATTTGTTTAAATAAACAAATGCTGCTTGCTTTTACTAGAGTACATTAGCATCTGCTCACTTTTTGAGAAATGACACTTCTGGAAGTATTTTGACCTGTAAAAAAAAATAATAATAATAATAATAATAATAATAATATATATATATATATATATATATATATATATATATATATATATATATATATATATATATATATATATATATATATATGTTTTTGATAAGCGTTATTTAACTTATGAAAAAGTAAGCATATCCATATATAAAGTTGATAGCAAAATAATGCAAAACGAATTAATAATAATGAACTCAATACCAAACACAACTAATTTCTATTTACACATTTTTTTGTCTTTGCCATAATGATAATACATAATATTTACCAGTATTTTGCAAGATACTAGTGTTCAGCATAAACACCTTTAGAGAATTTTTAAATGTTTAGTTTTATTTATTTTATTTCAGTTATACGAAACAAAATAAAACCCCAAAAATGTAGTTTAATTTAATTTAATTTAATACAATATAATATATGAACAATATCACACGAGTAGCAGTGCGATGTGGCCGTGTAACGGCACTGGCTGGAAGCGTGTGTTGGCTCGAGGCCACAGTCCGAGTACCTCAGTGTCCCACCAGTGATGATATACACCCACATCGCACTGCTATGAGTGTGATATTGCATTTATTCAACAGTTCGACGGCATAATCGGGTGTATAAAAAAATCAAACGCGGAGAGTCATAAAATTCTTTTGTAAGAGGAACTACTTTCTTCCGCCATTCATTCACATCTGCAGCTGACGTCAGAACAGCAGAAGGCGTTGCTACTTCACCAACGTCACTTTAGAGCTAGTATTTGAATACTTATCTTAATTGAATAATTAAATTTAAAAATTTGAAAATATGTCTGTGATGACAAAACAGGTGATTTTGCTTACATTTTAATATTATAAGGCTGAACAGCATGAAATGCCATCAGTCTACAGACATTTCCCAGTATTTCTCTGTTGAAATCGGGAGATCACAATAATTAAACCTGAAAAAGCCAAAGCAATGCAATCCCTACCAGATCACTGTTATGTTTGTGATAAGGAAAAACGCTAAACACATGTGGCCATTTCTTCTTTCTTTCTGTTTTCTGAACTAACCTGCAGTAGCGAAAACGGGAGACGCATTAAAACCAGATGGCCATCTCTGGTTTTAAGTATTTAAGATGAGTCTCATCTCACACTTAACATACTACAATTACTATGGTATAAATACAGCACTACAAAAGAGAGAGATCGACTGAGAAAGTCACTTACCAGTTTCATAATGATTTTTTTTTTTTATAATGATTTGACTTGCTGTAGTTTCCACCTTTAAGGGCTTATTATGCGGTCTCTGTCCCCATCTTATAGATAGACAACGTCAACCGTCTTTGGTCTGCTCAATGACAGGCTAATGGCCGCTGACAGCTGTCTCTCAGAAATTGCAAGTATTTTAAAATAGGCACTACCCTTATAAATAAACTGCATTGTTGCAATCTAAACAACTACATACTTGAATACAAAAAGCCTCAAAAGTACATTATGTTGTCCAACAGCAGCAATATTTGTCAAACTGTAGAGTGTCCTCTGCTTGTTGCTGTATGTGGGCGGAGTAATACACAAGGGTGAAGGGTGAGGAGGCTGGACTAGTGTTGTTACTGGCAGAATATTGCACAGCTATTAGCCATTCAGATTCAAGAACCAGACAGAACTGTTGTATGATATGAAATAAAATAAAATAATATAATATAATATGATCAGTGGTGAACGGTGACTGGTGTGTGTGAAACGGGATGCTGGAATTTTTAGTTTGTGAATGACGTGTTGTTCACTAGCAATCTACCAGGAATAGATTGTTGGAGATCATGACAAATAAACAAAAATAAAATAGCAAATGCTGTGAAAATGTCCATGCACTATTCAATATCACTTGAAAAATATTTGAAAACAAAAAATAAATAAAAACTTTATAATTTTTTTCTTAATGATAAAAACATTAAACATTATTGGAGTATTTACTACCAGGTTATGACTTAAAACAACAGGTTTCTACTAAATGGCTTCTACACCATTTTGTGTAAAATTAAAAATGTAATAATAATAATAATAATAATAATACAATTTACATAAATAGCATAAAATAAATAAATAAATAAATAAATAAATAATAATTCCTCACCCACAGGTGTCTCAATTCTCATGGAGCCCATTCTGAAGATGATTCCTATGACTGCTCTGTTCGGGATCTTCCTCTACATGGGTATCACTTCACTGAGTGGCATCCAGCTTTGGGACCGCATGCTCCTGCTCATTACGCCGAAAAAGCATCATCCGGCTGTTCCATATGTCACCCGTGTAAGTTTTATTTATACACAGTTGTCTCCACATGGGGCAGTCCATGAAATAGAAAATATTTATTCAGCGAGTACTCACACAATTATTTAGTGCATAATGCTACTATTACAAAGTACTCCAAATCGAGTTATTCTGTCTGTCAGTAATTACCATTCCTAAAGCCAATGATAGTCCTGAGTTTTCTTCCAGACAATGCATGTCAGAATGTCCCAAATATAAATAATTCCTAACCAAAGTGTTAAGGAGTTGTGTTAGTGGTGTGCTCTTTACATATGCAAGAAAAAAAAAATTGTTTAAACTTTATTTTAAGTCATTGTTGTTACATTGTAAATATTCATTTAAAGGTACAGTAGGTGATCTGCCTAAATGCTAACTGGTTAGCATAATATCTTTAAAACACAGTGTCCCACCCTTGCTGTCCAAAACTATGCTACCTGAAATTGCAGATCATGTCTATTGCCTGTTAAAAAACAAAGTACTTTATAATACTACAATTCTGATTGAAAAACTGTATTATATCTAGCACACTTTCAGCTATGTAGTTAGCAAGCGAAACTTGTCATAATGTTCAATATGTCATGCAAGCAAGGATCACTTGGTTTCACTCTCTCACACTTTGTCCTAAAGCAACTACTGTATAATAGTGCTATTTACTGATGTTTTGTTGTCAAACTAAATAAAAATCTACATTATTGAGGCTGCTAAAGGAACCTTATGATATTGAAAATAGTCACATCAGTCTTTCACTGGAAGATTTCAGTGGCTGAACAGCACTTCTGTGCAGCCATGTGTCATCCTTCCTGGATGTTTTGTACATTTACAGTAATGTATCAATAATATACATTGCTGAAAACTTAATTTGAGCACATTTAAATGTGATTTTCTGAATAGATATTTATTTGAGCCCTCAGATTCGTATGTAGTTCTAAATATTTCCAAACAAACCGTTAATTAACCAAAAACCAAACTGAAATTAATCAGCTTTCAAATTATGTTTAGGACTGAACCTTAAGATTGGTATCGTGTAATTATGTAATATTAGTTCTGTAATATTTGTGTTATAATACACTCACCTGCCACTTTATTAGGTACACCTTACTATTACCGGGTTGGACCCCCTTTTGCCTTCAGAACTGCCTTAATCCTTTGTGGCATAGATCCAACAAGGTGCTGGAAATATTCTTCAGAGATTTTGGTCCATACTGACATGATGGCATCATGCAATTGCTGCAGAGTTAGCAGCTGCTCATCCGTGATCCGTGAATCTTTCATGCAATGTTTTTCAATCTTCTATCGTCCAATTTTGGTGAGGCTGTGCGATTTGTAGCCTCAGTTTCCTGTTCTTGGCTGACAGGAGTGCCACCTGGTGTGGTCTTCTGCTGCTGTAGCCCATCCACCTCAAGGTTGGACTTGTTGTGTGTTCAGAGATGCTCTTTTGCATAGCTCGGTTGTAAAGGTGGTAATTTGACTACTATTGCCTTTCTTACAGCTCCAGTCTGGCTATTCTCCTCTGACCTCTGGCTTCAACAAGGCATTTGCGCTTAGTGGATGTTTTCTCTTTTTCTGACCATTCTCTGTAAAACCTAGAGATGGTTGTGCATGAAAATTCCAGTAGATCAGCAGTTTCTGAAACACTTAGACCAGCCCGTCTGGCACCAACAACCATACCACATTCAAAGTCACTTAAATCACCTTGCACATTCCCCCATTCTGATGCTCAGTTTCAACTGCAGCAGATCGTCTTCCCCATGTCTATATGCCTAAATGCGTTGAGCTGCTGCAATGTGATTGGCTGACTAGAGATTTGCGTTAACAAGTGTACCTAATAAAGTGGCCATTAAGTGAGCAAATAAAAACCTGTCTGTTCCGCTATTGATCAATACATCTATCTGTTTCTTTGTAGGTGCCAACTATGCGTATGCACTTGTACACTTTGATCCAAGTGATGTGTTTGGCGTTGCTGTGGGTGGTAAAATCGAGTAATTTCTCACTCGCCCTTCCATTCGTTCTGATCCTCACGATCCCTCTGAGAATGTTCATGACCGGTCACGTCTTCACTGTTATGGAAATGAAATGTGTAAGTATCCGCTTTAAGACATTCACACAGTCACTGCACATAGACAGGATCTTCATAACCAACAGTATTCTAATAAAAAAACTAACTATATTAGCCAAATGAAATGATCTGATTACATATATTTCATTATTCTTTTGCAGCTGGATGCTGATGACGCAAACGTGAAATTTGATGATGAAGACGACTAAAAAAACAATCTCTAGATTCTTGATTTCTGATTCCAAACCACTATGAATTCATCTCACTGTGTGCATTACATGAGAATAATTTTGCTTATATTTTTTTAACTGTTGTACATTCAAATCCCTTAGTTTAACAGGTCAGAAATGTTGAAGAATGTGATCAATGCACACCTAAAGTTCATAAACTGTTCATATACATTCCGTAGTTGTTTATCCGAATAGTATGTTTTCTTACTTTTGCATAGAACATTGTGCTTAAGCTTTTGATTTTATTTTATTTTTGTGTGTGTGTTTGTGCCTTTTAAGATTTGGGATTAAAACATCATCCTGTTATTTATTTATTTAAAGTATTCAGGGTTTAAAGCAGGAAACTTCACGTTGGAGTGAGGCATGTCAACTATGCACCAGCTCGATTGTACCCCCGTCCTGTTTCCACAGGTGATGCCAATGCAAAATATGTGCCTTTATATTTCTTATAAGAAGTTGAATGTTTCTGAATTTCGAACATCATACCTGTAAATATATTAGGCTTATGATTGTTAGCGTAGGATAGATTTTACACAGTATAAATGATTCATTTGCTTTATGTATGCTTGGTATGTTATGGTGTGTGACTTTGTTTATTGATTAAAATTCTTTAAAACATCCTCAATAAGTCTTGTTAAACTAATATTAGTGAAGGAATGCAGACAAATCCACATTTCTAGAAGTCCCGGCTTTATATGAGGCCTGGGCGGTCCTGTCCCACCCAATCAAGAGCTCGGCCCACCCTGATATTCCACCCACATTCTCAAGAGTCCTGCCCATTCTGAGAGTCCTGTGACATACCTGAAGCTAGACCTTTAGTCTGACAAATGTGATTTCTTAATCTGGGGTACTTGGGGTACTTAGCACTTAGGGAAAGTGCTATTTAGGGTCTGTAAGATATTTAAAAGAAGGTTATTTTACATTTTCTCATTTAGCAGACGCTTTTGTCCAAAGTGACAAGTGAGTTATGCTTACTGATGCTGCATTTATTACACAAATATAGTGCAAACTGTCATAATATTACATATTCTTACCATTTAAAAGATCCATCCTTGATATTAAAAAGTAAGCTGGATTAAAAAGATGGATGAATAGAAAAGGCTGCATTTATTTATTCAATTAATATGTTTACAATTCAAAATATTCATGTACATGTTATTTATTTCTGTGATGAAATATTTCAGATTTATTTAGATGACAGCTGAAAATATTTATTTATTTGAAGTATATGTTTTTTGTAACAATATAAAAGTCTTTATTGCTACTTGGAAAAATAAATCCATCATTGATATTAAAAAGTGCATATATATATATATATATATATATATATATATATATATATATATATATATATATATATATATATATATATATATATATATATATATATTCACAGACAGACAGACATAGAAGATAGATAGATAGATAGATAGATAGATAAATAGATAGATAGATAGATAGATAGATAGATAGATAGATAGATAGATAGATAGATAGATAGATAGATAGATAGATAGATAGATAGATCTGAAACTACATTACATTGGATAATACTAAATAATATTGCAAACTATTAAAAACATATGGCTAATAAATAAAAAATTGGTCTGATAGTGACAAACTATAGATTTAAAATTACATTTATTAATTTAGGCATACTGTGTTCATAAAATAGTGTTTTAATATGTCATTAAGTGATTTTTGTTTCTCTCTCTCTCTATAAATAAATATATAACTATATATAAATAAATATATTAACAAGTTGTCTTGTCATTAAACGATTACATTCTATACGTCAATAAACTTTAACTATAAAAGACACCAATCTATGCATATAAGTGTTTTTGGGGTGGATAATAATTGTAAATACTTCAATACAGCCTACTAGTTAGTATGTATACGTGAATCTCAATAGTGCACAAAAAAATTAAACATGTTAAATGATTTCAAGAGTTAGCATTACAGCTCACACTGGAAACTACAGAGGTGAACATTAAAGATCTTTAAAGTTGTCCTAAATCTCATCAGTTACCCCCAGTTTTGTCTTGGAATAATTTTGAACATTTATTTTGATCTACTTCAAAAGTTGACAACTGTTATACAAGGTTTGAGCTGTTCCACCGGCCTGTATTCGGTTCCCCGAGGCACCGGCGTGGGACTGAGGCGTTCATTCCGATGAAGTGCGCACGTCACCGCTCTGATGTTTAACGAATCCGCGCGCCCATTGGAAAATCATGTTTTTACCAAATCACAACGTCTTGATTGGACATTTCAGGTGACGCCCACAAACAGACAAGGTGGGGTTTAATTATTTAACGTGACAAAAAAGATGAAGCTGTCAGACTGAAAATGCTGAAAAGATGTTTAATGTACACAACAGTTCACTCTTCTTTCACACCGTGCACGCGCTCTGGGAAAGCAACCTGCTTGACTAAATGTGTCTTATAATGATAATAGTCATCACAAAACACAATGCAAGCATATTTAATAAAGTTTATTGAAATATGCATGATCAATCAAGAGAAAAATGTGTTCAAAACAAGTCCGAAGTGCAACACGCGCGCACCACTGGGTTTGATGGCGCCTCGGTAGCTCCGTGTTTATAATGCCGAATGGAGGCGAAACGGGCGAGCCGTCCGTGATGAGAGCGGCGAGCAGGGGAGAGATTGAAAATGCGGATGTCTCTTTGGAAAGAGAAATGAGCGGATCGAGAGAGCTGCGCGTTGACTGGAAGGAGAGCGAGAGAGATGGAGGCGGGGGGAAGTCTCTCAGCTCTGCGGGGACTGGAGCGCCCGTGCCCTGGACCGGCGGCGCAGTGCTGGCTAACATTCAACCCTCCCCTTGTTCCAGCACCAGTTCCACACACAAGCAGCGACAGGTAAGGTCTAACCAGCGCCTCATCCTACCAACCGTTGGGTAAACAAACATTGAGAAGAAAAACAACATCAAAAGCAAATATAAACATTTAAACTTTAGCTCACTGATGGGGTTTTTGTTTAAATTCGCGTTGACTCGGTGCAAGGCACGGTACATTCCGAGGTCGCCTTACCCGAATTTCCCGTCCTGTGACTCGGGGAAAAACATCCTCCGCTTTAAATACCAGAACCGTTAATTTTCGAGTTTAACTCCACAAGCCGTTAACCTCGTTTTAACGCGCAAAACGTGCATCTTTGTCGTGTTTGGAAGTAATCCGCGCGGTCGTCTTCATTTCCGAGTCAGGACTCCATGAGGCTCGTGGAGGGAAGAACCAGCCGCCTCTGGTTCGCCATCAGGGAGCTTGGTTGTCTCACCGTGTGGGCTTGTTTTCGCTTGTGCTTACCGTGAAATCATAGCTCGCGATCATATTTGATCGTTTTCCTCGGTTATCTGTGCTTGAGGAGCGAACCGGGTAAGTTATGGGTGATTTGTGGTCGTTTTTTTGTCGTTGGGGTTGATTTGGGCTTGCAGCGTGCATGGAGGATAGTATGGCGGCTCTAGAACAGTCGTCACGCCAGTCAAGCGTCCTCTCTCTCGGCTGTTGCGTTTTTCCATTGTGACCACGAACAAAATTACACGTTTGCACACGGGATTGAGTCGCTTCTCGCCGAGATGATTTCGTTTGTTTTAATTGTGCTTTAATCGCCGAGTATTGATTTACATTAACAGTTTATTTCTTTCATTTCTGTTTTTCAAGCCTTTGAAGAGACTGCTACCATACGGCTGCACACACCGTGCTTTCACCCCGCTATCCTCGACACTCGAAAAGTCGGGGTAAAAACCAGATTTCTTTACGGTAAGAGGACACTTTGGAAATAATTTTTAGCATTAACTAAATAACAATGGCTTTTTGGGTTTAATTAAACATAATTTCTGGATGATTTCTTTAACGGGAGCTGGTTCAGCTCTCACCAGAGAGACTGGCTGGAGGGGGATTCAATGCTAATTCTAGCCAGCTAGCTCCGGTGTAGGTCAAGTCGTAGGTCGGTTTAATAGTGTAACATTTTAACTTTATTAAAAGATAATTGATTGAAAGCTATCGTTTGTGGACATGATGAATCCATTTATTAAGGTTTTCACTTGGATAAATAAGCTAAACTGTTTTAAACATTAAACAGCATTAATTGTATGATTTAGAAACGTGTTTGTAATATCCGAAACCGAATTAAATGTATGAAACATGAATTTTAAATGAACCCTTATAAATACTTAAAGACTAACTTTGACGTATTTTCCTTGAACCTGGAGCTCCGTTACCAAAGCTTTTGTTCTTTAAAAATCTTATTAAATCAACCAGCTTTTCTGGACATTTTTGTGATTGTAAAACTCAATTCTGCTTGAACAGGGTCACAAAGCAATGCCACCCGGCTGCCTGGGGAGCATTTCAGTATGGTAAGAAATGCCCTTCAGTCAGGGTCTATTTTAAAGCTGGACTGAGCTGGCTCACGCGCCGCCATTACACACATTCAGCGCAGCTGCGACGCCTCGCCCTGGAAAAAGCCTCGTGCCATTTTGTGACTAATTCAGTCAGTGCACACATTTGCTAAACCGCATCAGATTAGGACGAGCCCTCCAAAACAGTCGAGCGTTTTTAATACTGTCGCAATGAGGCTGACCCAGAGCGCGTCCGCGGCGGAAGCGAAGCCCCGCGCCCTGTCCCGTGTGGAGGCAGACGCTGGTGCTGCATGCTGAATCAGTCACTCATGATGATGATCCATCCCTAGCTGTGTTTCCCCCTCTCGACGAACACCGAAAGCAGATCCCGATCCGTGGTCAGCTGGTCCGTGTAGAGGCAGCTGCCTGCCTATCGCCCGAAACGCTCCTTCCTCCTCCTGTCCTGTAGTACCTCCCAGTATCCACTCGTCCGCCGAAAATATACTCCATTTTTGAGGCTCCGCAACGAAAGGCTCGTGCCAAAAAACGCGAGTCGAGCGCTGGAGATGCCGTTTTAAGTCTTAGTTCAGTAGACAAAATGGAAGATTAGACGGATTGGCTGCTCTTGCTGGTGTCGACTGCAGAGTTATTTGAGATTTGAAACCGTCACAAGCAATGGGCTCTGTCTCACGATGGAGCGTAAACGCTTAGGGGCGGTGTAATGAACATCAACCATTATGTGTCGGGCTGGATTTTAATTCCTCTCTTTAGGCAGCAATTCCTGATTCGGGGAATTCGACTATAAATGAGGATTTTTTAAAAATATTCGTTTGAAAAGATTTTAAACGCCGTTAAAGCAAATACAGCCTTAGAGAGATAGAGATAACCAAATATAAAAGTTTTATTTTTAACTGCTGCATGCATTTTCACGCCATGAAAAAAGCCATAGAAGCTTTGATGGTTTAAAAACAGACAAACAAAACACCCATATACTTGTTTAGGTTAAATAGAAAGTCAGGACCAACAGTTGAAGTGTTCTTGTTTCTTTATTAATTTCACGAAAAAAAGTGATAACTATGTGGGCTTCACTTTTTTTGTCTCAGATGTTTGTCACAATTCATTAGTTTTAGTTTTTTTACTCGAGTGATTCCCTAGAATGAGTGTAAACACTTAGGGGTGGTGTAATGAACATCAACCATTATGTGTCGGGCTGGATTTTAATTCCTCTCTTTAGGCAGCAATTCCTGATTCTTGGGATTCGACTATATATGAGGATTTTTTTTAAATATTCTTTTGAAAAGATTTTAAACGCCGTTAAAGCAAATACAGCCTTACAGATAACCAAATATAAAAGTTTTATTTTTAACTGCTGCATGCATTTTCACACCATGAAAATAGCCATAGAAGCTTTGATGGTTTAAAAACAGACAAACATAACACCCATACACTTGTTTAGAGTGGGTTAAATAGAAAGTCAGGCCCAACAATTGAAGTGTTCTTGTTTCTTTATTAATTTCACGAAAAAAAGTGATAACTATGTGGGCTTTACTTTTTTTCTCAGATGTTTGTCACAATTCATTAGTTTTAGTTTTTTCCTCGAGTGATTCCCTACAATGAGTGTAAACACTTAGGGGTGGTGTAGTGACCATCAAACATGCAACATTTGACCATAATGCACATGTTCTCACTTTTAAAATAGCTATTGAACCTTAAATGGTGTTGAACACAAACAAACACTTGAAAAACAGCATTGAAAAAAAAGTGAAAACTTAAATTTTGTCTCAGATTTTTTAGTCATGATTATTATTATTTTTTTCTCAAGACTGATTCTCTACAATGAACATAAATGGGCTGGTGTAATGAACATCAACATTATGTGTGGGGCTGGATTTTAATTCTTCTCTTTAGGCAGCAATTCCTGATTTAGGGAATTCAACAAAAATATATATGAGGATTTTTTTTGTAATTCGTTTGAAAAGATTTCAAAGGCTGTTAAAGCAAATACAACCTTACAGATAATCAAATATAAAAGTTTTATTTTTAAATGCTGCATGCATTTTCATGCCATGAAAATAGCCATAGAAGCTTTGAGTGGTTTAAAAACAGACAAACAAAACACCCATACACTTGTTTAGATTGGGTTAAATGGAAAGTCAGGACCAACAATTGAAGTGTTCTTGTTCCTTTATTAATTTCACGAAAAAAGTGATAACTATGTGGGCTTTACTTTTTTTCTCAGATGTTTGTCACAATTCATTAGTTTTAGTTTTTTTTACTCGAGTGATTCCCTACAATGAGTGTAAACTCTTAGGGCTGGTGTAATGAACATCAACCATTATGTGTCGGGCTGGATTTTAATTCCTCTCTTTAGGCAGCAATTCCTGATTCTTGGAATTCGACTATATATGAGGATTTTTAAAAAATATTCTTTTGAAAAGATTTTAAAAGCTGTCAAAGCAAATACAGCCTTACAGATAACCAAATATAAAAGTTTTATTTTTAACTGCTGCATGCATTTTCACACCATGAAAATAGCCATAGAAGCTTTGATGGTTTAAAAACAGACAAACATAACACCCATACACTTGTTTAGAGTGGGTTAAATAGAAAGTCAGGCCCAACAATTGAAGTGTTCTTGTTTCTTTATTAATTTCATGAAAAAAAAGTGATAACTATGTGGGCTTTACTTTTTTTCTCAGATGTTTGTCACAATTCATTAGTTTTAGTTTTTTCCTCGAGTGATTCCCTACAATGAGTGTAAACACTTAGGGGTGGTGTAGTGACCATCAAACATGCAACATTTGACCATAATGCACATGTTCTCACTTTTAAAATAGCTATTGAACCTTAAATGGTGTTGAACACAAACAAACACTTGAAAAACAGCATTGAAAAAAAAGTGAAAACTTCAATTTTGTCTCAGATTTTTTAGTCATGATTATTATTATTTTTTTCTCAAGACTGATTCTCTACAATGAACATAAATGGGCTGGTGTAATGAACATCAACATTATGTGTGGGGCTGGATTTTAATTCTTCTCTTTAGGCAGCAATTCCTGATTTAGGGAATTCAACAAAAATATATATGAGGATTTTTTTTGTAATTCATTTGAAAAGATTTTAAAGGCTGTTAAAGCAAAAACAGCCTTACAGATAACCAAATATAGAAGTTTTATTTTTAACTGCTGCATGCATTTTCACGCCATGAAAATAGCCATAGAAGCTTTGATGGTTTAAAAACAGACAAACATAACACCCATACACTTGTTTAGAGTGGGTTAAATAGAAAGTCAGGCCCAACAATTGAAGTGTTCTTGTTTCTTTATTAATTTCACGAAAAAAAGTGATAACTATGTGGCTTCACTTTTTCTGTCACAGATGTTTGTCACTCTCATTGTAAAAACATTTACAATGTAAAGACCTTATAGAATATAACTACAACATTGATTTTCCCACCATGAAAATAGCCATAGAAGCTGGCATGGTTAAAGTCAAACAAACAAACCACTTTTATACACTTCAGATTTGGTTAAAATACATATATTTACCACAGGAATATAAAATATTTTTGTTTACTTAATAATTTGATGGTAACAAATTGCATTGAAATAACGTGAAACAGAATGTGAAGTGTGGGTTTTTATCTTTTTTGCATCTCAAATGTTTTAGTCATAATGCAATCTGTTTGTTTTTCTCAAGAGTGTTTCCGGACAATGAATGGAGAAATGGACTCCTCTGCTAAAGCCACTGGTAAGAAACTTGTCATTTAGTGGTTTCCGCATATTATTATTATATGTTATATTTTATTAATGGCAATAAATATGATTTTAAAGTCTTTAAAGTCATGGTTTTTATTTCTGAATGCATCTTTAATTATCTATGGTTCTGATTAATCTGATTAGAAACTTTCAATCTGATCAAAGACAAAACTGTTTTGGTGTCCATGTCAAGTTAGATTTACCAGAGTGTTTTTGTATACATGGCCAATTGTGTGCAAGTAAAGTATCTGCTGTAAAGGGATAGTTCATTCAAAAATGAAAACGACGTCATAATTTCTCCACCCTTGACCTGTTCCTAACCTGTTTGAGTTTTTTTCTGGTGAAGATATTTTAAACAATGTTGAAAAAAGTGAATCTCCATAGCATGAAAACCAAACACTATGCAAGTCAATGGCTACAGGTTTCCGGCATGTAGCTTATAAATTGTTTTAACAAGTCAGTGGGTAAGTAAATGATGACAGAATTAAATTTTTTGAGCAAACTATTCCTTTAAATATGAACTTTTCTAAAAACAAATGTGAAAATAATTGCCTTTAAGTTTAACAGATGACAAAAATGTCTTATTCTGATCTGTACTTACATACTTTTAAAAAAACTTGCTACAGACAAAACCTAGTTAATTACAAAGTAAAATATTTTAAATGACAAATAATTTAATATGTCATTTTAATATGTCATCATATGAAGATTATTCAGAATTTGACAGACAATAGTTTTTATATACATGATATTGTTGCACTTCATAGGATTTTAGTGTCTGCTGTTTTCTCTAAATGATGGTAACTGTGTTTAATAGTCTGGTCTAATCTAGTTAGATTTAATTTTGTTACCCTGTACTCTGTGACGATAAAGTTGAATCTAATCTAGTATTTAAAATATAAACTAAATATAATTTTTTAAAAATGTTTTGAAGGTCCCGTGACCCGTTTTTAATAATTTTTAATAAAAATTATTTTTAATCATTTAAATAATTTTTAAAAAGTGTCCATTTTTTAATTTGATGTTTGACGTAATCTCAACTAAAAATGATGAGAGGGTGGGACATCACCTGTTTAAAAATAATAGCCACTAGTGTTTTGTTTTATCATAGCTCTGCCAGTGAAAGTTTTTGAGCTCAAATACGTCAAATGAAAATAGTCTTAAAGGGGGTGGGACATGTCAGATGCCAGAGAACATTTGATTGGTCAAGATTTGATGAGAAAATGTGCAATTCTCATGTGAAAATTGTTGATTGATTTAGGTGGAAGTGCCAACTTGCAAGCTTTACACGCAAATTTTGTTGCTGTTTTTGGAGCACAATAGCTTATAAATATTCTTATAACTAACAGACTGAAACTAACATCTAAAAATATATACACTTTTCATCCGAGACCAATACCTTGAATGAACAATTTGAAAAGAAACTGTCCTGAAAATGACTCTGCTCAGCATAAACCATGTTTACTCTCACAATACAAGTAAATGTGTATTGATTGTTAGTATGAAATCTATAAATTGCTTTTTTTTTCTTAGATTGTCCGATGAGGAGTGTGCTAGTATTTAGAAATCATCATATTATGTTTTATTGTTACAGTTTGGGTGCAGGATGATGTGTTGAAGTTGTTGGATGCCATGAAAGTGAATCTGCCAGAAAAAGATCTGGCCAAATACAAGACATCCGAGTCCCATTTGGATTGGGAGAAAGTGGCTTTTGATGCTTACTCTGCAGAAGTGTGCAAACAGAAATGGCAAGAAGTTTCCCGTGAGGTACGTTAATCAGTGACCAGTGGGTTTTATCCAGGACTTTGATTATCCTAAATGTTTTAGTGATCAAAAGGCATTAAATTTAGAGTTTATTTTTAGATCATGCAATTGTCACATAAAATTCCTGTTCTTTATATAGATACGCAAGTTCCGCACCCTCACCGAGCTGATCGTGGACGCACAGGACTACATTAAAAATCCATACAAGGGAAAGAAGCTGAAGGTAGATTGGCTTATGGCTCAGTACAGAAACAGTGGGTTAAGATTTACAGAGCTTGTCCTTTGTGGCAACTGTTGGTTAACTTTGTTTATTTGTTTTCTCTGCAGAAACACCCAGACTTCCCCAAAAAGCCATTGACACCATATTTTCGTTTCTTCATGGAGAAGCGTGCCAAGTATGCTAAGCTACATCCAGAGATGAGCAACCTGGATCTCACAAAAATCCTGTCCAAAAAATACAAGGAGCTCCCAGACCGTAAAAAAGTGAGTTCAATGAGATTAAAGGAAACATGGCCAAAGTTTGGACAATCATTAAAGAATTTCAAGAAAGGAGATCTGACATGGACTTTTAAAACAAACAAATTGAAAATATGAGGAAATTGTAGGAAAATCTCTTTTTCCTTTTTAGTTTTTCTTTATTTTAATGAAAGAATGCATTTTAATATTCAAAAAGTACATCCAATTTATTCAATTCAACTAAACCTATTCAATAATTTAAGGAACTCTGAGTATGTGTACATGGACACCAATACTCTGATTTTAATAAGATTAGGACAATGCTCTGATTAAGAATCTACCATGTAAACAGCCTTTTTTGATTACCTTGATCCAACTAAAGTCATAATCGAGGTAAACAGAAATGGATTAAGACATGTGGAATATGCTGATTTTAGTTGCATTGTTGAAGTGCAGCACAAACATGTAAACACCTTGATTGAACTACATTCACTGCATTTTTCGACAGCATAGTTTATACATACATGGTTGTTTAACACAATTTTCTGCACCTCCTGAGTCAGAAAAGGACGGCAAAATGCAGAGCCCCCCCATACAGCATGCGGTATCAAATTCTATTAAAACGCCAGTCCTTACTTCGTACTCTCATCTCAATACCTCAGTTTGTCTCGGGGGATTAATGAAATGCTCCTGAATGAGAGTGACTGCCAAGCTACAGCTAAAGTCGACAAATTAAAAATCAAATACCTGAAACTACAAGAAACTCCGGAGGAGATATGGATGGTGTAATGACGTACTGACGTTAATCGAACTATGTGCCATAACATGTAAAATGGAATCATGAAAAGAACATTCAAAAAGCAACTCATGTAAACACCTTAATCATATTATTGTTACATATTAAGGCAAATAATTTGATTACTGATATCATGTAAATGTAGGCAATGATATTTAGGAATTACGATTTAGCAACAATTAAGAATGCAACAATTCAATTTTTTTTCCAGTTGTTTTATTCTTGTTAAATAAATTGCATAATTATTCTCCAACAATTAAATCCTAATTTTATGATATAATATTTTAGTTATTATTTCTGTTAATTTTTTTTATCACATAAAATGGCTAAATGCTTGCAAAGTGAGCAGCTCTAGTGATAAAGTTAATCTAAAAAGTTTCTAAGAAGTTTGTCAGTAAAATCATATAAGAACCTCAATACAGGAGATTTGCAGTGCTTTCCACATATTTGAAAAACTTGTGGTGAGTGGATTGAAACACACCATTTACCCACATCACATAAATAGTTCCCTATATGCGACAAACAGTACATTATTTAATTTTTAATAATAATTGTTTATTATGACACTCTTTCTTTTTAGTGGTTTAATGTAAAAAAAAAACTGATTTTTAACAGATTAAAATAATAAAAGAAATACTTTTATGCTATTCAGAAGCCATGTGCACCCACTGACGTTTATAATCTGGTTCCTTCTCTCTTTCAAGTTCAAAGCAAACTTGAATGCCAAAGCATTTTAGATGTGTATATAAAATAGCCCATATGTAATAAATTAGCATTATCAAGAAGTTAGGACGATTCTAAGGGCCCACACATTTTGGTGGCCCCCCCAAGACATTATTAAGGGCCCACGACCCGACACCAACCCCCTCTCTTTATTCCACCTGTTACATCAAATATTAGCGGATCACCTGACAGGTACCAGCTTGCATGCAGGACTCTAGGGTAAATGCTTGTAAAGTGAGTAGCTCTGGAAATGAAGTTTAGAGACATTAACAGGTATAATTTGCATCTAGTGTTCAGTGGATTTCAAATCTGTTGCTGCTGTCCAAATATTTTGTGTTTGGTCTAGATAGCCTGTTGTTTCGAGTGGTACTTTCTAGATCAGTCAACAAAGCGTGCATTGTTTAGACTAACCCCGTCTGTTCTGACTGACCTTTTTGTCAACAGGAGAAATACGTGAAAGATTTTCTCAGAGAAAAGGAGACTTTTATGCTGAGCATGATGAAGTTCAAGTAAGTGATGCTTTCCCCTGACATTTACATTTCTAAATCAGCACTTTTCTCAAGGAAAATGTTTGTGTGTCATTAGGCAGGAACATCCTGACCTTTTGGAGAACGTTAACAAGAAGTCCAACGTTCCAGAGAAGGCCAAGACACCCCAACAACTGTGGTACAGCCATGAGAAGAAGGCTTTTCTTAAAGCACACCCTGATGTAAGCTCTACACAGCGTGTACATGCATGAAAACAATGATATTACATCATGTGAATGAGTTCCCAGCTAGGTCACTAGGTAACAGTGCTGCGTAATATGATTGCTGCCATGGTGCAACAGCAAAGTTCCTTAATTATTATGACAGAAAGAGTGTATAGTTCCTATCCATAGTGACCTAGAAAATAGCAACTTTTCATTTCCTGTCAGTCTTCTTACACAATATGACTAGAGAAAGAGTAGCTTTAAATAGGAAAAGTATCCTTTTTTTAGAGCGAGATGCAAATGGTCTAATCAGATTCAATTTCATATGCCAAGCTAAGCTAAAACTGCTCTCGCCAGACCAGGATATTGGCTGAATGGATCCAAAAGGGTAAAAATAAATGGTTTAACACTTGGGGAGTGTATTTTCAAGAGAGTGGAGTGGAGCTCACAAATGGCCTAAACACAAACCTAATGTCTCAGTTATATTTTTAGCTCTTATGCTGATTTTACCCAGCATTTAAACACATTGGCCTGATTTCTGTTCATTTAATTTCAACTTTCATTCACTGAAAGATTTCTTTACTTCAGATTAAAGCACATCAAAACAGAGCAAAAACTTTACAGTATGAGAGGAGGAAATATAAAGCAAACTTAGACACTTTCTTGACCCAAAGAATTAAAAAATGTGTTCTGAGCTTGTGGAGTTTAGGTGGTAAAAATCAAATGACACATAATATCATGAAAGCAATGTAGATAGTAAGTTTAACACATATTTTGCAAATTGTAATGCCTCATTTAACATGGCGACTAATAAAAAGTAAATACTCTGAGTTGGATTTAGAAGTTATCGCATTTTGCCAGCATTTTGAAAGAAATTATTTTATTAATGGCTCCTTTTATACATGGGTTACTTGCTTTGCTGGTTTATTAGTTTATACACCTGAATAACATAACATTGTGGCTTTTTTTTACCTCTCCAGGCGACCACCAAAGACATCAAGGATAATCTTGGCAAGCAGTGGCCACAGCTTTCAGATAAGAAGAGGATCAAATGGATCGCAAAGTCTCTGGAGCAACATAAACTATATGAGGTAAAGATTTTACCATTTTACACTGGATATTATTCATCACTAGCAGGCTCCTTTATAATGTGCAATCGTTTCTGTTTGTGTGTAGGAAAAGATGCGTGAGTTTATCCAGCAGCATCCAGAGATGAACATGACACAGGGAGACATCGTCAAATCCAGTCTGACCAAAGCAGAACGTCAGCTCAAGGACAAGTTTGATGGGAGGCCAGACAAACCACCTTCGTAAGTTCAGTTTTTTCTTTATGCAAAACATAGTCTGTTGTTTGTTTCTTTTTATTTTGAGGTAAAATGAGTTGAATGTTTATTTTATTTTTTTTTACAGAGTATTGCAGGGTCTGAAAGTCCTTAAAATGTCTTTAAATTTCAAACACAACATTTTTAGGCCTTAAAAAGTCTTACATTTACTGAAATTTGGGGTTGCAGTCTTAAATCATTTTAAAGGGTCTTAATTTTCCTTTGTTTATGTAAAGCCAATTAGTCCAACACACATCCAATCACTAACAACATATCTCAATGAAACTTTAGCAAAACTATTTTTTTTAAGTTATGTTGATTAAAAAAAGTATGTAAACAACTATGGCTTGTTTTGACACATTATTTAAAATATGTGGCTAAGAAATGACTAATTAGATATTATTTTCTGCTGGGCCATTAAAAAATCCTTGGCATTAGCCCTATAGCAGTCTGAAATTTCATTCTTCATGGGCTTAAAAAATCTTAAAGTCTTAAATTTGATTTGGTGAAACCTGCAACCCGGTTTTAATAGAAATTTAATTATTGTAACTTTCACACAGATCAAATGCCTACCTTCTAAATTGCAGGCTTGTGACTCACAGTTTTGAGTCTATTATTTAAATAAAGTGAGAGCCTATAAACTAGCAGTTCTGAGACAATAAAGTCGATGAATTATGATGAGAATTATGAGATGGAAACTCTATTTGCAAGAGCAAAAATCAGATGCTAGAAGCACGTTTTTTATTTCATAGTGAAAAAGGGCAATAATACAAATGTAACTTGTTTTTTTCTGTTGCCTTTGTAGTGTTATTGTGTTTAATATTAATAAAATTATGTATTTCAAAACATTTTCTTTGATTTTTTTTTTTTGTATTTTTATTAGCCCTCATTTTTATTTTAGTAATTGAAATGCTTTTGATTTGGTTACATGGTTTACTTTGAATCCTGTTTTATTCTGATATGTCGGTAACATTTTTTTTGATGGCCTATTTGAGTATTAGTAGACTGTCTGTTTAATATCTGCTGATATTGCTCCTTCAACAGACATTTAACTCACTATAAGGAACTTTGTAAGTACTTGTCAACTTACACTAACCCCAACCTCACAGTCTACTAATAATCTAATGAGAATTAGTTAACATGTAGATGCAATGTAACTTAAATTCAACAAATGGACCATCAAAATAAAGTGTGACCAATATTTCTTATCTTTCAAATGACCAGAATTGTTTTTTTTGAAGTTTTAGTTTTTGTACAGTGTGTATAAAGTCAAATCTCTCATCTTTTTTTTTTTTTTTTTTTTTTTTTTTTTTTTTTTTTTTTTTAGAAACGGTTATTCTTTGTTCTGTGCTGAGCTGATGTCCAGTATGAAGGACGTTCCCAGTACGGAGCGTATGGTCATGTGCAGCCAGCGCTGGAAACTCCTCAAACAGGCCGAGAAAGACGCATACCAAAAGCGATGTGAACAGGTCTGTAATGCACTCATTCAAACAGTGCTTTTATTTGGCACACTTCCATATGTTTGTCACCAGTTGATAATCTAAACCAGAGGTGCCCAAATGCAGTCTTGGAGGGCCGGTGTCCTGCAAAATTTAGTTCCAACCCCGATTGGACACGCCTAAACTAGCAAAACAAGCTCTTTTTAGGTATACTAGAAACTTCCAGGCAGGTGTGTTGCAGCTTAACTATGCAGGACTCTGGCCGTCCAGGACTGGATTTGGACATCTCTAAACAAACCTACGTTGGTGCATAAAAAGTAATTTCTTGCTTTAAATTTGCTCTACACAGAAAAAGAAAGAATATGAAGTTGAGATGAACCGCTACTTGTTAGTAAGTATACCTTAATCATAATCATTTTTATTCTTTGTTTTTATTTTCTTATACTTCTCTCTTTTATTCCTGTTTATGTAAAGCACTCTGAATTAGCTTTGTGTATGAAATGTTCTATATAAATAAACTTGCCTTGCCTTAATGAGTATAATAGATGCTCGCTTCTGTTGGTGTGTTGTTTGTACAATTTTGCTGCTTGGTTTGCATTTTAAACATGCTGTCTGTGCGTGGCAGAGTATCTCAGAGGAGGAACAGCAGAGAATACTGTCAGAACAGAAGATGGGCAGCTTCAAAAAGGCCGGCGGAATCAGCAGCCCGGCTTCAAAAAAGAAAAGCTCTAAAGCAAAGGTCAGAGCACCTGTCAATCATCTTGAATTAGCTTACAGTATGGTTGTCACGATATTATCAATTCAGGCCACGATACCATACCAGCTGAAGTATGACGATACCAAGTAGTATCGCAATACTGTGTTAATTCATAACTCAAATCTATGAAATAAAGCAAATTGTCCGAAATACTATTTTATATGTCAGAATACTTAAATTCAATTCCCTTATTATTGAAAATAGATTATTTGTAGCAGCCTTTCACTGCTTTTTTTGAATATACTATGACTATAATAATTGATCACGCCATATGATCCATCATGACCGCAGCAAACTATGACCCGTATGCAAACAGGTAAAATGAAAGTAAAATAAAGTGGTCTATTGATTATTTGCTTGCACAAATGTTTGAGCATTTTAGTTTGTAAGTTTAGTTTAATGTTTGATTTTTTTTCCACATGCAACATATTGTAGAACCGTTAATGATAATACTACCGTTTACAAACTAAAGGGGTGCCACCAGTATTTTGGAGCCATAGTATCGATGTGCTACCGAAGTACCGGTAAACTGTGCAACCTTAGCTTACAGTAAGATAAACTTAATTTCTGTAATGGCCTTTTTTTTTCCTGTTATCCTAACAGCCTAGCGCAGAAAAGCCCAAGCCGCCCATTTCTGCAATGTTCATATTCTCTGAGGAGAAGCGTCCAAAACTTAAGCAGGAAAAACCTGAGCTTTCTGACATGGAGCTCACCAGACTGCTGGCCCGCATGTGGAATGAGCTTACTGACAAGAAGAAGGTAACGTTACCATCTGGCATTGTCCTCATAACATCGCTGTATTAGTTTACTTAATTGTTTTCTAATCTTTCTAATAGGAGAAATATAAAACCCTGGAGATGGCCCTGAAGGCAGAGGCTGAAAAACAGAGCAGAGAGGAGAAAGGGAAGCTACCAGAAACGCCCAAAACAGCTCAGGAAATCTGGCAACAGAGCGTCATCGGAGACTATCTGGCCCGGTTTAAGGTATGCAGTTATAAATGAAATTCACTAAAACAGTGTTTTGTTAAAAAGATTGCACTTTCTTACTAGAGTTGTCATGTGAAACTGACAAAATGAAAAAATTATATTTGTGCATATACATTAGATTAGTCAGTACTGAATCCAAATCTGGAGCTTATCTAATGAAATAACTTAGGAGAACGGTCCAAAAACTAGAACACCCAAATGTATATGTTTTACAAAAAAAAATGGATAAAATTTTGTAGTTTGTCATTTATTTTGCAATGTTTTGCTTGAATTCAATTGTATTATCTTTAAATTGCTAAATATGTTTGGTTTGTTAAAATATTATTTTAATAAATATATGTTTAGTTTAAATGCACCAAAATACATTGCCTATATTCAGTGAGAAATGGAGAAAAACATTCATTTTCAAAATGGGGTGTACTCGTTTATGCTGAGCACTGTATACCTGCCTGTATAATCTTCATTTAATTCTCATCTTTGGTTACACATTTTTAAAGTCTTAAATTACTTTTTAGTAAATTAAGTTTAATTTTAAATCATAGTAACAAGTCTTAAGTTCGTTTAACTATAGCATTAGTTTTTATGAGAATTTCATTTTCCTTGTGCTTCATAATAAAGCAAAGCGCTAGCATAATTTCTGCACTGAGGCTCATTGTCTTCATTACTGGCACCTTCAGTGTTCAACATGCTCAAAATTGAGCTGCATTACAGCTTCATTCAGGACATCATTCAGAGATGTTTCTTAAAATTGCAGATTTCCTTATTTATTTTTTTTAAGTCTGTGGAATGTGCTGTGTGTATAATCATGCTGTAGTGGTATATAGATATGCAATGAGTCACAACAGAAAGTAAAAGATAATTTAAATTACTCAAGTGGATGAATCAGGAGTGTCCAAGCCTTTACATACTTTATATATAATTAATTTAATTTTAAGTTAAATAATGTATTTGTATGTTCCCTTTAAAATATTTCTACAAACAAAACTCTTCATGTGCTCTTTGTTATATGTAGTTTGCAACATATTGGTGTTGTGTTTTCCCTTCTTTTTTCCTGTAATGTACTTTAGTTGGTCTAAAAAGGATTTTTAAAAAGTCTTAAAATGACCCTCATAAAACCTGCTGAAGCCCTGATTATATACTAGTATATAATATATTAATCTCCCTCTTTTCTTTCACAGAATGATCGGGCGAAAGCTCAGAAAACCATGGAGGCCACCTGGAACACCATGGAGAAGAAGGAGAAGATCGTGTGGATCAAGAAAGCTGCTGAGGACCAGAAGAGATATGAAGTGAGTTCTGAAAAATTCCAAGAAATTAGTGTCTGCTGCCTACATTTTTTCATAGAAATGTAATGTGTGAAAGTATTCACCCCCCTTTTTTTATTCTTCTATCTTGAACAGAGAGAGCTGAGTGAAATGCGATCCCCTGCCCCAGTGATAACCCCTGGGAAAAAGATGAAATTTGACGGCGAACCTAAGAAACCACCCTCGTAAGTTTATTCAGTGTGTGTGTGCAAGAACTGATTATTTACAATTCTCACATTTAGACCTCCTAAATGAAGAACTACTAGTGTATGAGGAAGCTTAATTGACATGCTTCATCTATCTCACTGGTTCTACTTAAATCATTTGTACAGTTAAGTATACAGTTCTACCATACAGTTCTACCACTAACAATGTTTAGAATATTTAAATATATTAATACATATATTAATCAGTAAGTTACTGGTTTGTAGTGTATTTAATATATTAGTTTTATTTTGTAATTGAAGCTAATATGGCATAGTTCACCTTCTGTTGAACTGAAGAAAGCTGCAGATCTGTAACCATTGACTTCCATAGTAGGAAACATAAAGATGTACCAGTCTTCTTAATAATTCTCTCTTCACGCTTCTACAGGAATGGTTATCAAAAGTTCTCTCAGGAGATGCTGTCGAATGGCGAACTCAACCATCTGCCCATGAAAGAGCGCATGGGTGAAATCGGAGGCCGCTGGCAGAGACTCCCTCAGAAAGACAAGGACCGCTACAAACGCATTGCAGAGGAGAAACAGAGGCTTTACAAAGTGGAGCTTGAGCAGTGGCTCACGGTAACTTCATATCTTTACTATTATTTACTAAAGATTTCATATTTTTTTTTTCCTTTGGCTTAGTCTCTTATTTATCAGGGGTCACCACAGCGGAAGGAACCAGCAATTATTCTGGCATGTTTTTTTTTTAATTAAATTTTTTGCAGACACAGAAAAACATATATAAAACATATGACCTATAAAAAGACACAGCAATGCATATAAAGAGAGAGAGGGAAAAACTTACAAATCTTTAGAAATTAAACAACACTATTAGTCTTTGTTTATGGATCCCACATTTTATCAAATTTTCCCAGAAGAGGTCAATCTAATTCTTTCCAAATGTGAAGTGGAGTTGAGTCCAGGATGCCAGTCAGAAAAAAGAGGCCTAACATTTTTCATCCAGAAACAAAGGATAGCTTTTTTTTTAAAGCTATGATCATGCCATACTGGACAGGTAACAGTACATTTCAGTTCAGAGTCTCCAGAAAATCTGACCAGCCAAAAATTGCTATCATTGGGTCAGGGAGTAAAACACAATCGTAAACCTTAGCAAAGAACTGGAATATTTCTAACCTAAAACTCTGAACTTGAACACACTGGCATATGTTTTACGCAGCAGATGCTCTTCCAGCCAATACCCAAACACTTACATTCAAAACTCATGCGCTACTGCCAATTCATCCAATTCACTTATACCACATGTATTTGGACTGTAGTGGAAACTTATGCCAGCATGTAGAAAACATGCAACCTCCATACCAGGACTTGAACCAGCAACCTCCTTGCTGTTAGGCAACAGTGCTTGTTACTAAGCCACTGTGTTGCCTTTACTAAAGACTTTTCACCCAAAGATAAAATTCTGTCTTTTGCTCATCCATCACTTGTTGCAAACTTGTTTAGGTTTGGGTTAGGATTAGGGTCAGATATTGACTTCCATTGTTCCTATTTTGCTTTTTTTCTCGCCAAAATTATTTAGGAGATTTTCATTTTTCTTAAAAATGAAATCTTAAACCTTTTTAGATGTTTCTCTTGTGTATTATTTATTGCTGTTTATGTTTTAAGTGATATTTATAAAATATTGTAAATTTGATCTGGTTTTGCAATTAAATAAATAGCCAGAGAAGCTGATGTGGCAATAAAATTCAAAGCTCTCACCGTTTAGCATATATTTAACCATTTGAGGATTAATTTCTAAAATTGACTGTTTAAATGTGTTGAACTGAAGAATAATAAAATGAATTTCTCCCCCACAGAGTATATCATCACAAGAGCGAGCTGCGTATAAAGAATACAATTCTCTGGTGAGTGAGAAACATATTCCTTCTCGAATCAGACTTGAATCATCTACCACTTAAGAGTCTTTATTATTATTATTTACATTTTTATTAACTATTAAAGGCAATACTCTTAATTTAAATGTGACTATTTCTGCCTATTGATTGATTTTTATTTCCCCTGCTTTTCTTTAGAAACGGAGGAGTACAGCAAAACCAGGTGGCACCAATGCTAAAGTCAAACCTAAGGCTAAAAGATCGGTGAGTTTGATCACACGGGCTATTAAATCACTCTTTATTTCAACATTTCATTAAATCACATTTTTATTGTTGGTATGGTTTTATGTATTATTTCATTTTGTTCTTGTCAAAAGGACGATGAAGAGGATGAAGATGAGGACGATGACGATGAGGATGATGATAAGGACTCTGACGGATCATCCTCTGATGACAGTGATGATGACGATGATGACGACGATGAAGATGTAAGATTCATAGCTTAGCTTTCCTCGCTTATGTCGGCTCAGACTTTCATTTTTACTATAAATTACTTTAGGATATTTTCATGTGGGTGTCTCACAACTAAAAATAGATCTGGTACTGGATATCGTAGCCTCTGTTACTTTTTACCTAGCACTTTTTTTTGTTAACATTTAATATAATTTACTTAGGATATGCGTTTTCACATTCCAATGCCTAATTATTAAATAGTTAAAATGACTGTAATTCAATTAAATGTTCTCAAGAATAAAATATAATGTGTTCTTTGGAACAGCACACTTACATTGTGTAACTACCCGCCGGTTATTAAAACAGTCCACGCTTCCAAATACTGATGTCCATCATACGTTTTATTTATTGAACACCGTGAAAACTAAAAGATAAACAAATAAACAAACCAAATGTTTCACACAAACACAATCAAAAGGACCTCAAAATAAACAAATAAAATATAAAACTATGTTTAGTTTACGGTGTTGGCCTGATAACCAGCTGTAGAGTAAACAGGAGCATTTAACAGGTGCTTGCATTGAGATCTCACTATGCTGAGTGACCATACAAACTCTCGCAGGTTAAATCAATCAAAGAAAATCATGTGACCTCCCACTGAAGCTAACCGGAAACAAAGAAATTAGTAACATAAACGTATACCAATAAACATTTAAATACTGAAATACAAATCAGTAAACAAAAATACAAGCTGACCAATCAGCGTCAGCTACACATTGTGAAGATCAGTGTTGTGCTAGTTACTGAAAAATTGTAACTAGTTACAGTTACTATTTACTTCGTTCAAAAAGTAACTCAATTTCTTTATCGATTACTTACGCCAAAAAGTAATGCATTACTGTTAGAAGTAATTTTTGAGTTGCTTTTCCAAAGAACATTTTTAATGCTTCCATTAATGTCATGATAATGTGACTTCAGTGGTGCATGGAAAATACACTGTTGATCAGCTTCAGTTCCAATTAATTTGCATTCTCACAACCAAAACACAAGACCGATTTAAACAAAAGGTCATTTTAGACACTAATTCATTTAAGTCAGACCAGCAGCATTTTTAAAAATTACAATGTGATAAAGCAGCTAAATAATAAATTTGGAAACAAAAAAGCCAAAACTAAAGCTGGGTTAGGAGTGGGTCCTGCTGCCGATAATGTCTCTCGGGCCCCCCTAAATGTATGGTTCCTTAGAATCGTCCCTAGCGTCGCCCCTGTTACAGTAGTAGTTACTGTCAAAAGTAATGCTGTTACAGTAATGCATTACTAGTAACATGTTATTGCTCACCACTGGTGAAGATATTATATTGTCATTCTGGCATTATTTAGTGAGTGGCATAAAATGGTCTTAAAGTGACAATAATATTGTTTAGCGCAATATTTTTGGTGCAATATATCATACAACAAAAATAGACATCCTGACAGGCCTAGTTATTTTGGCTGAGCACACTTTTTTTTTTGTTTGAAGTGCATTTTCTTACATTTAAAATGAATACATCTGTTTGTTTTTGGTGTGAATGTGCCCATCAACATAATCATCTAAATTATTCCCTTCCAGAATGAAGAAGACGTAGAGGACGAAGAGGTGGACGACAAGGAGAACAAATCTGAAAGCAGCAGCAGTTCTTCCAGCTCTGACGATTCATCCGCTTCAGACTCGGACTGAGCCGGAGCCGAGTCAGGCTGAGCCCACAGACTGCCAGAAACGCTGTGAACTGAGCCATGAGCCGAGGGTCTGAGCCTGCTCCCGCACTGCGCTCCTCCCACCACAGGAGGGAGCTGTCACACATCTGCACACCTTCTCTTCTTTTCACCCCTGCACTTCTGCTTTTATTCCTTTCTCCCGCATTCAATTTGCTTGGCAGGTTTTTAGAACTAATAGTCTAAACCGACACCAGATCATTGGGAAAGAATCAAAAGGCTGTAGTGCTCTGCTTTTTGGCTTGACGTGTTATCAGGACGTCCTGCGTTTAAAATTAGAAGAACAGCAAGCAGCAGGCACTGTTGTCTTTTCAGTGAATGAGCCAAAGAGTCTCTTGGTTTTGCAGATTTTATCTTTTCGTTGTTGTTCAGGAGGTACAGGGGACCAAATACTTGCACTCTGAAGAATGTCTGCTTTCTTTTCCTCTGTCTGTACCTCTCCTGTGTTTGCCAGCTGCGTCGTTCCGCTCCCATTTTTGCTTTGGCGTTTTTGTTTTCCTTGCTTTGTCGGTTCAAAACAAATGTGGTATTTCAGGAACAATGAAGCCATTTTTTTGAATGTCACCGCATGGACCCCGCTGGTCTCGGTGCTTGTTCGCAAGGCGTTTGTGCCCTTACCTGCACCCGATGAGGGGGTTAAAGGTGAAAATGGACTACTTTTTTTGTTTGTCCTCTTATAGGAATGCTGCCCGTAGCCGTTTCTTTGTGATGTGGTGAAGCCACAGAGGATTTTGAGTTGAAGTTCTCTGTTCATTCAGACTGATGTTACATATTGAGGACTAGTTTATCAGAAGTTCGTTAGCTTTTTTGTTTGTTTGTTTGTTGGGGCACCAAACTTGATTCCCTCCTGTTTGTTAAAAATGGTTATCTGTCGTTTGAAGCTGACTTTCGTTCCTCTTTCCAACCACTGTTTATTTGGTGCTCCAAAAACCTAAAACGTGATTTGATATGTTTTAAAATATGATGGATGTGAGTTACCCCACAATTCAGTGCACTTATGATGGAATCCCTAGTTCACTATTGCCCATTTATTATTTACATATTCAGTATGCCTCCTGCATTTCACTCATTAGCCCATAATGTCGACCACTTTACAGATCTTTCATGCACCAGCTCAAGGAATGTAACGGAGAAGTTTTATTTAAGAGAGGGGTACCATTATTTGTTGTGTGTGTGTGTGTGTGTGTGTGTGTGTGTGTGTGTGTGTGTGTGTGTGTGTGTGTATGTATATACGAACAGTTTTGAGGGTGACTGGTATATTCTCTCGTTCCAACACCCTGGCCGGAAATGGCAACTAAGTTAAACCCACAACCCAGCTTCCTGCACTGAGCTAAAACCTTTTACTCAGTATTTTTTTTACGCATTGGGCCACTGTAATTTATTTTTTTCCTCTGATTGCGTTCAATGATTTGCATATGAATACAAACTAATTATTATTTACGGAAGATTGCTATCAAAATAGATGCTCAATTTGCTGAACCAGGCGTGCAATCTTTGACCGAGGCCTGTATCATGTGTGATGCTGCATTATTGGGGGAAAATAAAAATACCCGATGGTTCTAGATGATTTGAAAGAAGGGCCGGGATAAGAAACCCAGTGGAACTTTCAAGATTTGTTGATATTTTATAGGATTTTGAGACTTTCAAATAGATTTGGGTTGGGTTCAGTGCTGTTGTAAGGTATTTGTACATATAGATTTCTCTTTTTTTCTTTCTCCCTTTGTAATGAGTGAATATTATTGCGTTTGTATTTTCAGTTGGCTACACTGCCGTAGCCTCAAGTTAGTTTGTCGATCGGGGGACATGTTTTTAATTTGGTAAGTTTTAGTTTTTACGCCTCCCCATGTTTGTTTATTTGTAGAAATGGCAAGAAAAAAAAGCTTAAATTTGTACTGCAGATTTGAAACATTTGGACATTTTCTATAGCAAAAGATGTTATATCCCTGCAATTTACAATTTGAGCAAATAAACCTTCTCTTAAACAGTTCTTCTGATTCGGTTTTGTTTTTTCACTCACCGATTTGTTCTAGATCGTTTGGTCTTGTTCGTTCTACACTAAAAAAAAAACGTTGAGTTATTTATTTAACCCTTTTTGCTACCCCATCAAGAAAAAAATATTTGGATTGCATTTCTTAAGTCATTATGTGACTAATTAACACACTCAAAGCATTTTTTCACATCTCATAACTTCTAAAATATCAAACTTTACCAAATGGTTGATATGTTGATTTATAGTAAAAGTACCAGAATTAATATGAATCTGAAAAATATGAAGTGCAAGACAAATTTACTGAAAAACAATAAAAAAATAACACATTTTCGGATAATAATCTTTTTTAAGTATGCCATAAAATATTTTAGATTCTCATTTAACACGTTTAATTCATTTTTTCTTTTTTTTTTTTACAATAAAACCAAAATCAAGTTTAGTAGTGCAACAGGATTTTTTTAAAAAATTTTTTTTAAAGATTTTTTTTGTAAACCAACAATGCTGTGTGGTAACCATTATTTCAAACAGTCATACTTTAAATGACTTTAAAAACATTCACGAAATGTTCAACCATTTGGTAGAGCAGGCATTAAAAGGGTTAACTTAACGGTTGAGTTAAAAAAAAAACAATAGTGCTTGTTTGGGTTTTTACCTTTTTTGGTTATTTATTTATTTAATAACATTTATCAGTTGCGTTAAAAATTTAGATTTTCAACCGTTAACTGATTTAACTGACATATAAATACACATATTTGAGATATTCGGTCGTCATGCTCGCCGTTAGCTTCCTTGTTTAGTCCATGTTGTTTATTTGTTCTTTATATCATTAATTCTGCCTGTCGTCTTGGTATTATTTTCCAACTGTTTTTTTGTTTATTGTTTTGTATGTTGTTTGAGATTGTCTGTTGATTGTTCTATTATTCATTTCTTCTATTGTTTATGTTCTTTTGTTGATCTTGTTCATCATGTTATTAGCTTTTATTTTCCTTTGTATTTTTTTCCATCAATCATTTGTTGTGATTAGTGTTGTTGTATTTGTCTTTTTCTTTGTTTTTGCTGTGCCTTTTTGTTTGTCTTGTTGATTTGTTTCATCTGTTCATTCCGTTTTCTCTTCTTTGTTTATTTGTAGCTTTTCTTCGTTCCCTCATTCATTCTTTTTATTTTATTGGATTTCTCTTTTTATCTGTGAACTACACGTGTGCCTATAGGCTATACAACAGAGTGCATGGGAACGAATTCAAGGCGAAAGGAATCGATGGGTCACGTTGGCTCTGCAATACACTAGTGATGTCTGACAGGAGCCAAAATGGCAGCGTTGTTTTATTTCCAAACATCATTTTTTATTCGTGTGACCTATTCAGCCAGGCGCCTAACCGTGTTTGTTAAATAACGTTTCCGTTACCTTCATACGCACGTTTTGAGTAGGTTTGTTCTCTGTTGTCGTTAACCAGAGGAACGGCTGGTTTGTGAATGAGGCAAGACTGGGGCCGTTTAGTCTTGGTAAGTCGACACATATTAAACAAATGCGTTTCAATGAGCGCGCAGTCGGTTACTTTGTAGCTTTACTACACATCACTGCAGTTTTGAAACAATGTTATTAAAACCCGCCCGAACGGAAACGCAAATGTTTAGTCAGTCAGTCAGTAAATGCTGTGCTGTAGTCAGTACCTGTCAACTAACATTATGTTGACGTTGTTGGTACGTGTGTTCAACAGTTTTATTAAGTTTATGACGCGGTGGTTATTAATTACAGATCTTCATTTGTTTTATTTGCCCTCTGTTGAAATTGATAATCGCTATGCCCGTTTATTTATCCTAATCCCGTTATAGCTTAACGTTATATATCAACGTGGGTGTTGAACGAGCTTTTGACAGGCATCTACTGATAAGGATAAAATGATCTAGGAAATGGGTGTGCGTTTTAGATAGGGCCTTTAATTTCTAACAAATAATTTACTGTACATCCTTTTATAGCGCTACAGTTTGTGTATAGTGTGTATTACAATGCTCATTAGCATATTATTTTAGCTACGCATGTTTCGCCTTTGGCGCTAAACGACGCAGTTTCATTTAGACGACGATGCAGATTTGACCATGATGTAATGGGTTTTTGTTTGTGTTTTTCAGTGTTTTCCACTCCTCCTCCTCCTGTTGTCAACAATGACAGCTCCCCTACCATAGTTGCTGCAAATGAAAATGGAGGATATGTCTCTGTCAGGCCTGGATAACACCAAGCTAGAGGTACTGGTAAATGATGACAGATAATAAAACAGTTTAAAATAGCTAAAGTTGGGGTTTTATACACGTTCACCACTAGCATTCACAGGGTACACTCTAAATTTTATTACAGACTTAAGATTTTCTTTGTCAGTACAAATATAAGACTTTTAACTTTATTAAACTCTGTTACAAGCACTGAATAAGACAATCAAATGCAATAATCACATTGTAATACTTAAAAAATAAATCATAAAACCTTTTTCTTGGAGAATATCTTGCACAATACTGTATTTTATTTGCTTTTGTAGTCTTCAGTTATGTGTATAGTCAACTTTTTTTTTGTTTGATTGATTACTGCTCCACTATGTTAGCTATGTGTGATTTTTAAAATTGCACATCCTGTGTAGGAGTCATATTCATTCATTCATTCATTCATTCATTCATTCATTTTCTTTTTGGCTTAGTTCCTTTATTTATCTGGTGTCACAACAGCAGAATGAATCGCCAACTTATCCAGCATATGTTTTACACAGTGGATGCCCTTCCAGCTGCAACCCAACACTGAGAAGCACCCATACACTTCCATTCACACACATAAACACTACGGACAATTTAGCCTACCCAATTCACCTATACTGCATGTTTTTGGACGTCTAGGGAAAACCCACGCAAACACAGGGAGAACATGCAAACTCCACACAGAAATGACCAACTGACCCAGCCAAGCCTCGAACCAGCGACCTTGCTGTGAGGCAAACGTGTTACCCACTGTGCAGCCGTAGTCATATTTATTATTTTTATTATTTATTTTTCATGTTGCACTGTAGTTCTGTGAGACATGTCTTTTAATTTCACTGTATCTCCACATGTAGCAGAATACAATAAAACTCCACATGACTTGACGTATCTTTCCATTTACATGTTCAGAAATACAGGCACAGAAGTTGTCACTGAGGAAAACCATTTCTAAAGCTAAACATTTGTACCTAAAAGTTTATATTGATACCTTAGATTCATATATTAGTACCTACACATTACAGTAGTACAACCTTTGAACTTTCAGCAGTGAAAATGAAACCAAACTGAACTTCAACTCTGAAAACTGGACTGAAGCTGTTTCAATTTAATACAACTTCTATGTTAAGCTGCTATGACACAATCTACATTTGTGAAATAAAGTTTAATTCAATCCTTTGGAACATCTAGGTACTAATTAGCAATTTTAAGGTGTCATTATGAACTCTTTAGGTACAAATTTCCACCATTTTAAAGGGAACAGTCAGTGACAGCTTGTGTATCTTTATTTTTGAAAGTAAGTGTATTTAGTATTATCAATGATTTATTTATGTTTGTAGGCCTTGGCTCATGACGTGTACTCTGACCTAGTGGAAGATGCCTGTTTAGGGCTGTGCTTTGAGGTGCACAGGGCCGTCAAACAGGGCTATTTCTTCCTGGATGAAACGGACCAAGAAAGTATGAAGGATTTTGGTGAGTAAAAAAAAGACAATTTATTTTCTAAAACCTGGGTTACGTGCTTTAGTTTGACATACTTCTCTCTCTGGCGTAGAAATAGTGGACCAGCCTGGTGTGGACATCTTTGGGCAGGTGTACAACCAGTGGAAGAATAAGGAGTGTGTTTGTCCCAACTGCAGCCGGAGCATTGCGGCCTCTCGCTTCGCTCCTCATCTGGAGAAGTGTCTCGGCATGGGCCGCAACAGCAGCCGAATAGCCAACCGCAGGTGAGCTCACTTTGGTGTCACAACATTTAGCATCAGAATTCATTTCCTTTTAAAATTGCTTTAACTTTTTCCTATACAGTTGACCAAACATTGCTGCAATATAAATAATGTTTTTTTTGTTGATGATCTGAAATGGGTTGACATAATTTTATGCAAGTACCATTCCACAAAACATGCAAAATTACTTTGGATTTATGTCGAATGGTCGTCTTTCTTATGTAGGCAAATTACATAAGACATTTAACTGCATAAAGACTACCTTACCTGCTCAACCCTCCATCGTACAATCATCCATCAACTAGCAATTAAAATATTTAGTGAAGGGTAACATGAACAAAAACCTATTCTATTTATTTCCCGTATTATTAATTTTGTAATATTTATTTCAGATATATATTTTTATATATATAATTTTTAAAGTGATTTGCATACAATACAATGTGTGTGTCTATATATGTATTGGTACCAATGGGCCCAAACTGTGCCAAGAAAATGTCCCCCAAACCATTACACTAGCACTACCAGCCTTAACCGTTGACAAAAGGCAGAATGGATCCATGCTTTCATGTTGTTGACTCCAAATTCTGATCCCATCATCCGAATGTTGCAGCAGAAATCGAGACTCATCAGACCAGGCAACCTTTTTCCAGTCTTCTATTGTCCAAATTTGGTGAGCCTGTGTGAATTGTAGCCTCAGTTTCCTGTTCTTAGCTGACAGGAGCGGCACCCGGTGTGGTCTTCTGCTGCTATAGCACATCTGCCTCAAGGTTTTACGTGTTGTGCATTTAGAGATGCTCTTCTGCATACCTCGGTTGTAACGAGTGGTTATTTGAGTCACTGTTGCCTTTCTATCAGCTAGAACCAGTCTGACCATTCTCCTCTGACCTTTGGCATCAACAAGGTTTTTGCGCCCACAGAACTGCCGCTCTCTTTTTCAAACCATTCTCTGTAAACCCTAGAGATGGTTGTGCGTGAAAATCCCAGTAGATCAGCAGTTTCTGAAATACTCAGACCAGCTTGCTGGCACCAACAACCATGTTACATTCAAAGTCATTAAAATCACCTTTCTTCCTCATTCTGATGCTCAGTTTGAACTGCAGCAGATCTTTACCATATTTAAATGAATTGAGTTGCTGCCATGTGATTGGCTGATTGGAAATTGGCTTTAACGAGAAGTTTGGTGTACAGGTGGTGTACCTAATAAAGTGACCGGCTGGTGTATATATATATATATACGTATATATATGTATATATATATATTTTTTTAATGGATTTGTGCTCTAAACCTTAAAACTTTTCAGCTAATATTTCTTTATTTTATTCTACAAAATTCTGCACAGAAATGACAAAAAAAGTCTGCAGATTCTGTCTGGCCTTGCTCATGAGTTGTGATACACCAATGAGACTTGTTTGGTTTTATTTAATTTTTAGTTTTTTGATTTTCTTTTCACCGGTGTCAATTTTAAAGCTCATTAATGTCCCGACGAAACTGTATGCTATTTTTTTGCATGCTATTTAAAAAAATCTATTTCATTGTAAATCTGTTGCTATGTACTGGTGGGAAAATTAGAAATTTGGTTAATAAAAAGTTTAAGGCCATTTTAACTGTTGTTTCTACAGAATAGCCAGCAGTAATAACACAAGCAAGTCAGAAAGCGATCAGGAAGACAATGACGACATCAATGACAACGACTGGTCCTATGGCTCAGAGAAGAAAGGTCAGCTCTTCCCTCTATCAAAACTTGCTTTGAAACATTTACCACATTTTTTTTAGCTGAACAAAATAATGCATTGGTTTCAACATGCATCGCTAACAGTTCATTATCTTCTTGTGTACACAGCCAAGAAGAGGAAGTCAGAAAAGGTATAGTATTTCTGAGACTTGAACCTGTTAAAAACAGAAGCCAAATATTCATAATTAAAATTCAAATGAATCTCTTGCGTCCCAGAATCCAAACTCTCCCAGGAGATCCAAATCCCTGAAGCACAAGAATGGTGAGTAAACGAATGTAGTTTATCTTTCGTGTGCTGTTCTTCACTTGAACGTGTTGCGAGTGTTTTTGTGTCTCGTCTCTCTGCAGGAGAGCTCAGCGGCGGTGTAAATCCAGACATGTACAAGGTGAGAGGATCAGCTGAATTAATTTATTAAAGGGATTGTTTACCCAAAAATGAAAACTCTATCATCGTTTACTCATTCTTCTCTTTCTGAAAACCTCTTTCTTTTGTTGAACACAAAGTAAGATATTCTGATGAATGTTGGAAATCAGTAGCCATTGACTTCCATCTTTATTCCCTACTATGGAAATCAACAGCTGCCAGTTTCTGTTTGGTTAAACAGAAAACTAAACTCTTAATGGTTTTTAATCAAATAATCATTTTTTCATTTTTGGGTGAACTGTCACTTAATCTTTTCTCTTGTTCAATTTTGCAATAATTCCTGTAGTATTACAGCAGTATTGTTTCACTCTGTCACTCATGCAGTATAACTACAGCTCTGGCATAAGCTACGAGACACTGGGACCCGAGGAACTGCGATCCATTCTGACTACAGTAAGTAGCTTTTTATACACGTGTTTTATATATCTGTGTTTTACACATCAGTCAGTGTATATACAGTCTTAATCAAAATTAAATGCACCTCTGATAAATATAAGCAAGGTAGTTTATAATTTTTACAAATATTGTATTATTAATCTCACTCAATGAAATAAACAATTTAATTAAACCTCATGATGAAAGATTTTTCTCAAGTACAAGTTGCTCAGAATTATTGTCATCTTTTTACTTAATATTTTTGTAACCTCCACTTGAACAGATAATAAGTCTGATTTTAGTACCAGTTGTGGCTGGTAAATCCTGGAAAATGCGAATTCTTTCATAACGAATATCTTTAAACCTTTCAAATTGTTGTTGGTGAACTCTTGCTTCAGTTTAGCACAGTTTCTGCATTGTTCATGTGGACTGGGCTGGCAATGGCAAAACTGTACTTTTGTGCTCAGTGACCCATTTTTGTATTGATTTCAACATTTGTTTTGGGTCATTGTCAGTGTACAAATATGGCCCATAATATGATCTCAAGCCGTGGCATTCAGCTTTGGATTTTTCTTTTATTATTTGACAGAATCCATAATGGCACAAATCCCAAGATGTCTTGGACCTATAAGAACAGACCCATAAGATTATATAGATCCTGCAGTACGTTTGATGCAAACCCTGGGTGTATTTGATGACAAAAAAAAAAAAAAAATCTTAGTTTGGTTTGACCATTGAACCTGTCCTTTCTGAACATCCACACAGAAACAATGTAGGAAAGAACTGAATATGCTGTTATTGATGGAGAGCAAAGAAAATATTTTTTGAAGCCTTTCCAATTAACTTTTGGTGATGAAGCTTGCCGATTGATTTTATTTTATTTATTTATTCTTTTTTTATAAAGGAATTTTAGCCCTGACAAGCAATTCATTTCTACAGTTCTCCAGCTTTAAACCTTGGAGTCTTTGGACACTTCTTTGTTCAAAACATCTTCCCTTGACTGGAGCTTACTTTTGGGCTTGATTTTAGAAATGGGAGTTTTCACTGCAGTTTTTTATAGACTTTGATGATATTTTATTTATATGAATTAAGGAATTCATTCAACATTTTTTGCTGCAGTTCAATCTTTGAATTGTTTAATGACAGCTAAAAAGTATAAGCAATGCAATTTTTTTACAATTTCTTTTTTTTAATTATAATAATGAATTCTAACTAAAAAGCTCAGAGGTGCATCAATTGCATATACATTAAGTACATTACAAATAAAAGTCTTATTTAGCAAGCCTTTTCTTAAAAATGCAGCTTAAAACAATAAAAAAAGCTTTGCATTTTTGTTATGTAGTAAATGTAATCATTTAAAGAGGATCTTCCATTTAAAGTTTTAAACTATTAAAACTTTGAACTATTTATAAATTAATATATAAACCTTTATTATATACCTGAATTAAAGATAATACTTTAACAGTGTAACTGTGAGCACTCTTAGTGAACCAGGCCGTAAAGCCTGAATTCTCTCCAGTTTTTTCCCCCTTTACTTTCATCAATTGGTGAAGTTTGTTCTTCAACACTGTCGCCACTGGCTTGCTTGGTTTGGGACTTGTGGAGCTGCACATCAATGGATTTGCTCTTCAGTGTTTGGACTCTCAGCAGTGAATATTAAACCACACTGAACTGAACTAAACTGAACTTCAACTCTGAAAACTGGACTGACACTTTACTAGAACTTTTATGTTAAGCTGCTATGACTCAATGTACATTGTAAAGGGCTACAGAAATAAAGAGAAATGTAATGTGTTTCAAGAGCACTTTTTGAAATTATTGAAAGTAATAATAATGAAAGTATTAAATTAGGCTATTGATTTCCACTGTGGTTTCTTTCTTGCTAACACACACTCTCTCTCTCTTTCCTCAGCAATGCGGAGTTGTGTCAGAGCATACAAAGAAAATGTGCACTCGGTAAGATTTCAGTCCATGCTAGTGAACTAACAGCTCTTAAACATCTGTGATTCTACTCGTGCAAATTCACACTGTGTGGTACACTCAAGACACTCATATTTAGGGCTTCTTTCCACTGCCTTAGTCACTGAAAAGATGCAGTCGCCAAGTTTGTTGTCTTTTCTTTGCCAGCAAAAGAAAGTAAATATTTTATTCCACAACAGCCAAAAACTATGAGGGGTAATAACTTTGAATCTTCATTTTTAGAACTATTTTATTTTTTCACCTCCAGGGCATCCGTGATGCAATTTTTTTTCTGAGCAGAACATTCATTTGAACTGAAACTATTTTTGAGAGTAAAAAAAAAAATGTGTACAAGCAAAACAATATTAAACCTGTGGCACCAGATAGCACATTGAGGTCTCATGAAACAATCAGTCTGTGCAAGAAACCCTGATTGCAACAGTGATGGGTGGGACATGTGTTGTTTTGTTAATCAAAATGGTGCAGCTTGTTCTGCAGGCTGCCATGAACACGCTCAGGACCGTTTGCCAAGGCTGAGGTTTAAGGGTAATAGCATTGTTCAGTGTCTTGCACAGACTAGATTGTTTGGTTTCAGATGACCTCAGGGTATTACCAGGAGCCACAGGTGTTCATTTTGGTTTGCCCTCCTCTTTTTGAATCTATAACATATCAGTATTAGCAGTGTTCTGTTTTGTGATTCCTGTTTTAATTTTTCCCCATTTATTTATGCTTTTGATTACATTACAAGACCTTGATTTTTCTTCCAACAACTTTTAACCTTGAAAAGTGTGAAAATTTGACTTTTTATGTAGAGCTGCACAATATATAGTTTCTGCATCCATATCGCAATGCAATGTTTGTATTCGCAATAGTCACATTGCAGGATTTGTAATCTGGATTCAGGGTTATTGTTGACCAATAGCCACAGTTGAAAAGCATGTGATTTATAGTTACATTTTGCACTGATCAACAATATTAATTTTAGCATTTGCATTCTTTCTTTAGGCCCATGTTAGCATTTAAAGCCAGTTCAAGCATTCGGGCATTATGAATTATAATGTTTGTTTGATTGTTTAGGAATAATTGTATTTATGTATATACTATTTTACATTTGATTATTCAGTTTGTGTTCCTTAATACTGCTGGACTTCAAGAAAACAGTAAAGCACTCTTGATTTTAGCTGTATCTTTGCTCTACTGTATTTATCAATGCTTGTTATTGGTTTATTATGGTTTCTGCAAATGCTCCACAAAATGATCCCAATTACCCTACCCGCGATAATTACATTTAAGTCATCTAGTGTCAGTTTTTTTTTCAAATATCGTGCAGCCCTAGTTTAAAGTGATACGTTGTTGGTGTTTTATATGATGCTACACAAACCATACATTTTCAGTACATTGTTATACAGTACACTGTTATACCAGTACATTTTCTGTTATTTTACAGACCAATTTCTCTATTTATTATTTCCAATACATCATTTCAAGCACTAAAATGTCAATAAAAGTCACTTAGTTAAACTGTAGAGTTGGATTTGCATCATCAGAAGTGGACAGAACAGAGATCAAGGTCCCCAAATGCAATTCACAACTTTAAATAAATGGCAAACACTTGTGAATCACAAAATATGGACACTGTTAATAAACAGATATTTTGTTTTACAGTGTGTAACTATTGATCTAACCCTTTTAGCTTTAGAACTTTTTAACCCAATATAAAGCAACATATCGATGCAGATGTATTAGATATAGATGCACTGAACAAAAGTCATAAACAAACAAGGAACAGTACATGGTCACACTTTATTTTGATGGTCTATTTGTTGAATTTAAGTTACATTGCATCTACATGCCAACAAATTCTCATTAGATTATAAGTAGACTGTTAGGTTGGGGTTGGGTTAGTGTAAGTTGACAAGTATTTGCAAAGTTTCCTCTAGTCATAGCAGTATCAATAGATATTAAGCAGACAGTCTACTTAAATGGACCGTCAAAATAAAGTGTTAACAAATACATTTATGACTAATAACCAAGATGAAAATGGATATTTAAAGCAAAAGAAAGTCAAAGCACTTGAAAAATGTAAAAAAGAAAAAGAAAAAATGAAAAAGCCTTAATGGACACGGCTATTCCTTAAAACTGCATCTAAGCATTTATCAGGGTAAAAGGATCAGGTGCAACTCCAGTTCTTTTGAACTGTGAGTCATTAGAATATCTGAAGAATACTAAAATAATATATTGAACACAAGGTCAACTCAACACAACCTTGAAAGAGAGAAAAAAATTAATGAAAATAAAAAAGATGATGAGTGTTATATTCTTTTGCTGTTTATTCTGATGAATCTCTTACCTAAAGAGCACAGATACATTAATTACGCAACCCCTGATCACTTTTTGTTTGATTTAAAAATGGTTATTTATTTGATTAGTTTGATGATGAATAAAATGCATTTCATTAGTGAGCTGTTTCCACACTCAAAACATGACGTTTAATGTTTGTTTAAAGTATTTACTTAAAATAAGCTGAAACAACACAGTAAGTAGTGCTGTCACCTCACGGCATGAAGGTCGCTGGTTCGAGCCTCGGGTGGGTCAGTTGGCGTTTCTGGGTGGAGTTTGCATGTTCTCCCTGCGTTCGTGTGGGTTTCCTCCGGGTGCTCCGGTTTCCCTCACAGTCCAAAGACATGCGGTACAGGTGAATTGGGTAGGATAAATTGTCCGTAGTGTATGTGTGTGAATGAGTTTGTTTGGGTGTTTCCCAGTGATGGGTTGCAGCTGGAAGGGTATGCGCTGCGTAAAACATATGCTGGATAAGTTGGTGGTTCATTCTGTGGTGACCCCAGATAAATAAAGGGACTAAGCTGAAAAAAAAGAATCAATTCTTGAGTTTTTGGGGGCACAACTTAATTGGTTTATGTTCAATCCACTTCAATTTCTAAAAATGAATATGTTAACTTAATTCCTTCATGTCATCCCAACACAAATTGTGTGGAACCCAGCCGTTTTATTACAGTATGTAATAAAGCTTGTGTCATGTGATCAAGGATATATATATATATATTTTCTTGCAATACAGATGTATGTTTGTAAAAGTGTTTGAGCTGCTGTAGAGGTGGAGATTGTGCATGTGATGTGTGAGTGCATGATCTTTTTCATTTGGGCAAATGGAAATGATCATGTTATGTTGGGACTGATTTTACGGAACACAACTGGCAACTCCATACAAACCACTACGTTTTCAATTGGTGTGCGCTTTTCAGTTTTCTGTCATTTCATTTGGCTTCTCCATTTGGTCTGTTAAACATTTTTCAATTGAAATAATCTGCCTACATTCCAATTTGACATGAGGAGTAACCCATAATTTCCCAATTTGGATGGGTTGTTTCAAAGCACTGCCTGTTTTTACAAAGCAAGAGATTTTTTGAGCATCAGCCAGCACTGAAGCCCCCTTCCCTAATGGCTAATATCTAACCCCTTCAAACACGGCTGCTGGTGCTCACTGAGTCTCTCGCTCATCACTGTCTCTGGTGCAGTGCGTAATGCCACGTTGTGTCCTGGCAGGTCCCAGCGGTGTCCCCAGCACACGGACGAACAGAGGAGGGCAGTCAGAGTCTTCCTCCTTGGGCCGTCCGCGTGAGTTTCACCCCTTCTCCCCGAACCCTTACCTCAACCAGTCCGAAAAGAATCCACATGCTTTCTTTTCCTTACATCTCTCCCTGTACATCCTCTTCGTCAAGCTTTTGATCATTTGTAGCAGGAACCAAAACAAATAGTGAAAAATGAAAGGGTCTGAGTATTGAGAGCTGCGGTACACCAACCATAGCTGCTTAGTTAGCTGCTTCTAGTTTTTGTGTGTGTGTCTGTTTTAACATTAGCTAATGCAAATTAACAAGCATTTATTAACCTTGGTGTTTGTTAATTTCCACATTTTCTAATAACTACTTTGTCTGTTAGCATAAGCTCATTCATTATGAACTAAAGCCTAGGATACACTACTTTCACCCCAGATTTGTATTCCAGTACGCAGTCAGTGAGTACATTTACATGGACACAATGAATCTGTTAATTTTAATATGATTAGGACAATACTCCGATTAAGAGTCTACTATGTATACAGTGATGCTTTAATCTGAAATGGAATTAAGACGTGGAGTATGCTGATTTGAGTCACATTCTTGAAGTGCAGTACAGACATGTAAACACCGCAATCATACTATTACCTTAGTGTAGGACTTTCGTCATGTTTTGTGACAGGATAAACGATACACACACGGCTGTTTGACACTTTTTTTATGCCTCTACCAAGTCTGTAAAATGCAGAGTTCCCCCCCCCCCCTCTTCCAGCACTTCATACTCTCATCCAATATCTCGTTTGTCAGGAGGGGCATGCGTGAAATGTTCCTGAATGAAGGTGAAAGTGCCAAACTGTAGTTAAAGTCAACAAATTAAAATTGAAACGCCCAAAATTACATGAAACTCCAGAGGAAATGTGGATAGCGGTGCAATGATGTTAATCGAATTATGTGCTATAACATGTCAAATGGGATCATGAAAGGAGCTCAAGTTATCATTAGCTTTAATCATATTATTGTGTTATTCAGATTATTCACTGATGTCCATGTATATGTAGTCACTGAACATCACAGATAGTCAGCAGATGTTGAGTAGATTTCATAAAACATTGCGTAATCCACAGACTTATACAATTTCATACAGTTGGAGGATATAAAACTGTATTTGGAGCCAATTTGGAACAAATTCCCTGTTAAATATGCCAGCTTCCATACTGTATAGCGAGTCAAGTAATATGTCTGAATTCATAGCATTTATTAAAGAGTTGGAGAAAAGTACCTGGGTAACCAACATCTCCCACTGATGCTGATGTGTGTAACTTTTAAAAACTTGGGATAAGATTGCCAAACAAATGTCTGAATGTTTTTCTTCTACACGATTTTATTTATCTAAAAAAGCTTTAAACCAAATGAAGTGCCTAATGTACAGTTGCTATATAAAGCAGCACTAATGTTTTTATTTCATATCCATCTCCTAGTAACATGGTGTATGTTTCTGTATGTGGTGTTTAGAACGATGTTAAAATGATCTTTTAAATGACTACAGAGAGAAACATACCCAAAGGCCATTTACAGGAACACAAACACAAAGTTCTTTGATAATTACACTGGAATGATAATATAGTTCCTAGCCATGTCAGCCCAGAGAAAATAGCATATTTTCATGTTCATGTAACTACAGAACTGTCAAGCAAACTCAACTGTTTAACTGTAAATGACTTGTGAAGTGATTTTCAAAAAAAGCTGGAGTGTTCTTTAGAAACTTGTATGCTTACATTAAGAGTAGTGTAATTAGTAAAGGTTATTGCACACAGAATCTGACATTTTCATCAATAATTTTTGCACGTAAAAACATTTTACTCCATGTTGTGTGCAATGCATTGACACACTGCCTGCAAAATTTGCACCTGTCTCTCTTTCAGCTGCTTTTTGCATCCGAAATAGCAGATTAAAAGGTATTTTGCTAAATACAGAATGTCGTCATTTGAGCTACAGATTACTTTATGCACTGTTTTTCATAAAGTTAAAACAGAGTGAGTGGCGGACAGTTAAGTTATGCTGGATTCAGTGACTGGCACATTTGACGTACTGCCCATGGCATTATCATAATAGACGGAGGCCGGACTGAAAGTGGACCATGCTTTATAATGTCTATGGTATTGCCAGTCTCCGTTCAGGATGTTTACGTACGTGAATGTGTGAAGTCTCAAGCAATGTATCAAAATTCCACTGATTTCCTGATAAATGTTGCATTCTGGGATAATCCAGCGCAGCTCTTTGATAATAAGCTGATCTCTCCTTCCTCAATGCAGTATTGGATGAACACAATATGCAGCCTATTCCTCTTGCTTTTTCTACTTTGGAGAAGACAGGAGAAGGTATCACTGCTTAAACTTACTCCGAAACGTTTTGCGTTTTTTCATAATGGATTAATGAATACGCGTCAGACTGGATATGCAAAAACGCATGCAAAAATGTCAGACTTCAGTGTGCAAAAGACCTTTAGGCTAGTATAAAAAGCTTCTTGTTAATTTGTTAGCTATAAAATAAGACCCTGTCTGTGTTTAAATGACCTCCTCATGCTTTGTGTTATGTCATGAGGAAGCTTGATTCCACCTCTCCTTTTCATCAACTCTGCATGTTTCCATAATCCGCACACTGATGTTGTGGTCTAGTTTCTATTTAAGAAAGCAGCTGTGAGTCAGATTTGAAAGATGTTAATTTCTCAAATTAAAGCGTTTCAACTCATAACATAATTGCTGACAAGAAACCAGGTCAGATCACTGGAAAATGTAGTTTAGGTGTCATACTCCATCTGTCGACTTTTTCCTTGAACTGAGGTGCCAATTCAGCGTTTTTGACGAGAGAGTCATTTCCTGTTTCTGTTTACCAGGTCAACACTACCAGACGCTGACACCATGCTGGAAAACGAGGCCTATGAACCCCCTGATGGCCAGCTCATCATGTCCCGTCTCCATTGGGACGCTTCCTCTGACATCTCCCCATCAGACTCGGCATCTTCAAAAGCCAGTGAGTTTCCTGAAGACTTTTTTTTTTTGTCAAGACGCCACATGTATCTGCTTGTCATGACATGATCTCGTTCTCAGGCACCAATAACTCTGAATCCAAGAGACCGAAGAAGAAGAAGCCCAGCACGCTTTCTCTGACTCCCGCAGGAGAGAGGGATAAAGCACAGGAGCGAGACAGAATAGCAGGCAGCGGGAGCAGCGGTAGCAGCTCCCAGAATGCTCTGGGTCTCTCAAGTCGGAAAAAGCGACCAAAACTTGCAGTTCCTCCAGCACCCAGCATCTATGATGACCTGAACTAAGGCACATGCATCCCACACACACACCCACACCCAATCATGACTGACTTGATGAGGTTTTATCTGGTCTTTAGTTTCCCCCATTTCAGTGCACGTGAACGTGACGTGTGTGTAAAGACTGGGCCCCTTTTCAGACTTCTGCAGGCATGAAGAGATCATTTGTTACAGCACAGTGTTGCACAGTGAGTGATTTAACTGAATATATATATATATATATATTGTGTGAATGGAACTAGCTTTATTTTGATTTTACTATGCAGTTCACTGTCATCTCTTAGGAGATTTGGGTTTACAGTGATGTGTGTGTGAGAGTTGGACAGTTTGTATGTGAATGGGTTGTTGCAAGTATTTTGTCCCTGGTGGCTCATGTAATTCAGTCAGGTGCTTAGTGGTTTTTAAAGGACGTCTCTGCTTCATGTTGTCTTGCTAATCTTTCTGCAACCTGATAGGCTCGGCTATGCTCTTTTAATGCCAAACAATATACTCTCTTTTGCTCTCCCTTAAAGGGACAGTTCACCCCAAAATGAAAATTCTGCAATCATTTACTCACCCTTGTTTAAAGCCTTTTTGAGTTTACACAAGAAGATATTTTGGAAAATGAGAGTATGGAAATCAGTGTTTTCCAGCATTCTTCACAATTTTTGTGTGTGTGTGTTTAAAAGCACATGAGCGTGAGTGAATAATGTGAATTTTCAATTGTGGCTGATCTGTCTCTTTAATGAACTTGGTTAGCGCTACCAGCAGCTTTCTGCCAAATCTGTGCGCACACAATCTTCTGCCTTGTGTGTTTTGGAGTTTGCTGTTCTTGTTTGCTGTCATGGTTAATATATTTTGCCTGTATTTATTTGATCTGCTGTGTGAATGTTGTTTTGTTTTAAATCATGATATGTGTATGCATTTCCTCGCATTATGGACTTAAAATGAGTTTGTTGATCTTCAAAGCACTTACTATTTAACGTTAGATGGTTTTGTATTAAATATAGTTTGTTAAAGTCTAATCAGAAATGCGTATAGCAATTGAAAATGCACTTAAGATGGATCAAATCCAGCCCCTATGGACGCCTTGTCTTTTTTAAAGTGAAAATGTTGTCATTGTTTGATCGTTAGTGAATTTTAGAGTTTGAAATGACTTGAGCTTTTGTGTTTGTTGTGAATGGACAGAATTGGTACAATTCACACTGTCCTTGCTGTGAGTGGATGTTTCGTCTGTGACGCCGAGTTCTTGCTGTCTCTCAATGCACTGTAGTGTCTTTGTAATGGTTGAAGTAAATATTCATTTTGAAGTAATTCACCATTTAATTTCTGAAGTCTGAGGAATGAAAGAGTCATTTGTTTGCTCACATTAAAATATGCTCAACAAGTGTCTTTCAAATATGAGCTATTTTATTCTCAAGCAAAAACAAAGCATTAAAGAGGTGCTAGTTGTCTGTTAAAGCAAACAGAATAGGTAGTTTCCCCTAAAACCATATTCAATTTCTGACAATATTGAGCAAAAAAAAGTGCAACCCATTCAAACAAGAACCAAAGTATCCAATGCTTTGTGGTTCCCACACACGTCTTGATTTATCTACAGTAAATACATTGCATATATACAGATTTTTACACAGGACACCAAATGTGTGGCTGTTATCGCTGTCATGTATTAATGCCTATCAACACAGTGAGTTTTCCCTATAGTCTACTCCAGTCCTGATACTGTTTGAGGGTTGCATGTAAAATCTTTATCAAGTATAAAACTCTTATAACTAGAAGCGGATGTGCTGAACCAGTGCCATGTAAAAGACAAAGGAAATAAATAGATTTCAATGTAACTGGCAAAAGAGAGAGGGAGAGGGGGGAAAAGGACAACTCAATAGTGACTAAGCAGTACATCACATATGGGTGTTTACAGTATGCTTTAACCGCATTATCGTCCTTTTTATGCTACTTTAGAAGATATTGGTGTTGTTACCAGTGAACATTTAGATGCAGTAAATAGTTAATTCACCCAATAAACGTCAATTCGGATATTTATGATCCTAAAGGGATTTTAAACTTGTTTGAGTTAACAGAAAGACATTTTGAAGAGTGTTGGACACCAGTGGCCATTGAGTTCCATCATAATTTTTTCCTAGCATGGATGTAGGGTAATGATTGTAACAATTTTTTTGTTGTGATTAATTATTGATTATATGTGGAGTTAACAAACATGCACACTATTGGTTAATGCAACTAAACTAAAGCTTGACTATAAAAGCTTTAATTTAGGAATCACCTAAGATTAATAAATGTCTAATGACACCTTCAATTTGTAGTCTTAATCGAATTACAAGTTGTGTTCTTTGTATTATTTTAAGTTAACTAACTTTATAGTCCTTTTGCAATTATAACTGGATTACTATTATTTGTAGTATTAGTATACTCTAAACATGTATACTATAAATCGGGTCTGCACAAAATATGGTTTCAGCATCGAATCGATATTGTAATGTGCATATCCGCAAGTCACAGCGCAAGATCTGCAATGTTTTTATATATAACTATAAGGAGCTACAGAACACTTGATATCTAGAGTTACTCCTTTTAAGTTTAACAACAAAGATTTATCATTTGGAAGTTTTTTTTTTTTTTTAATAAAACCTGTGACTGAGCATTTCAAAAGAGTTATAAACATTTGGGCACAAAAATAATTTATAAAAAAAAAAAAAAAAGGTTTTCTTATTTTGTCTTGTTTCTAGTCCAATTATCTACATTTCAAAGTGAAAACAAGATTATTGTATTTACCCTAATGGCAGATCATTTAACTTGTTTTAAGGACAAACTCTTCATTTTGAGTTATTTCTCAACAGTGAAAAGATTTTTTACTTAATCTAAGATTTTTTTTTTTTCGATATTTGAACTAGAAATGCAACAAAGCGAAGTAAGAATTTGTTATTACTGTACCTGAATAATGTCAGTCTTCCCAGAAAACTGCCAAATCGAGCTTTTCATTTTGTGCAATGTTTATCACAGAAAAATTAAATATCGCAATATCAGATTTTTCATGCAGCCCTACTGTAAATATATAATCTGTGATTATACCTGTAAATTAACCATTTTTGCAGCTCAGGTAAATATTGTGATATAACAATATATATATATATATATATATATATATATAGTGGTAAAAGCTTTAGCAATTATAATTTGATACCACTATAACTCTATACTATTGAAAAAAAATATGATGGAATGTCTAGAGGTTAACATTCTTCAAAATATCTTAAAATCATAATAAAAGTTTAGAACCTAATGGTCAATAAATTAGTACATTTTCGTTAAAATAATTAAAGAAAATTTAAATATACTCACATTCAAGTGGTTCCCCATTCAAAAAAACTCTATGGAAGTCAATGGCTTTTTTTCCTTCCAACATCAGGGTTTCTGCAGGATCTTCAATTTCAAAAAAACTAAAAGCTTTAAATCCACTGAAATATTGTGTTTTGAGTCTTAAATCATTTTCAATGGCTATACCCAATTGGCCCAACACCCACCCAAAAAACAACAATATATTTCAATAAAAGTTAAGAAATGTCTATTTACTTATTTAAATTGTTTAATCATCTTCCTTACAATAACATATGAAGAGTTCCGATGCAAAAACATCTTAAATGCCATCTGAAACTTCCATTGACAATGAACATTTTTCTCAGCCTCCTTTGTTTGTGTTGAGATATTTCATTTTACAGACCAGGAAAATTAATTTGCCATTCTTTGTCATAAGTGATCTTACTGAACATACACACAGGAGCCTGATAAAAAGCTCTATTTAGAGGAAACTTTCAGACGGCATTTAGAGGATTTTGCATATAAACTCTTCATTTATTTTAAATTGTTTCCAGTCTGAAGGCTGATTTATACTTCTGCGTCAAACACTGGCGTAGGCTACGGCGCTGACGCATAGCCCTTCGCCGTGGCCGTCGCCGTCACTGACGTGCACCTCTCAAAAATTGTAACTGCACGTCGCAACAACGCGTAGCGCAAGCTCTGTGATTGGTCGGCTTGCTAGCGCCGACGAGTCTGGGCGGGACCGAGAGCCGCGCGAATGGCGCGAGCGAATGTTTACAAGTGTGGAGTCCCGTGAAGGAGCTCCGGATGGAAAGTTTTGTTCTGTGTTTACCTCATGGTTAAAGTTGTTGCACGTCCGCCGGTTCCTGCCTCAAAATGAGCGAGTTTGAGTCACTTGTACATCCAGGAAGTGTTCAGAATAGCAAAACAGAAGCGAAGAAACTCGACACAGAGGAACATTTACACCTCACTGCCAACTAGCGTTTCGGAAGTGTTAATGCAGACCAACGGAGACAGCGCGCAGAAGTATAAATGCACAGCTGCGCGCGTTGCCTGCGCCGTGAGTTGCGCCGGTCACTTGACGCAGAAGTATAAACCAGGCTTGACGCATTTGCGTGCGTATGAATGAAAATCTATGAGAAAATTTCATTCATTATGCTATTAAAAAGTCCTAAATTTGACGATGAAACCTGTAGAAACCCTGTACTTGTTTTAGCATATAGAATAGAAGAAACTCGAACAAGTAGAGGACGAGTAAACGATAACAATTTTCATATTTGGGTGAACTATGCCATTAGATCAGTGGTCTCAAACTCAATTGCTGGGGGCCACAGCTCTGCATAGTTTAGCTCCAACCCTCACCTGCTTAATAGTCTCTAGTAGCCTTGAACACCTTGATTAGTGGCATCAGCTGTGTTTGATTAGGCTTGGAGCAAAACTGTGCGAAGCTGCGGCTCTCCAGGGATTCAGTTTGAGACCTATGCATTATATGACCAAATCAAATAGGATCGACACAAAATTCAGTTCCTCAAATAAAAAACACGAGAAAACATGGGATCCTGGCTAAAGATAGACTTCAGATTGAGATGAAATACTTAAAAAGCTAACTCTCTTTCTCTGATGAGCTAAACTATACAGCAGTGTTGAAGCTGAAAGCGCACACACATGACTGGAGTTGTCTAAATGGCACCAGAACCCGTGAGGGCTCCCTGAGATCTGTCTCTGACGGCTCGCTCCTCATCGACTGTGCATTCCAAAGATGAGAAAGCTGAAGAAGACAGTGACCCCAACCAGAGAGATGGTGGCCGGGGCAGTGAAGAGCTGGCGGTAGTTGATTCGGAAGTACCAGACAACGGCGAGCAGCACCACGAACACGGGGATCACCAGACCGCCGGTGCTGAGAGCAACACCGGCCGAACGCAGGCCTCCGCTGAGGATGGACACTCTGCTGGCTCTGGGACCGTCCTCTGCCGCCTCACGCTGAGCCTGCGCTTGAGAGATGTGGCAGTGCAGGACGCTGTTGTGGGTGATGTTGAGGGACAGGAGCGAGCGCTGGGGGTCCTGCAACAGCTGACCCTGGTAGATCAGCTTAATCTGATGCTCTCGGCCAGAGAAGTACTTACTGACAGAAACAAACACGGTGAAATCAGCAAATGAGTGCAAGAATGACTGACTTTAACCATTGTGTTTCTTAGTTTTACAACCTCCTCCTGAACTGCAGTTGTTGTAACACTAGGACAGATGTTCTGATTGTGTATTTATGTTCAAATGTGATACACTTTACGATACGGGGAACGTAGTCCATTTATTGACTAGAGCTGCACAATATATCATTTCAGCATTGATATCACACATCGCAGGAAGAGCAATGCTGAGTTTATGTGTTGGGATTACAGTTGAGCAGGAGCCACAGATCAGAACACACTCCATTTATGAGGTCACTGAAGAGTTTAACCATAACGGAGTAAAAGCTTATCATTTGCATTTGTTTTTAAGGCCTCTGACTGTGTAAGCAGAGACATTAAAGTGTTCAGGCACATGAAATTGTACTGTTTGTAACTAATAAAGATGTAATTATTCACAGTAATTATACAGTGTTTAGTTGTAGAAATAACTACATCTTGTTGTATAGTCAGTGTTGTTCCAGTGTTTGTACACTTGATTATTCTGTATGTGAATAATGCGATATAAACCATTTCAATGTGGCGATGTCATTGGCCATGAACATTTCCTGCTTGTTGTCAAGCTATTTTGTAGCTACAAGAGGCAATACAATCATATCAAATGTTAATGCATGTTAAAACAGCTACCATAACAATATTTATCAGTATCTGGACCTTTTTGGATTCTCTGAAGCAATAAAAATGAAAAAGCTAAAACAGGAAATAGGTCAGGGCCCATGGTTATTGTTTACATCCCTCAAAATGGTTTATAAAATATTTCACTACTATCTTTCCAATATAATTCCAGAACAATCCTATAAACTTCCAGAATAATCCCAAATAAGTCTAAATTAATTCATTCTTTCCAAAAGAGCTATTCAAGCTCTATTGAAATTGTATTCATATCACAATATGTTGCAGCAAAACAAAATATTGCAATGTCCAATAGTTTCAATATCATGCAGCAGTAGTATTTACTAATATGAAATGCTTTATTAAGATCTAACGCTGTGCTTGTTAACATTGTTAAATGCACTGTGAGTTAACATGACTAACATTAACAAATACTTCAATAAATAACTAGTATTAAGGTGTCACATATTGTAACGTGGTTTACCAAAATCTCAGTGGCAAGTTGAAACACAATTCATAAAGACAAGCAACAATTTAAAACAGGAGAAAAAAAAAACATGATTTCTAGCAACAAATGATACCCAAACTATTTCTTTCTTTTTTTCAAAAAGACATTGCAAAACATCAACAAAAGTAACAAAAAAAAGTAACTAAAATGCACTATACTTCACCAACTGACTGCAAGTGCATACATTTAAATATGCAAATCAATCTATTTTTATCTATTTTTGCTAAACAACAATTGAATTAAATATGTACTAATTTGCATAAATGTATAGCACTAAAAAGTTTAAGGATTGTCAAGTTAGGATGAATTTATGTTTGTTGATACTTTAGACAACATTTTGGCCTCTTCTTATCACTCCATCAATCAGACAGGATAAAATAATAATAATATTGCATGCAATAATGTCAAATATTGTATATAATCAGCCAAATGATGAATGAACAAATTCCTCTTTTGAAAATCTTTGATTTAGATATGAATAAAACTGCTTGAAAACAATCTTTTTTAAACCATGTTCTGTTTAGGACATTTTGACAAAAGATTTCATTCTGAAAGTAATAAATAATAGTTAATGTTGATGTGGTTATCACAGTGGACTTTATCAAAGGTTCTGACTTTGCCCACATGGGGGATAACCATTGTCATACTTTGTTTTGCAATTTTTAAAACAAGAAAAATTTCTGGTTGTCGATCGAGTTTGGCATGGGCCGGTATAAGATTCTGATGGTCTGATAACCTTGGATAAAAATATCAGTTATATGGTATTGTGATTGCTGCTCTAAAATATATTCTTTCATAATGTCTGGGTTAAAAACAACTACTTTTTCCTCCTTTGAACTTTGAATATATTTTTATTTAGAGAAACTTTTAAAATATGTAGCAGTAAACATATCAGCCTTAATAATCAACTAAATTATTGACTTCCGCTGTCTTCATTAGCTTCTAAAGCACAGATTTCTTTACAATTTAAATCAGCATCTTTGGAGATCTTTTCTGATGGAGATACTGTTGTCATAAAAAAAGAAAAAAAAAAAAAAACAACTTACACATACTGTAGGAACGGTTTAGCAGAAAATTTTGCGGTTTTAAAACCTTGAATTTTCCAAACCGCAGTATACCCTGAGAACGATAATCATCCCATGCCTACGACTGAGTGTTTGAAATAAAAATCAAGCAGTTTTGATTTCTTGCCAGTTGACCGGGGTATCAATTCACAATGCATTTCAACAAGCAAACTTCTAAATGACATGTAAAAACAAAAAAGGTGCATTCCAGCCTGGTACAGCTGGGTTTCAGGGCATAATTGCCTTACATAACAGGTACATCGTGGCTGCATTTGACTGAAAGTGGTAGCTAACCCAAAAATGTCAATTCTGCCATCATTAACTCACCATACACTTGTTTAAAACATACAAACTCTTCACATTTGTTGTCACTTTCTTGTAAAAGGGTCTATTTGAGTTTCTTTGTTTTTTTTTCTTCTGTTGATCATAAAAGAAGATAATCTGAAGAATGCTGGTTGCTGGGGCTCATCAACTACTTTTTTAAATTTTTCTTCCTGTTTTGTAAGTTGATGGTTCCCAGCAACCAGGATTCTTCACAATATCTCCCTTTGTGTTTAACAGTACAAAGAAACTCATAGGTTTAAAACCACAGGAGGGAAAATAAATAATGAGGTAATTTAATTCAGGATGAACTATCTATTTAAGTGATTGCTGGATGACAAGCATGAAAGGAAAAATAATGTCACTAAAAATAGCCCAACCATAAACACCGACAAAACATAAAACAACGGGGGAAAAAAAAAAAAAAAAAAATCAACATCACAATACACACTAAAATCCCTGATCCAAAACATAAATAGATCTAAAATCCCCTGACTTTCAATATCAAATTAGACTAGGCTTCTCCAGGTATCCAATGTTCATGCTATGATTAATTGCCGAATCTTTAATCACAGTATGCGGTATTATCATGACATTGATCTAAGTTGCAAAGAAGATGACTTTCAATACAGAGATATCACTGGCCAAAGAACAGTTCTTGTTTTCATACTATTGCAGAACTGTAAGAAAAGATGATTCAGTCATAACAAATAAAAACACAGCTGTCATATAACTTTTTTTAATCAATATGTGGACCTTTTTGGATTCTCATAGGCTTTAGAAATGAATAATCTAAAGCAGGAATATGTTAAGACCACTTTTATTGTTCACATCCCTCAATATAGGGTCTATAGTGTATTGCTTTATTGTATATGCATGTATAGAGTAAACAAATGCTTTAAATAACTCAAATTGTTTAAAAATTATAAAGTAAAAATCTCATTACTGAATGTTAGTTAATGGGTTAAAAATCAACAGTCAGAAATAGCCATATTGTAGATATGATAAAGTTAATTAAAAATACAACCCGTTATTTAATCTATTTAATAAAAAAATTACAACTTTTGATTTTAATGCATTATGACACACTAAGAAATCAACAAAACCAAAGATAAACAAATATTCTTGTAATTGCATTAACTTTAAATTAATTAATATTAAATAGCACCTTACTGTACAGTTAACAATCAAAAGGCCTATAAATATTTAGCAGAAATTTCAATGTCGCAGGACAGATTAACATGAGAAAAGAATTATATCAGAAAATTAATTACCAATTAAATCTTCAAGCATTTGGTGCTGTGATGAACAACCACTGTCAATAAAACATTGGATATTCTTAAAATACACTCTAAAACTTTGAAGGGCCACTATTTTGCATTATAAAAGGTGATATTTTAGTTTTGGGGGTCTCCAACAACAGTTTGATATGCATGCAGAGTAAAAAAACACTTTCATTGTCTTAGTATTTGCATTTATTTTTAACCATTTATCCCAACAACTCCTATAAGATTTGTTCAGTGATTCATTTGTTCCCAAACCCCTTGTGAGCGCGAAGCTAATCTGCGCTGATTGGTCTGATCACCCAGTCTGTTGTGATTGGTCAACTGCATTCAGCACGAGACAGAATGAATCGCCCACCACGGCTTATCAACATTGCTGAAGTAGTCAGAGTGCAGAGTATATATGTGAGCCCAATGCAGGAGTGCATTAAAGCATTGCAGTTAAACATCAACATATTGCTCTATTTTTAACCATAAGTAAAGTCACGAGCTCACAAATGCATTGAAATCAGTAAAGCGGCACTCGTTGCAGTTTTAACGTGGTTTAAGACACGATATGTGAATATAAAGAGTTAACCATATACAGTACAAGCCACGTGGAGCAGTTACAAGTAACAAAACACAATTAAATACATATTTTGCAAGCTAGAGAAAACAAGGAGGCAACCATTTTAATAACACTTACACTTGTGAAATGGAAGAAAGTGGTTCATGAACTGTACTGATAAAGTTCCATACATCAAGTCTTTTCTGATCCTTCCTTTAACAAACAGCTGACGAATCCCCCATTGCAAAGTACATTATTACTTTAATCACCAGAAAGTTCACTCATCTTCAGTCATGATCAGTCCCACACATCCACACTGCTAGTGTCTGAAGGGAAAGGTGTGTTCACGTTTTACCGGATCCAGTACTTTATATTTGGTATTGTTGTGTCATTGTCAATATGAACAGGCGAACAATCGGGATAAACTATTTTATTTGTTTTTCTTAGGGTAACGATATCTCCAGAAGAAAAGGAGCACCCACATCAAAAGTACTGGTTAGCCAATGTTTCAGCAAACATTTAAAAAACAAATCCATTCAAATCCCCAACATTCAAGCATGCTTTATGCCTGAACAGTGCAGTTGCTTACTTTATATCCACAGACAAGAGAGATCTCCAAAAATGCCTTTTCAAGTTGTAAAGAAACAAATGAAGACAGCAGAAGTCAATGATTGATTTGAATTATTTGGCCTGACATGTTTACCATTACAACATTTTTGAAATGTTGCTTAAAATAAATTCTATTATGTCCAAAGACGAAAAAAGGTTTTAATTTTTACCCAGACATTAAAAAAAAGCAGCAATCACAATACCGTGATACCATGAAATTTTTATCCAAGGTCATCATACCATCAGGATCTTATACCGGCCTATGCCAATGAGCATTTGGATTTCACCATTCATTTATAAAAGCATTTCATAAATAAAATTTCAACTGACCTCTTCAGCAGGCCGATGGTGTCCTGTGGTCTGAGCACTGCAATCTCCTCCGTGTCGTTCAGAAATTTCAGTCTCACAGTAATACTGCTGGCTTCATCCTCCACTTCCTCTTCCTCTTCATCTTTCTTCTCATGGTCCTGAAGGCAGCTCATCTTCTTCCTCCCGCTTTGAATGTCCAGCAGCTCTTCTCCAGCCACATCATCTCCTCCCTCTGGCTCCTCCTGCTTGTCCTCCTCTACGGGCTCCTCGTCCAGCTGCTCGCTGGCCTCTGAGCTGGACGGAGGGCTCGAGTAGCTGTCGTGACCCCCAAGACCGATGAGGGAGGCATGGGCACCCACGGTGAGAATGGTCCCCAGAATGTGATCTCCTCGGTCGGCCACGTGGGTGGACAGCCAGGCCAGAACCAAAGCCAGGAATAGGACGACCACACCGCCCAAAGCTGTGGCTTCCTCCCCGAGCCCGTCCAGCACAGTTAGAGCACACACCGCCATCCCTGCCCCACTCGACCTGCAAACATAAAGAGAAAAAAAACAACAAGACAATGTCAACAACAAATACAAATTAGCAATATGTGTTTAATGACAAAGTGTTTGATCCAATGAAATACTGAAATTAGGTGTTTTGGGGAAGATTTATTAGTGTTGTTTAGATGACAATTATGTGTTTCCGTGTGAAAATGAAACTACTTGTACCTGATACTTACCTAAAGAGTGGTAGGTCCCTAAAAGGGCTATTTTGTTGTTACTTTGAAATTTTGGCGACTCGTGTGTGTGTGTGTGTGTGTGTGTGTGTGTGTGTGTATATATATATATATATATATATATATATATATATATATATATATGTGTATATATATATATGTGTGTATATATATATACACACACACACACACACTCACTTCATTGTGGATTGTTTTTCACCTGCCAGCACTGTAAATAAAACTAAAGTGCTATTGAGTACACCATCATTGTACTGTCAACTGTAATTGAATTATCTAAAAATAGAAAGTAATCCCTTCACTTTTTCAGCAAAAAAAAGTAGTTTAATGAGAGTAACTAGATACTTTGGAATAAATTACACCCAACACTGTTTCTTGAAGATATGAAAATGTGTCAACAACTGATTTGGAGAATAAATTCTTTTAAATGTGACGTCACATGACCAGATCAGCTTTTACATGTTAGATCATGTAAGAATTGTCCATAATATATCATTTTCTAAACTTTTAATGAAATCATGAATATGCAGTCTCCCATCGGTCACTAATTTTTGATAAAACCTATTTTAACCAACATCATATCAAAGAAACATCAAGTTTGTAAGGTCTAATAAGAAAAATGTCAAAATTATCAAATTGAACTTGATTTAACAACAACAAAAATCGGCTTTAATTAGTGGTAACTTCTGTCATTTTAAATCTGGTAATTCTTATCTTTCACTATTAATTTTAAGTAAAATAAAAAAATCTAAACAATATTGTCTGAATCTTAAAGTGATAGTTCACCCAAAAATGAAAAATGTACACACCCTTAAGTGGTTCTAATCCAAACCTTTATGAATTTCTTATGTTGAACATCTTTAGAAGCTGAAAACCACTATGGCAGTGGTTTAAATTAAATTAACACTATGGCAGTGGTTCTTAACAGTTTTAACTTTTGAAAGCACATTTTAATTTAAATGTCGACCTTTTTATTTTATTTATTTTTTTCGTATAAGCACAGTACAGTCTCAACGTTCAGACTATTTGTAATGTTTATATAAATATAATAAATATTCGTAATAACAGTAATTAATCTGCCACGTTTTTGAACTGTGCAGAGCTGTAGTTGCTTGAGTTGGTCTACTACGCTACTGTATTTCAATACTGCTCATTATCCTGGCACTTGAAGAGACTATTTTTTTCAGAGGTGGTACTAGATGAAAAAATTTTGAGAACCACAGCACTATGGCAGTCATTGGTTACAGGTTTCCAACATTTTGTGCAAATGGATTCAAATCAAATGTCTTCTTTTGTGTTTAACAGACGAACCTCATGAATGTTTGAAACAAGTAAAGGGCGAGTAAATGACAGAATTTACTTCTTTTTTTCCATTCTTTAACTAATCTTGACAAACTATAGCTCTATAATATAACCTATAATTTTCAAGTGGTGTATCAAATTCTGTAATATTTGACTTTAAGTGTTAAATAGCATTAGCAACTCAGGTAGTTCATCTAGCAGCCAAAAGTATGTTCCTTAACGTTAACTCTGTTACCTAACATAAAGTGGCACACTTCTTAGCAGTATTAGGCAATAAGCTGATGACATAAACTACTGTGTCATATATACGCACACACATGCACATTGCACGTAAACACGAGGCTTTCTAACTACAATTCCTCTGTTACATTATATACAACTTCAATACTTATAAATACAGCGTTCTCGCACACTTTGTCCCGTTTTGTTTTGATGTTCGCTAGCGGTTTACGCTAAAGCCATGAAACCCTTAACAAAACTACACCGTTGTACATTTAATGTCTCCCACGAGGCCTATAAAGGAATAACAGTTAATCTTCAACAGAAACGTGAAAGTAAAACGAGCAGAAATGGTATTTAATGAGAGTATTTGCTTTGTTTGGCGTGTCTTGAAGGAAAGGCAGCTAATCACGTAGCGGCGGTGTATGACGACCTTGATTAGCGAGTTTTAACAACACAGACATGCCGCTTAAAAATATATTACAGCACACTTACCTTCGCCTTTTTCAAACCATTCTAAGTTGATGCCGTTTTTATCTCTACAACGGTTAAAAAGCACAACACTTGACTTGGAAGTAAATAAACACACGTATAGCCTCACAGGCACGCGCACGCACACAGCTGACGCCGTGGAGTCAGATTGGAAAGGTCACGTGAACGGCAAAACCAATTGTCACTGCGCAGAATCTCCCATAAACCTTTAAATCAGGGGTGCCCGAACTTTGTGTATAAAGGAAGGTTAAATATCATTGAGAGCTGATGGCCGAAGTATGTGTAAATAAATATATTAATTTAAATATATTTGAGATGTAGAACGCAGGGAAAGCGGCCGCATAGAGATACTGCAGTGTTGCTAAAGATTGTGGCTGTTTACAGGGGTTTGATGCACAAATATGAATTTGTAGCTATATTCTTAATGATTCCAAACAGCATTTCCTGTTGTTTACATCCTCGCTACAACATACCATTAACACTAGACACTGTGCATATAGTTGATTAATATTACCAAATAAAAACACTTACAGGTTGTGGCTCACAATCCACAGCTTCATCGGTTGGAGGAGTTTTTAGCTGAATCCAGCACTGAACCGGGAGAGATTCTAAAAGCTGTGCTGTCAAATGCTAGCTATATATTTTTATAATTCTCTGGAACATAATTAAAATTACATTGTAAGCACTTCTCTCTTTGCGTGTCCTCTGGAAGCACAAATACAGAAACAGTACAAGCTCTGCAGAAATTGCAGTGTTTGGAAGGCATATTAGCTTCCTCTGCTATAACATTAAAGGGCATCTGGCCATGCCCCTTTGCTGCGCCGCATGCATGGGGTGTATGTGTGTCGTGAATGTGTGTAACCTGAAGTGTTTATGATCTTATTAACCGGGATGTATTTTTTGTAGTCCCCAAACTTCGTCAGCTGTAGGCTTTGCTAAGCTAACTCTGTAAAAGCCACTGTCTCCCTTTGCATTGAACTTACATTCAAAGTTGTTTATGTCACCACAGCTACATTACACATCAACTAAAGTTTAAAATATGATATCGTAGTGGACCATCCTTTTAAAAACTGATGATGTAGGTTAAAAACTCCAAAAAGGTATATTTTAAATAACCGCTGCAATGATCTCAGAATCATCAGGAATCTGAGAGAAATACAGAAACAATAATGCCTCAGTGATGATACTGTAGATTTAGAAACACTGTCAAAGCAGCATAGGTTATTGCAAAGTAAACAGTGACTTACTGGAACAATCTGGTTCTCATTTGTTTGTTTATTTCACATTGTGAGAATAGCCAGTGGCACATTTTCAACCACTATCCATCAATCAATATTTGCAGTGCATTATTTCTGTGTGTCAGACCACTGTGGGCATCTCGGTATAACGGGTTAATGGACCAGTTCAACCAGGCCATTATTTCCCCTTAAATGGACAGTGTCTACTGAAAGCAGCAGTAAAAATCTGTCACAGCTGATAAAGATAGCTTGTAAAAAGATCCAACCCACTGTTTCCAGTCGTTTATGTTTTGTTTGTGCAACTCAGCGGAGTTGTCCGTCATTGTGCAGCAGCAGATAATCTTTTAAAGTGCTGGGGATGTTAAGCTGGCTAATAGAGATGTGGCACAGGGACCCCAGGTGGCGCCGGAGGGCACATCGGCAGAGGTGTTGAAGAGAGCGAAGCTGACCGCTCATCTGCCGCACCGCATCCAAAAAACACTGATGATCCTGACAACACAACACATGCTTTCATTAGGCTGAAATATTCAACTCAGAATGGAAAAAAGCCAATTTCCAGTTTTTCCAGTTTTATTGAACACACCGAAGATGCTTGAAAGGGCACCTATGATGAAAATCATCTTTTATAAGTTGTTTGGACTAAACTGTGTGTAGGTATAGTGTGTTCACTGTCATAATGAAGCAATATAAACCCAACAAGTATCTTTTAAAAAAATTTCTGATGTTTAATAGGATCCAAATCCCAGTGATTTTGAGGCTCACTATAACGTGACTTAGGAATGCGGATTTACACGCCCACTGAATTGATTGACAAGCGTCATGTCTTTATAATAACATGCATACACATATCCACAGAACATTTTTTTGCAAATAAACTGAGATTAAAGTATCTGTTTCAACTCTCTGCAATTTTAATAAGCTTTATTAGTTTAAAATGCTTTTAAAACAGAGCATATTTGTAATAAAGTAAAATTGCTATGTAATTCTTAACCGCTATAATCACCACAGTTCCATGGTGTCAGTAAACACTAATGTGTGTGTGTGTGTGTGTTTGTACAGCAAACGATATTTGTGTAAGACTCATCGTTTCAGAAAGGCTTGAATAAACTCCAATATAAATACATCAGATTACTTATTGGTATTTTTGAGTAATGAGCTGTATTTCAGCTTCATCCGAGTCTCTCTATCACTGACTGCTGTTTATCTGACGTAACGCATGGTGAAAAGCAGACATACACGAGGGAACAATGGACTGGGAGAAGCAGCTCATTTGCATTTTAAGCGACAGGCTACAAAAACTACAATGTACATCATGCTGTGGGGATGTTTTTCAGCAGCAGAAACCGGAAGACTAGTCAGGATAGAGGGAAAGATGAATGCAAGAGACATCCTGATTGAAAACCTGCTTCAGAGTGCTCTTGACCTCAGACTGGGGCAATGGTTCATCTTCCAGCAGGACAATGATCCAAGCCAAATATCAATGGAGTGGCTTCACCACAACTCAGTGATTATCCTTGAGTGACCCAGCCAGAGCCCAGACCTAAATCCTATTGAACATCTCTGGAGAGATCTGAAAATAGTTGTACACAGTCGCTTCCCATCCAACCTGATAAAACTTGAGAGGAACTGCAAAGAGGAATAGGCAAAAATTCCTAAAGACAGGTGTGCCAAGCTTGTGGCATCATATTTAAAAAGACTTAAGGATGTAATTGCTGCCAAAGGTGCATCAACAGAGTTAAGCAAAGGCTGTGAATACTTACGTACATGTGTTTTTTCAGGATTTTTATTTTTAATAAATTTGCAACAATTTCAAAAACTCTTTTTTTCCACATTGTCATTATGAGGTATTGTGTGTAGAATTTTGAGGAAATAAAATAATTAAATTAATGTTGGAATGAGGCTGTAACATAAAAAAGTGTGGAAAAAGTAAAGCGCTATCAATACTTTCCGGATGCACTGTCAATTTTCCTAAATTTTTTTTTTTTTTTTTTTTTTTTTTTACAAAATTGCACTTATTATTTTACTATTATTGTTTTTTATTTTATTTTTATTTAGTTATTATTATTTTTTTGCATGTATATAGTATTTGGTTACTAATACAGTATGTATGTATGCATCACATTTTTCTGAAACAATAAAAGTATAAAAGTATATATATATATATATACTATTATATTTACTCATATAGCCCTTCAACAAGAGACTTTATATGCAATAATTTTTGTGCTCCATGTGGTTCATGTGCACTTTTCATATAGCAGCAATACTATAGTTGTGAACTCATAAAGATAAGAAACAAAATAACAACTGAGCGAATGAGGAAATAATCATGCATCATCAGTGATGAGAGGTGTAGATTTGGAGAAAGCTGTCAAAGCTGCAATAATAACAGTTATTACTAAGTAAACAGCATCAACGAAAGACTGATGCCACTGAAAATACAATGCATGCTTTCATTAGAGCTAGATATTAATTTCAGAAAGAAAAAAGGGAACAGATAAAACATTGTTCAGAAAGAAATGCCAGAAGCATGGCCAAGGATGAAATACTACTGCTGCTAATAATATATTAGATTTCACAGTCATTTAATTTCAGACACAAAATGCAACCCATTATATATAGCTATATACACAGAAAATTACAACTCTGAAATCTTCATTCTTTTTCAAATATTTAAATATGAGTGGTGTCATTAACACATTCATTTGTTCATTTCATTCATTGATTTTTCTTCGGCTTATTTTCTCATTAATCAGGGGTCACCACAGTGGAATGAACCATCAACTATTTTTTTTTGTACACCGCAGATGCCCTTCCAGCTGCAACCCAGTACTGGGAAACATCCATACACCATCACATTTACACACTACAGCCAATTTAGTTAATCTAATTCACCTATAGTTATGTCTTTGGACTTTGGGGTAAACAAACTAGCCCAGCCGGGACTCGAACCAGCAACCTTCTTCCTATGAATGCATACCACTGAGCCACCTTGCCACTCAACACAATTTTTGTTGTTAAAAAAAATGAATATATACAAATTCTCCATGCTGTTTAGTTTAGATGGATGTGCTTCTGTGTCTGTTTTAACTCAACTCATTGTACATGTTGATCCTTCCCTTAAACTAAGTACTTGTGCATTCTCTATGATGGGATATATTTCCCCATGATCATATTTCTCTATGATTTACCTTGGTTATTTGGTCTGTTGTGTCTTCAAGCCACTCTTCACAAGCTGGAATGACTGGATAACAATTCAGCATCACCTCCAGAGTGGCAAGAGAGGGCAAGCAGAGTTTCAGCATCTGGGACATACACAAACACAGATTCATCCAATATGAATTAATTCCAAAAAGATGATCTGAACGGTTGTTTAAAAAAAGAAAGAAGGTAATAGAGGAGACACACAGCAGTCTGCACTTACTCTAGGGGATGGCGGCTTTGCTCCATAGTTAAGAAGAAACTGGGCCACAATCTCTGGCTGCTGCTCGGGATAATCCTCTATTACCTGCCAAAATACACAGTCGAATTCAAAATCTAAATTCTTCCAGATGAGACTTTGCTTTTCTAGCCAGTATATTATATGATGACCAAAAAAAACACTCTTTACACTGCGAAACAGATTTTTCTTAACACGTTGGTCTTGTTTTTCAGTAAAAAATATATCTTAAATGTTCATGAATCAAGATTTGCTTATGAAGAAAAATGACGCAAGATAATCTACAAGGTACTGAAATGATGTGCTTTCATTTAAAGTTGACAATAGAAAGAAGACTTTGCTTTACATTCGATATGAATTTTAAAAGTTTTAAAGTTTATTTTGCTTATTCCACAGGCATTTTTTTTTAAGTAGGGCTGGGTGTCACTTCCAAAAATAATTCAATAGGGAAAATTGACTTCTCTTTTCAATTTTTAGTTATCAAGTTGTAATATCCAAATAATAACAATATAAACGTGTTTAGCCAATTATTACATTTAATTCTTAACGTCATTGAAGTAAATGGTGTTTATTTACCACAATAATTTATCTACCTAATGCACACACAGATGTTGATAGACAAATGGTGTTTGTTACACATGCCCTATTAAACAGCACACAAAACGGAATTTTGAGCTCCACTCTGAATGAATAAATGGTTAACAGATGAATGATGTGAGGGCTTTTCATCTCTTTTGTGTTTTTACTAAAATTCTGTTTTTTTTTTGTTCATAACTTCAATGATTTTATATATTTCATAATTTTTTGTGTGGTTGATTGAGCTCCTTTTTAGCTTATTTAGTGAAAATTCGATTCTCAGAATTAACTCCATGAACGCCAGAAGTTAGAATTTTAATCAGAATTGATTCTTTTTGAAATGTTAAAAAATTTAACTGCTCTAGTTTTAAACATAAATTGACTTGATTTTGATACCTTTATATCAATTAAGTATAAAACATGTAGCTTCTCAAATACATTTATCTTGGTTTAAAGCACAACTATGATGCACCTATGAACTTTTGTAAGCTGTTTGGACAGAACTGTGTGTAGGTATAGTGTGTTCACAATCATATTGGAGTGATATAAACCTATATATCACTGATTATATAAAGTCTTTTTTTAATGTTCTGATGTTAAAATAGGGCACATCCCAGTGATTTTGAGGTGCAACGTGATGTAGGTGTGCGATGTTCCCCAGCCATCGAATTAATTGGCACCATGTTTCTATAATAACATGTATACAGATGTCCCAAGATATTTTTTGTTAATAAACTGGGATTAAAATATCTGTTCCAACTCTGTGAGAATTTTATAAGTTTTATAATTTAAAAGTTTTTAAAACAGAACATGAACATGTTAGAACAGAACATGTTTGTAATAAAGACAGTAAAATTGATATCTAATTCTTAACCGCTATAATCACCACTGCCGCATGGTGTCAGACACCGCTAATGTGTGTGTGTACTGCAAACAGCAGTTGTATGTGACTCATCATTTCAGAAAGGCTGGAATAAACTCCACCACGAATACATCAAATAAACTTACTCTGTATTTCTGACTAATGAGCTGTATGTCAGCTTTATCCGAGTCTTTGTCACTGACTGCTGTTTATCTGACGTAACGCATGATGAGAAGCAGACGTGCCTGTGGGAACGATAGGAGGGGAGAAGCAGCTCATTTGCATTTAACACAATGTGTTAAACTGCACTGTATTCAGACACCAAAATGGGCAGATTCTGAAGGCTAAAATAAATGATCTGATGGGTATTTGGAGCTGACATTTTACAGACACATTCTAAAGACACCAAAGGCTTAACTTACATCTTGTAAAAGGGGTAAACTAGGTGCTCTTTAAAATCTCTCTTTTTTCAGTAATAATGTAAAAGTTTTTGTCTCCAAAAAAAAAAAAAAAATTGATTTTGCCATCAGCAATTACAGTCTTACTTCCTGAACAAATTTACATAATGATCTTCATTGCCGGCTCACAAGCAACTTATGCTATCACAGCAGTCAAACTCGGTAGTTGCAGCCGAGGCTTGGAAGAAGTAGTATATCGCACAAAATCTAAATATAACAGTGCAATTTTTCCCCAAAATCGTACAGCCATAATAATGACCATCATCATCATCTTTACCATGAGCGCACCTGCAGCAGGCAGTCCATCGGTGTGTATCCGGCACAGTTCTCCACATCAGCACGAGCCCCATGTTCCAGCAGAAGCTTAACAATGCGCGGGCAGCAGTTTCCACAGGCGTTATGCAGGGCTGTGTGCTTCTTTCTACCACATGTCTGTGCATCAGCTCCAGCCGCTAGCAGGTTCTGGACAATACGCAGATAGCGGCCCATTTCTGCAGGCCTCTCCGCTCCAGCACAGGCTGCGTTCAGTGGCGTCTCTCCTTCCTGGCTGCGGGCCATCACGTCTCCACCATAGGACAGGTAGAGCTCAACGTGCTCCTCCAGTCCTCTCCTGCAGGCCACGTGAAGAGGGGTCAGACATGAGTCCCGCTGGGCCACGTTCACTAGCGCGCCACTGCTCACCAACAGCTCCGCACACCTGCACACATGAGAGTGTGATTGGTGGTATTTTTATTGTCTGACAGAGGGAAATAAGAAAAATGTGAAATGTAAAAGGCAGCATGGTGGCTCCGAGGTTAGAATTCTCGCCTCACAGCAATAAGGTTGCTGGTTAAAGTTCAGGCTTGACCAGTTGGCATTTTTGTGTGGAGTTTGCATGTTCTCTCTGTGTTCGTGTGGGTTTCCTCCGGGTGCTGTGGTTTCACCCACAGTCCAAAGACATGCGCTATAAATGAATTGAATAAACTAAATTGGCCATAGTGTGTGTGAATGAGTGTGTCAGTGTTTCTGAACTGGCTTGCAGCTGGAAAGGCATCCGCTGCGTGAAACATTTGCTGAAATAGTTGGCGGTTCATTCCACTGTGGCGACCTCTGAAATAAAGACTAAGGTGAAGGAAAATTAATGAATGAATAAAGTGTAAAGGGTTAGTTCACTCAAAAAATTAAATTCTAGAATTGCTTTAATGTTTTTTTGTTCATTTTCTGCACTGTGACAGCTTTTGAACAATCATTTCGGAATGTAGATACATTCTTTTTAAAATGTTGTGTAATTTAATACTCTTGTATTAAACAAGGTTTCAGTATCACCTAAGCTTCAAATGATAATCTAATTCTGTTAATATCAAAGACTATAGAATACACAAGACCTGTCACTTGTATAGTTTTAAATGGGGAAAAGTGTAACAGTCAATATGACGAATAAAGCCCCGCCTACTAGTACATGAGGCAATCATCGATTGCTATAGACTGATGTTACTCCATGAGAGAAGCTCAGACCAGACACGTGCTTTAACTAAGTTTGGTGGTCAACAAACACACTGGAATCTCAGCGAATACTTGCTTAATAGACAAGAAATAGATCTAAATAAAGTTGGACATCTGAGCTTTTAAATGAACAAAGTGCATTAGAAAACAAAAGTTTCTTAGTTTTGTAATCTGTATGAAACGAACGCGAGGTAAAGTCCATTCTGTCAAACGCATATCACATGACAGTAACTACTCAGACGTCCACAAACCTGTAAACAAACAGTCACTGTCATTTCTGGAGGAATTTCTCCATCAAGACCAAGTTGTGGATTACTCCAGAAGACCTGTGCGAGCATTATTCAGAGGATGATAAGGTGTAAAACAACTATAAATGAGGTTGGTGTCGTGATCTTGTTCCTTTTGAGTGTGCATGCGCATTTACTTGGGCAACCTGAAAATATGCCAGTTTTATTTGATTCAGACATTTAGAAATGAAGCTTACGAGACAGCTGTTGTTTAATTTCATTGGTGATTCCAAATATGTAATGTAATTATAAGTTTTGGAGAATTTGATGTTTCCCCATTCAGACAGAACGCCAGAGAGAGATTTTAAAGATGGCCGCAGAGTGAAATGACTTGCCTTAAAGGGACTTTGGTAAAGTCTACATGGGATACTTCAATATAGCATCATTTTTGTGACAACGTACAACAATACTGCATATTTTTTCATTACTATGTAGACTGGGGTAGGGGTAGACATTAATAAAATACAATTTAAAGGGCAATTTAATAAATATATATAAAAAGTTGTCGTTATAATAACTGTTTTTACGTACTCTGAGGATTGGGTTCAGGGCTGTGGTAAATGTTAATAAAATACAATGTAATGGGTAATTTAATAAATAATATAAATACTTCTCATTATAATTACAGTTTTACATTACTGTGAGGGCTGGGGTAGGGGTAGACGTAAAAAAATACAATTTATTGGGTAATTTAATAAACAACAATATAAATACTTCTCATTATAATTACTGTTTTTACATTACTGTTAGGGCTGGGGAAGACAGTAATAAAAAATAATTCACGTTAACTTTCAGCCACAGCTGTATCCCTTCTACCAGCAATTCCTGTGGTGTACTGGACTCCTGCTCGTCTTGTTTCTAGTAAGGAAGTGTTAATTTAGTGAAGGAACTAAAATGTGCATGACAGTGGACAGGACTGGACACCACTGAAGCCCTTGGAGCACTCACTGATATGTGTGCGGTGCATTGCAGAGGTGCAGCGGGGCATTGCCATCCATCGCCAGCAGGTCCGGGTCAGCGGCGTGGTCCAGGAGCAGACGCACGCAGACATCATGGCCTCCGGAGCAGGCATCATGTAAAGCAGTTCGGCCACCGGGGTCTGCGTCCACCTCTGCTCCCCTGAACAGCAGCTCCTCCACACAGGCAGAGTGCCCCCTGCTGGCCGCCAGACGCAGCGCAGACGTCTGCTTGATCTTGGAGCTCAGAGTCCACATTCCTGGAAGGCAATGCCTGGTGTGAATTCACCCAAATAAAACTTTGTGATTGTGTTTATGTGATGTGCATGGATGTAACTTTCCATACAATAATGGATGTTTTCTGACCTTCGTGGGATGACCTGTGCAAATTGCATAAACATGATGATTTTTATGTATTCAATAGGATGCAGCTCCACATGTCAAATAAGCTTTTTATTATTTGTCATTATACATATTTTACCAAAGAATACAGTTGAAACCAGAAGTTTACATACACTCTAAAAAAGGAACATAACCATTTTTTTAAAATGTCTAATGGTAAATCATACTAAACGTTTACAATTTTTGGTCTGTTAGGATTACCTAAATGATTTACTTTTGCTAAATGCCAGAATAATGAGATTTTTTTTTTTTGAGAATTTTTTATTAATTTCTAGACAGTCTAAGTTTACTTTCATTTCCTTGGCATTTTTTCAGCTTTTTTCAGTATTCTTTGAACTGTATAACTTTGGTCAAATGTTTTGAGTATCCTTCCTCAAGCTTCTCACAATAGTTTGAAGGAATTTTGACCCATTCCTCCTCACAGAATTGGTGTAACCGACTCAGATTTGTAGGCTGTCTGCTCACACAATGTAGACTCTCTGCCCACAAATTTTCTATAGGATTGAAATCAGGGCTTTGTGATGGCCACTTCAAAACATTTGCTCTGTTGTCCTTAAAGTACAATGAATATATATATATATATATATATATATATATATATATATAATGAATATATTTTCTGACATAAACAAAGAACAATACATTTATTACAGTGCTTTTCCATCTTTGTTAATGATAGTAAATGAAAATTTAAAAATTCATTTATTGTTACTTGTTAGCAGTGCATTAACACATTTTAACAATCAAATTTGGATTTTATAAAGGCAGTATAACATGTTGAATTATGCTAAGAATTATGTTATTAATAAATGCTGTAAAAGATTTTTTCAAATCTTTTAATTGTTTCAAGAGGCAGTGGACGTCTCAACATGACCCTCCTGTGTGCCAGGCATCCTCCCAGTCCTTTGGACAGCAGGGAAGGGACTGTGTTTCAAATATATTATGCTAACCGTTTAGCATTGTGGCAGATCATTTACAGCTTTAAAGCTTGCTATTTTAAAGTCAGTTAATTAAGTTGCCATTAAACTAGGTTAATTAAGGCAGGTTAGGTTAATCAGGAAAGCAATTGGACAAAGTGATATGATCTGTAGCCAATAAAAATAATAATTTAACAAAGGGATAATAATATTGACCTTAAAAATGTAAAGATTCAAATCAAATAAAACTTCATGCAAAAGAAAAAAATTGTCAACGAAATGCTGTCCTTGCACCGTTCATTATTTTTAAAAAGAATAAAAAGTTCCCATCTGTCTCTATAATTTAACTGTATTTCTAAAGTCTTTTTTATTTATTAGTATTATGCTTCTAATAATTTGCATTAAAGTGTCTGTTATTGTTTATGACATCATTTTTGTCTTTGACCAATCAGATTCCTGCTAGTAGCTGCTGGGTCTTACCCATCTCCGGGGTCCACACCATCTCCTCATGCACGGTCTCCATCAAGGCGTTCACCATGCCCGGCTCTTTGAGGACGGCGTACACTCCCTTCATATCTCCGCACATGAAGGTGTTATGGATGGCAGTGTCTCTGCACTTTATTTGGGGTGGCGGAGCGTGGACGGTCTGGATCCTCTCGTTCCCGTGCCGGAGCCTGGGGGCGGCAGGCAGCGGACGTCTCAACATGACCCTCCTGTGTGCCAGCGCCCGCCTGGCATCCTCCCAGTCCTGAAGCTCTTGCTCCAGCCTCAAGGAGCGCAGAGAGGCGGAGGAGAAGGCAAAAGTGTCCCGGGACATCTAAAGGAGAGTGACTACAAATGTTTGAAAAATAAATCAGTACTTTATGATCAGTTGCATGTTAGATTATTAATTTGAAAGAAGAAAAAAAAACATCAATATTTGCTCAAAAAGTATTTTATAGGGAGTTAGGCTGGGCGCTATAGCAAAAATCTCCTTTAACGATATGTCATCTCATATCCTGATAATGATATATATCACTATATTGTACCATTTCTGTAGATTCAATCAATCATTAGTACATATATATATTGGCTTAAATGTACAAAAAAAATAAGTTTACATGTAAAGTATATGAAGAGTTCATGTGCATAGGCCTAAAACATGCCACCTATAACAGCTTCTGTTGTTATTTAAAGAGCTCCTATTATTTGTTTTTGAAAATGACCTTCCATGCAGTGTGTAAAACAACTTTAAGTAAAGTGAAACATCCAGCTAAGGCTTAAATCTGAAAGTGCATTGATTCATCTATAAAAGAGTTGACTCAGAGTGGTTTAAACAAATCGGCGGGGTAACAAATCTTTATCCGTGTCAGCGTGACGTCAATATGGAACTCAAGCCCTGCCATTTGTTGCCCGCGCAGACCCGTGAAAATTGAAACCCCCGGCCTCGCCCACAAACAACTTTCAGCCATGGCCCTCCATCATTTGATTAAGATCATCAACAGGACCAACCAAATACATTTTAAAAATAATTCCAAATGGATTCGACTGAAAGTCACATACACCCGGGATGCTTTCCTAGAGAATTCATGGAATATTTATTTTTTTTGGTGAAATTACCCTTTTAGTACTTTTTAATTCACTTAAAAAAGCTCAAATGGTCACTCCATAAACAGCAATATGTAAATAACTTTTACTGACTTCAAAGAGATGCATTTCCTCATGATGCGTTTCTACAGTACAAATGTCTAAATATTCAAATTTTACATTGTTAGCAAATTGATTAATCAAGTTTTATATAACCACAGTTTTATTACAAATATCATGGTTAAACTCGGTGTTGGGGAAAGTTGCATTTTAAAATTGAGGAACTCCCCAAAAAAGTAACTAGTTTTGTTACTTAGTTATTTTTAATGGTAATACATTATGTTACTTGTGAGTTTATTACCTGCTGTGTTTTTTTTTTCGTTTCTTTTTTTAATTGAGGAGCTCTGCAATTAACAGTGTGCTGTAGAACCTACACCCACATTCACAAAATATTTTAGGATAATATTATCTGAGAACTTCCTCAGAGCTATACATACCATATATACAGATTATTGAAAGTTTAAAAGCAACGTGTTTGCTAATTTTGTGCTATTTGTCTCAAGTAAAATCACTGTCCATTGAGTCTCAATGACTACATAATTCATTGTTACTACTTTAATTTTAATTCAGCAATTTATTTTTGAAAAACTTATTAAACTAACAAGTAACTTGGATAAATTTTTTAAAAAAGGAACTCAAACATTGTCACTTATTTTTGAAAAGTAATGAGTTACTTTACTCGTTACTTAGAAAAGTAATATTATTACATAACTTGCGTTACTTTTAATACGTTACCCCCAACACCATAGTTTACCCAAGATATTTGTAATAAAATTGTGGTTACTACAGTGAGCATCAAATGACCATGAATGCAAATTTTTCTGCTCAATGACTTGATACACCACTTTTACATTTCATATCCCCGTCTGCATGCAACTAAAGAAACCGTAAAATAGTATAAAAACGTGAAATAATGTGGCCTTGTGCAGTAATTTAGTAACTACACATAACTAAAATGGATTTATCAATAGTATGAGTAAAAGCATTTTATTTATTTTTACAAAAGAGGTATTTCCCCTTCTGTATTAATGGAACAGGCCTAGACATTACATAGGGGCAGGCTGTAGTTTATTGTGTTCTGCAAATGGCTGAAAACTGTGTGGTAAAGTTGACCTACCTTAAAAAGCCCCTCAAGTTCCTCCTTTTCAGGCTGTACTTCAATAATCTTGCTAAATGTGTATAAAGTGTTAGATTCTGAATGTGGATGAGACTATTCTTATAATAGTTTTCTCTTTCTGTTAATAAAACGACCTAATGTCTCTTCAAGAACGAAGCTGCCAGTCACAAGATATTGTTGACCTGACACACGGTGGAGCTCGGGGTATAAATAGACCAGTATGAGAGCAAATATGCACATGCAATACCACTATATCACCTGTAGACGGCGCATTTAATGATAATTACTCCGCTTCATTATTGGTTCTGTGTATACACAGAATAAGAATAACACAAATAAACAAATAAATAAAACAATGTAATAATAATAATAATACATAAATAAATAAAATAAGATAATTACACTTTTATTGTGTGTTTCACCACAGTGACCTTATTCCAAAAATGCCAAATGATTTGCCCATCTTCTTTGATAAACATCCAATTTATCAAGTTCCCCAGTTCCCTAACCCTTTCTTGAAATGATGGTAAACCTGCTGAACGTCATCCCCTCATAATGATTTGTCTTCTAATCATAATACTTATTTGAATCCACTCAGACATGTTCACACCAGATCCCAACAAAAAACAGGTCTCCCAGTACATATAACTTAGGACAAAACGAAAAGCAGCATACGGAATTATTCTGTAATTGTGCACTTTAGTCCAGAATTCCTATTTTAGAACAGGACACAGGGCATGCATCAAGTCTCCTTCTTTGCATTTCACATTTCCAGCATTCAGCATTGAACATAAGCCTGAAATCCCTACTCAAAGTCCAATAACAACAATTCAAAGTTTTGAACTACTTTACAGTTTTGGCAAATTTTCTTCCAACGTTCAATGCTAAATGTACAATTTAGATCTTTACTCCAAACAGTTTAAAGCACACAATGAAAACTACCAAACATCTTTTCTATTTATAATACATTGAAACTTCATGCCTTCTGCCATATGCTCAAAGAATCACTGATAAATTGCAGTCCTCATCTGGAGCTCGACTACCTGTCTTAAAAGTTGGTTAATTGCATTTAAAAAAATGTATTTGCTCTTTGAATGTACCTTTGTCCCATTATTATTCCACTGTAAAACCCAAAAAGTTAAGGTAACTAAAACCATTTAAGGGAAACCGATTGCAACAAACCATTTAAGTTCAAAAACTAATCCTAATGATACTGTCAACCTAATCCATTTGAGTAAACGAAGCAATTTGAGTACTGTACAAGCCAAGAAGTTAAGGCAACTCAAACCATTTGAGGAAACCAATTGCTACAAACCATTTGAGTTAAAAAACGAATATGAGTACTGTGAACTTAATCCACTGGAGAGGAAGTAATGAGGTATTTAATTAACTCATTAGGGGAGAGCGGGGCACAAAGTAACACTTTTTTAGCTTTGGCCAAATAATGAACAAAGTAATGGGGTTAGACAAACAATTTGGTTTTTTTCACCAACAAAACACAAGCCTCTCCTACAAATTAAATTAATTAAAATCCAGCTTACTTAAAAAAGTAGCTTTAACTCCTTAGTACTTAGCTCAATTTATGTTTTTATTCTACATAGTACAGTATGTTTACTTATTTATTGGATAAATACATTTAAATTTATTTGGATTATTATCCATTATAATACAATACATTTATTTGTAGTATTAGCAATAAAAATGTTGTCTATTAAAAATATTTTCTAATAAAAACATTTTATTTAAAAAATTTTAACATTACACTCAAAATTCAAAAATTATTTTGTTAGTTTAGTTGATGTTCAACAGCGTGTGGCTTAATTATAACACCCTGTTACAACTAACCCCGCTGTGTCAAGTTTTCCTCAAAACTGGCTAGCAGTCACTGTTTGTTTTACATCTTTCAAAATGGTTTCATGTTTTAGCCTAGAAGGCGGTAATGACAACAATATAAGATCTTATGTACATACATTCATAGATTTAATATATATAACTTTGTGCCCCGCCTCCCCTACCTTTAACACAGAGTTCAAAACTCTTTTCAAATGATTAGAATTAACTTCAGTCAACTTTGAGTTAACCACACTCATTTCATTTGAAAAAGTTGACTGTTGGGTTTTACAGTGTAGTAAATAGGACTTTAGTATAAGTTTATTATAAAAAAGAACTCAGTGTTAGCTTTGTGGTGTCAGGAACACAGCTTTACCAATGAAATTACTTCCTTAAACTGGAAGTAATGGGTTTGCAGGCTATGGCAAAAAAGTGCATTGACATTCATATGATATGAGTACATATGGTCCAATATATTTCATTCAAAAAATAAGTAAGCCTATCATAAATTAGATCCTTAAATGTGCAAAAATAACCTAAAATTTACCATGTAAAAAGTTGCATTTTCTTGCTTTTTTACCCATAAACCTTAGTTTTATTATTGCTAAACTATTACAAGTATTATTATCATCGTAATAATGTATTAATTAGATTTTCTGTTGTGTTAAAAACGCAAAATAAGCCATAAAAGGGCCATAAGTAGGCTATAAATAGGCTACATAAACAACAATAGATACTGTCTACAATAAATAGATATAAACAATATAACAATAAATAAATGAATCAATAATGCTAACCATAAATACTACACTAAAAAACTAAACTACTCCACTTTTAATTTTATATCCCGGTCTGCATGCGACTCAAGTCATAAAACCTTTACTTTCACTTTTATTTTTCATGTAAGATTCGCAGTCACGAAATGTCTCTTTATAGGGGAAAATAAAAAACGGGAATCCTCCGTTTGGAAGGAGAATTGAGCGACTAAGTCCTGATATCGAGATAAGAAGCATTACATCTTTAATAACTGTATTAAAAACGCAAGTATAACCGTCTCTCTTTCTCTCCCTCTCCTTCTCTCTCGAGCTGTGTTGTTAGATACACTTCCTGTGTGTGCGTGCTCGGGCTCAGATGTACACAAACGCTGGACACAACAGCGACTTTACGCCATTATACTGATTGTAATGAGAAACTATAAGGTTGTGATTGAATATCTGGAAAATATTTTAGGGTAGGGTCTATATATCTGCTCGAATGGCTTGTGGTGACGCGGTAAAAATGGTAACCTGATCTGTGTTTACTTAAAATCAAAGTTACAGGTGTCAGACGTGAGGTATGGCGGAGGAAGGCCGTGCCGTGAGCGTTTACGGTTTGCCAGCAGACGTGGATCATGAACGGCTCCGGGACAAACTACTGATCCACTTCCTACGACAGAGCAACGGGGGAGGAGAGGTCAAGTCGGTCAGTCTCATCGGCCGGACACCCCTGCGTGCCCTGGTCACGTTTGAGGAGAGCAGAGGTCAGAGAATCTATTTGCATAATAACAATTGTAATAATAACTGCTTTCAGATCGTGTAAATGAATGAATGGGCTTTTGTATTAGCATACTCCCTAGGGGAGAGCAGAGTAACTGCCAGTTTGTCAGCATAAAATTGTCTTCTAAATTAAATGATAAAGGAATAATTGTGCTTCAGAAAGGGGAAATGCATCTGTACAAAGCAGAACAGTCCATCTATTTTTCATACTAGCAATCATTTCTTCATTTTTTTTAATGTCCTCTCAACACTACGGTGGCCGAGAAGTGCAAAACAACATTACAAAGTTTGAAACACTTTTATAAAGCTCGAGACAAATGTACATTTTGAAAATTTTTTACCTGTCATCAGACACAATTACATAGGAAAAACAATTTTACCAGGGACGAAACAAATGTACATTTTAGAAAACAAATTAACAAGACGCAAAACACTTTTACAAGTCCTGAAACAAATTTACAATTACAGATACCTTACGGAAAGGGAATGTACCACACACCGGTAGTGACCCGGAATGTAACAGTTGGACTGAATTTGTGGATTTATCAATAAAGCCAATATATTCCACAACTTTAAGGATTATTATAAAAATGTATTCATTCATTTAACTTTGGCTTAGTCCCTTTATTCATCAGAGGTTGCCAAAACGGAATGAACCACCAACTTATCCAGCACATGTTTTACGCAGCCGATCCCCTTCCAGCCGCAGTACTAGGAATTGATTTACCACTCTAAATTAATAAATTTTTATAAAGTAAATTGCATCTCAAAGCTTACTGGGGTACAGCATTTTTTTACTAGGGCACAGAATATTTTATTTATTTATTTTTGCACCATCTCACCGTGCCACCCCCTGCAAGAATCCGCCCATCGTCCATATATTGCCCATGCCACAATCTGCCACTGACACACAGAATGGCCAACTAACCCAGCCAGGGCTTGAACCGGCGACCTACTTGCTGAGAGGAGACAGTGCTAACCACTGAGCCACTGTGTTGCCCTATTATATAAATATGAAAGTTCTAACTCTAATTTGTTTTCTATGTACTCAACCATTATTTACAACATTAATATCTATGATTATTGTAATTATTATTATTATTATCTACAGCCTCTCCAAGTGGTTCTTAAAGTGTTCACAACAGTTGTGTTTCCAGTCTCACAATGAAGTATATCAAACATTGGGAATCTGTGAAAAGTTAATCTTCCTGATTGATATGGCACACATAAACATAATCTTACTTTTTGTTGTTGTTGTTGTCGTCATTTAAACATCTGGGCTAACCACAAGTACCATGTTGATTAAGAACACATGCATCTGCTTGATATTGATATTATAACAACAGCATCAGTTTGATATTTTATTTTGTTTTAGGATAAATTGAGATGCATCTACACTACTCTTTAGAGGTCTGGAAGATTTGGCCTAAAATCAAAATCTCAATTAATTGAACATTTTAACTCCATTACGATTAATAAACTATTATTTTAATTCTTTATTTTATGTTTTTGCCCTCATAGTTCAGACAGGTTTTGTACAGAAAATATGCTCATATGTCACAAATGAGAATGTAGGGTGAATTACCTGATTTTAAAATAATTGAAGTAAGCACACACTTATCTACTATCTATGATCATTTATTGAA